TAGCCTCGCATTGATGAGGCTCCAAAACAGGTTTTCGACCGCGATTGTGGACGTTATTGCTGCGGCGCGTAGATTGTGATTTGAGGATTCGATAGCCTGTTGCTTTTGGTATACCGAGTGATTCGAATAGCTTTTTTCGAGGTAATTTGCCAGCTGTAGCCTGCGCGGCGCAAAGAAGTCGCGTACGCCGTGGAGTATCAACTATTGTATGTAGCCTGCGTGGAGGCTCTGTGGGTATCGAAATTGACGAATCAGGCTGTTGACAGTTTTTTCGAGTAGTTTTGCGAATTCTGGCCATTTTTTAGCTGATTTGAACAACAATTGGTGGAATAATAGAAGATAGAAAAAAAGGGGTTGTTTTGAGGATGGGACGGAAGTCTCATTATTTCCGTCACCTAGCTCCGGGCTGTTATCATTGGCCACGCCTGCAGGTAAAGTCTCACCTACTACGGGGGTCCAGCAGCATGGGAGCATCGTTTGAGAAGGGAAGTATCTTGTCCCTTTTCCATTTCAGACTCCACATCCAACTTATGATGGCATTTCACAACATCGTTCTCGACCAATTGGTCTTCCACCATGTCCGTTTTATTCTTCTTACACCCATGCTCCTCCTACTCATTCGAAGCATATACCGAATCTTCTTCCATCCACTCTCCCACATCCCTGGTCCTTGGCTTTCGGTTTGCACCTCAACATGGCTCAACTACCATGCATGGGTCGGTGACGAGTGTACTGCAGTCCACAAGCTACACCTAAAATACGGATCAATCGTTCGGACCGGTCCAAACGACGTCGACATTGTCGATGGTGAAGCTTTGAACACGATCTATGTTGAGAAAGGAGGATTTAGAAAGGCAAGCTGTTATGCGAACTTCGACATCGATGGCCACAAATCAATCTTTTCACATGTAGATCCTTCAGAACGAGCTCCGAGAGCAAAGGCGGTACTTCCATTGTTCAGTACTGGCAGCTTGAGAGCAGGGTCGAAGACAATATACAGGTGCGTAGATCGGATGGTGGTGAGGATGAAAGAGGGGGCGAAGACTGGAAAGTCGGTCAATATCCTCAATCTAACGAGAAGTTTGGCCGCCGACGTTGTGACGGCATACCTATTCGATGACAGCTATGGCGGGCTGGAAGAGACTGACGGCGAAATGAGTGCGAGTGGAATGGTGAATGCTTTTGTCGCTGTGGGTCGATTTTTCTATCTTCCAAATTGGATGTTTCAATTGCTGGAGCGGACTTACGAAAAGATCCTGCCAGACCACGAAGTGAACATGAGCATATCAAAGGTGGATTCGTTCATCGCTGCGGTGGTCGATCGAAGTAGAACGGACAAGAAGCTAAAGGGTTACTATCCGGCAAGACTGATGGAGAGTGGATTCTCCGTTAGTGAAGCTCGAGCACAGTGCAAAGATTTGATGTTCGCAGGCACAGACAGCACTGGGATGAATTTGGCGACCATCTGTTTCATGCTGGCAAAGCATCCAGGTAAATACGCAAGATTGAGGAATGAACTACTGGAAAGACAACCCGACGAATCGGAACTACAATCCTTGCCATACATGAAAGGGGTGATCAAAGAAGGGTTGAGGTTGAGTATGGCAAATCCGTCGCGCCTCCCACGGGTAGTGCCGCCGTCTGGCTGGATGTTCAAGGGTACCTTCATGCCATCAAACACAATCGTATCATGCACGCCTTTTGAACTTCACCTAAATCCGGACGTGTTCGAGGATCCATACGAATTCAAACCGGAGAGATGGGAAACCCCAACCGACGAAATGAGTAGAGATTCAATCTGGTTCGGGCTTGGGACCAGACAGTGCATTGCAAGAAACTTGGCAACGATGGAACTGTTCTGTGCTGTACAACGACTGGTACAGGAGAATGTACTTGAAGGTGCACATTGCTGTCAGGAACGAATCGAAATTCTGGAGTGGTTCAACTCAAAGGTGAAGAAAGAAAAGATAGAACTAATGTGGTCATGATAGTCGATCCATATAAGACGTCGATGTGTTCCATTTTATACACACACCACCAATCGACTGATCTATAGCTTTGTCAACTCCGGCGACCCCTCGCATGGTGGGTCTGAAAACTTGGTTTGTACAAAGACTTTCTGAACACCCTTCTCACGAGCATCGAACTTCATGTATACTTTGTCGATGTCGGCAATATCATATCGATGGGTCACCATGTGCAATGGCTCGAGATCTCCACTCTGAATCATCTTGAGCAGTTTCTCCCAATAAAGATGTACCGGAGCTTGGCCATTGCCGATCAATCGGATGCCACGTTCCATCAATGCTCCAATGTTGAAATGATTGGTCTGATAGGGTCAGCAAAGCTTTTCAGGCAAATGTTTTCAGCACTTACAAATCCAACATAAACACCAGTTACACCACACCGACCGAAGCTTTTGACAGATGTGATCATCTCATTGATGATCTCAGAAGTATCGGTTTCAAGACCAGCCAACATCTCAAAGTAGTGTGCCCATCCTTTCGCGTACTCTCCGGCAGCACATTCAAGAGCAACATCAGGTCCTCCGTGCTCCATTTTCTTGAGCTGCGAAGTGATGGACTCTCCTTTCGGCAAGTCGGTGAAATTTAAGGTTTCGACCTTGGGAAGTTTCTCTTTGATAAAGTCCAAACGCCAGGCAGCTGGTCCACCATCAATCATAATAACCCGCTTCGCACCATTCATGAAGCTCATTTCGGCACACATTTGACCGATTGGCCCTGAGCCCCAGATGGCAACGACGTCACCTTCTTTGACGCCTGTATCGACAACGCAGTTCCAGGAAGTGGCCAGAACATCAGATAGATACAAACCCTTCTCGTCAGGAACATCATCCGGCAACTTGAGAAGGTTGACATCCCCGTATGCCACCCTTACGTATTCGGCTTGTCCACCAGCGAAACCACCAGTGAAGTGAGAATATCCCAGCATACCAGCGGTGCGGCCACCATACATGATATTCTCAACTTTGTTATCATTGGTCCTTTCGCATTGAGATGATAGCTTTCGCTTACAGTACATGCATTGACCACAAGCAATCTGAAATGAGCAGACAACTCGATCGTTCTCCTTCAATCCATTGACGGCAGGACCGACCTTGTCGACTTTGCCGCAAAACTCATGGCCCAGGATATCACCTTTCTGCATCTCGACAACAACCCCGTGGAGTAGATGCAGATCGCTACCGCAGACTGTGCTACCGGTAACCTTGACAATCACATCTGTGTCCTCGAGAATTCTGGGTTTGGGTGAATCAATGACTTCGACACTGTTCTTGCCCATCCAAACCAGGGCCTTCATAGTTTCGCCGCTGGGGTCGGCATACTTCTCACGATCCCGAGCAGGGTTAGTCATGTTCTGCTCGGTGGTCGCATCGCCAGTGTGGCCAATGGCCTTCTCCACATAATTTGCTGCTTGTGACAAAGCCATGATGTAGTGAAACGTGAGGCAAGCAAAGACAATTACGGATGAATAAGATAATAAAGTTGGCGCAGGAGGCCAGGTAGGATATCTGAAAATGCTCACGAAAGGTTTCTCCCATCCGTCATGATATTCCAACCTCGAACCACTCGGGCACTACTGTAATGACATCATATTACGTAGAGCAAGAGGATCAGGACAGGCTAGTCCAAACTCTTCATACGTAGTTTTTCCCGCCTCTGCGATGATTGGGTGGTCTTCCATATGGCAGCAGCAATTTCCCCGTGATCACAGCGAATGAAAAAGTAGTACAGAGTAAAGATAGCACGATACTACTGTGGTGGGATAGCCCCCACAGTCACGTAAGTTGCTTAGTTAATCAGATAGCTCAGATAGTTCGGATAGATGTGCGGTGGGATGAGAGATCCTGCAGGGGAGGGCACCATGCCTCCTTAATATCACTTACTTGGCCCTCTTCTGAACGCTCTCGAAGTTGGCTGTACATGTACAGCCAAATATCCTGCTGCTATCTACGGCGGATATCTACGCATCCTCGTCGCCGCCACACGAGCCGCACCAAGGCGAACCTGATTGCTCCTCAACACTACTAACGTACTTAGTACATAGTTGTGTGCAAGGTGGGATCACATGACGGCGCGATGACAATGGCTGGGGGCCAGCCGCGTTTAGAACCACAGCAAGAGAGAGCGTGCCGACTTCGAGTGCTCCAATGTCGAAGACCTTAGAACAGCAAACGGGGTCTCCACAATCAAATCTAGAATGAAAGTCAAAAGCGTCGCTCGTGCATCAGTTTCTGACGACGATGATGGAAAATTCGCCTTCGAACGCAGATTCGCGGATTCGGCATAATCAGCCGCATGCCTGCGCCTTGAGAAAAGAATGACCGTGATATGTCTAGGTATGTTTGCGTCCGCCAAGATTTATTTATCATGAAACCACTGGACAGAAAGTACTACTAGTACTAGTTAGTAGTTAGTAGGGACGACGTGACTTATCGTAATATTCGCCTCAGGCCTCTACTTGTCAGCGACGGAGTTGATATGTTAGAGACCCACCCCGAGATTGCGGGTCTCGTCCCTGTTGCTGCGCCTTCAGGACAAAATGGATCGAGCGCTTGCCATGCTCATACAGAGGAAAGCAGATGGAATAACTGAGCGCCTCGCTATATTTAATGTAGCTGTCGAGGAGTGGAATGGTCACTGGTACTGGCTGTACAGACATCATTGTCGTCTAAATCTATCGTTTATCGTCTATGATACTTTCACGGAAACCAATACTCATATATGACGCTTATCCTACCCTCAGATCTTTGAAGGGGTAACTCCGGCCAGGAATCCACCCTCTACCACCGCTCTTACGAGCTGATTGGCAATGGCAGTCCTGGGTGGCAATCTCAGGTTTCCTTCCTTGTAGCCTTCGTTGGCGGGGTCATCCAACCCACCTGTACCCACTCTCAGCGCTTCTTCCACCTCATCCAACTCAAACCATTTTGCTGTCTCAAGTTCGGGATCGTTGTCGAGCTTGATCTTTTCATCCTCAGCACTTGCTACTTGAGCGATAGCGCCAATCATCAGATTTGCCGGGTACGGCCAGGGTTGAGTAGAATGTATCACGACCCTGGAGAGGACCACACCGCTTTCCTCCCATACTTCGCGGCGCACAGCATCTTCCACAGACTCGGCAGGCTCCACAAAGCCTGCTAAGGTGGAGTACCAATATGGTGGCCATTTTTTCTGTCGACCGAGCAATAACCGCCTGCTATCATGGCTAATGACGGCAACGATGATGGTAGGATCGGTGCGAGGAAATGTGAGGTTTGAAAGAGTGGTTCGAGTGGAACAGGGAGGTCGCTCTCGAGGTGAAGCGGGAGTCGCCGAAGTCGTACTACCGATGGTCCCAGGTAAGGTTGCGAAATCTATTGGTGGACAGATTCGCTTTGCGCCCCCATTGACAGACAAAGTTGGTTGGCCGCAAGTTCCGCAATACGGATTTCGTGCATTCCAATCGAGGAATGCTCTTCCCATTGCATATATTGCAGCTGAAGAAAGGTGAGCAGGGCCCCTATAACAGAGTTCCATTGCATACCAGTGTTTGCTGGAAAGTTCATTGCCCTCATGCCTTCGATGAAGGTCAACCCTTGCTTCTCCATTTCTGCAATGATTCCTCTCGCTTCTTTCTCATATGAATCTTTTGGGGTGATGTCAACAGCAAACTGTGGAGCTCCGATGTAATTCTTGTGCTGCAATCCATCCCTTTGGCTTTCATCGAGTCCCAAGAAAACCAATTGAGGGGTGGAAGTCGACGAGTTGAATTCCTTGACAATCTGTTCTTCTGTCTTGTCGTATGGATTGCTGGGAAGAATTGGCTTGAGGTCATTCTGCTTTGCGTATGCGATTTCGGAGGGAGACTTGACGAGGGGTGAGAGGTTTCTAAAGACCATGAACTGGGTAGTGCCATGATCGAAGGCTTGTTTCAGGAAGGAATGATCGCCTCGAAGGAAAGAAACTCGATTCAACGGTGAGCCTTGCACAACCTGATTAGTCAAAGGTTCCACAGTCAGGATGGAAACGCATGCTGCCAAAATAGTTGGTTACTTCTTTGCCAAATTTTCGTGAAAGCATAGAATCGTGATCAAGATGTGCAGGCCGCGGCAACTCCGGTTGAGGCATAGCAGGTGGGAACCACTGTGAAATCGGCAGCGCAGGCTACTTGATTGGAGTCTCCGTAATAATGCTGCCTCTGAGCAAAAAAAAGCGAATTTTGCGACCTTTGGTGAAGGAGGAAGGTTCCAACAGCTACGCGACGCTCCGGACAAAGTACAAGCAAATGTCAGCGGCCGTCATGGAAATTCGACTTTCTGCTTTCTGACTTGCTTCCCCGCTTTCGTCACCACGGTCGAGGGCTCCCCAGCCCCACGTTGCAGACGCGTTGTCCATCCTCATCACATTACACAACCCGTCGAATATTGGTTACTTGAAGTTGCTCTGCGATCAGCAATGCAGACCAAAGCAGCTAAGATCGGTGACAGTATCCTCGTCATGACAGGTCCTCCCAAGTCCTTTGCTGCATTTGGATACCTTCCTGGGCTATTTAGCTGCGGATCGAAAACAAGACCTCTCTCCGAAAGCAATCGTACAGCCGAAGCTGTAATATCCTGATTTCATACTGTGCTTGCCACAGAGATTCCTCAGTCAGGGTCGCTTCGATTGGCTTTCCCAAATGCTGTATAGCATCCGGTAGAGGACTGTCAAAAATCGTCATCCAAGCAGACTTCGTGGACATCTTGCTCGAAAGGAATCCGGACGAAAGATTTCATTGACCCAGATATGACCTCCTTCTGGACGCACGATAATTTTATCAGAGGTAATGGCAACAATGCAAGAGAGGATTTTCTACGCGTTAGCGGAAGTACTAGAAGCTGCGGACTGTTTCTGCGTCCATAAAGGAAGACACCGAACACCAACCCATTCCCATGTGACGGCTTGATCAGGACGCGGATGTCACGAGTGGGAGGAGAACTGCGCAGCCTTGGTTTGATATCCTATGCAGGATTAGTTATATGATATTGATCTGAATGTCAATGTTGTCTGACTACTTCGAACTCATTTCACCGCTGTCACGAGCTGCAGAAACCTGAATTAGAAACTCGAATGCTATCGAAGCGCCACCTCAGTCAGGCAGAACGACAGTTCCAGCTCAGCGCTTCAATAATGTTTGACTATGCTATGACTAGTGGTCAGTAGTTACCACTAACGCAAAAAGGGATTCAACCAGGATCACTTGTGATAGTCAACTTTCCGAAAAACCGTACGGATACTCCAAGGTCTGACTTGAACATGTACGCTACTGCTGAAGTGCACTTCGCAAAGAATGCAAGTCTGCAAAGTCAACCTTACTCACGCCTCAATTGATCAGCAGTCGGCTTCTGCCGCCGCAAACTCAGTCTCCATTGACTGTCCTCGGCCAACCATCAAAACTCTTGGCGGCCCGTTTCGACTGCTGAGTTGGAAACATCATTGGATGGCCAAGGGTCAGCTTCGACTTATCAGTCTTGCTCGCTTTCAGCGCAGTAGACCTAAACCCTGGCAAGTCTGGTGAGAGTCATGAGGCAGACATGGGTCCCACGCCCGATCAATTGTTTGTTTCCCCTCAGCCCGGGCAAATGAGCGAGCCCAATCGTGTGACATGTGCGTGGAACTGTTGCTTCTGACCCAGCCTCAGAAGCTCGGCCTTGACCACTCATGGATCTTCAGAGGCATCCACATCTCAAGAAAGTCCACAAGCGTGCATGATTGAATATCATCCTTGGAATAATCTGAAAGGTGCAATATTTACCGCACTATCAGCTCATAACCTGACAAGAATCGACCAGCATCCACACCGGTGCATCACCTCGACCAGCAGAGCTGAGGAACCAATTGATTTGGTCTCTTTACACCTCAGCTTTCCATGGCTATGGCGTAAAGTAATCGGTTATGGCGTATGCTAGTTAGGGCGGAAGAGGGGGAGTTGATAAGGATGGCAATGCAAGCATCACTGTAGAATGAAGCGAAGTCCTGGATGTTACTGAAATCTTTTCAGGAAGAAGTAAGTTTTAGGATGAGGCGCCTGCGATTGTTGCATTCCCCGCGGAAGACTGGAAGGCTGGAAGCAGGAGAAACATATCTTCGTTACTATTTCCGTGGAATGGGAAACCACATGTAGACCTGTTATCAGCCGTAACCCAAACACGTGTTCGTACGACTTGCTGGATCAGCTCTTAGACCCTCATTCGCAGAACATCGATGAAGATGCAAGGCCATCTATAGCAAACAACATGCTTGGTCGTGAGTGGAGCGACTTCACGATTGCAATGCGTGCGAAGTGACAGGCAGGGGTCGCTGTAATTTTTCGGATACTTGAAACGAAACCAATTTTGGCCGAAATGTACGGAAATTTACAATAGATTTCGAGATAGATTTCAGCGAACTTGGGGTCTTTTAGATTTAGCTTCCCTTGGCCCCAGCAGTGCTGAAATGCAGCTCGAAGTGCTCTGTAATCTCAATATGCTCAAGGCGGCCCATTTCGAGCGTTTCCGATATAGAAGAGAGCTATATTCGTCGAAGCAGTTGAGGGTGTGAAGTGCAAGAGCAAGGAGAATTCTCGCGGCGGTATTCAGGTCACATGACCAAAATTGTCCGAATGAGGACTGACGCATTTCTGATAGGGACTAGCGTGATCTTGCGGAAATGAAATTAAGGAGATTCGCAATTTATACTAACTTAGCAGTTGAAATTATGAGTTTTATGAAATTCCTTGTGAAAACCGCGACCTCTAGTGACAGGACACTTGGTTTGACAGCTGCGGCTTTCCTCTGCAGGTACCCGAAGACAAGGAGTGTGATGAGGGTGGTGCGATTCGTGGTCGATTAGTTGACTAAGTTAACTAGCGATTTGCTAGGTCCACTTCTTCGACTTGTGCTTTTCACATGGATGTGTTGTCTCATACCAGTCACCAAGGGCTGTCTGACTCCCCTCTGGCGACAAGGAACAGGCTTCCGATCACAAAGAAGACGACCCAATTTCTAAGGAAACATGCTCGGTGAACCTGACTGGCCAGTGAAGCAATATCAACATCATCTGCGGCTGGCGTCGCCAATGTGGGGAAACATTTTGATCCCTGTCTATCTGTCTGCTGTCACAGCACCAAACCCCTGACTAGTGATCAAACTGATAGTTTCAAAGGTCGATCTGACATTTCCATCTGTCACCTTTCCTAAAGCATCTTCTTAATGATGGACTCCCACACCACTCCCGTTCTTTCTGTCACTTGGCACCGACGCCATGCCAGGAATAAAGCTTCCCCTCTCACAGGGACAAGGGTGGATGGCTTGGTGGAGGTCGACCACGGACCTCTTCGACGCCCAAACACACTTGACCACATGCCTGGGTCATGTGTCTCAGCCATGTCCATGTTTGGGACCTGACTAGAAGCTGGTGGTTACTCCCTTCCGCTTCTTTACGTTACTGCATGAGCTGGTGGACCACCTACACACATAGCCGACCCAAACCTCACTCCAACATGGACCAGATCCTCAAAGCTCGCAGAATGGGTTCCGCGGTTGCTCGACGAAGGAGATTGAAGGAACGTGAGATAGCTATGCAGCAGGCCGAGGAAAGGAGGACGAGAATACTCCTCTACGGCTATTCTTCTGAAGAGGACGAGTCGTCCGAGGAAGAAGGGAACTCATACCCGCCCATTCCTGACACCCAATCGGATCGACTTCGACCTTGCTCAACACTCTCTACTGCCAGCAGACCTTCCTCAGCCACCGGTTCCAAGTCACCTCCAAGGCATACCCAACCTTCCCGCCTCCCTTCTCCATCATCAATAGATTCGAAATCACGTCTTCCGCAGCTCATCATTCCACCACCATTGTCGCCCAACCTTGCTACCTTCCGGACCGAATCAATTCCACTATCAGACAATGCTGATGAACAGCTCTTCTTTTCAGAGCCTGAAACCCCGCTTGAGATCGCTACACCAATTTTGTATTCGATACCACATACTCGGCCATCAATGATATCCATCAAAACACAGAGCAAGCTCCACACTCTGCAACGACCGGCTTCCATGCCACATCAGCCAGCCATACCTACCAAATCGGAAAAGCGCATTTCTGCAACGAGTCTGAGGTCTGCCAGCTCTCCAGTCGAGCTTCCGACCGTCTCGTCACATTCCTTGTCGAGAGACATGTTGAACAAGATCACAAGTGCGGAGAAGGAAACGGAGCGTCGTCGGCCGAGCACTGTCTCTGCGAAAAGTGAATCAGCTCTGCAACATCGAAGTCCGAGGTACGATGTATTCCCGAGAAGGTCCAAAGTGGCGACTTCAGGCAAGGTCGAACGGCCACCCGTCCATGAAGAACAATCACCTACATCAACCACGACGATACCACAGATCCTAATTAATCCGAAACGCAGCTCCTCATTTACGCTGATTGCTAAAGACTCGGAATCAACGCACGGGATGTCACCACCGACAGAACTATCCATCAAAAAGTCGACATCTACAATGCGAAAGAGGCGGCCGAGCATTGGGCTAGCTCTGCGAACAGCGTCTGCTCCTTTCAGAAGCAAGAACACGAATGGCCGGCCGCCCACATCCAGTTCATCAGAATCGGTGGCTTCGAAAGATAACATCAACTTCAGCGCGTTTCCCATGCCTCCGCCTTCGCCCCTTTGCGTCAGTCATTCCACCGGGCACCCAAATATTCCGGAGAGATCTGGCGGGAGCTCTCGAATGAGTCAAGTACGAACTATAGTTGGTTTGTGAAGGCATCTTGTAGCATGAGTGTTCTGCCGTTCGGCTCCCAGAACGAAGCGGCCACCTTTAAGAGAATGTTCACGGAACATCATCCAACACATGTAATTTAGTGAGCGGATCTGGTCCTCACATTGTGCATCCTGCAGTGCAGGCTCATGAGCGTAGGGAGTTGGGAGTTGTCTTACAATTTGCAGTCTGGAACTTGAAGCTGCTGTTGGCCACGCCAAGAATATATTCTCCTTAATCTCCTAAACTTCAGCGGTGAACATGCAATTTCTATTCTCCATCTCACACACTATGCCACCACAGAGCAGAGGCTCTCCGCCCAAACCACCTCGTGGCTTTTCTGACCCTCGATCAGCGCCTCCCACACTTGCCCCATTCCTTGACAATCTCCCATCACCGGCATCCACAATCTCCGACCAGCGAAATCCTACCGCCAATGGATACGCCGACCATCCCATTCCAATCTCTCCTACATCCAACCGTCTACGCCGCACAACAATAACCAATCGGAATGAGAATAAGAATGACGATAAGAATGAAAATGACGATGGCGACAACCAAGACCTATCAGACTACGACCCGAATCTGGACGATGCGGATTTTCAATCGCATTACTCCATCTCCGCAGAGAATTCCGACCCAGATACCGGCTCACCCGCCTCCGAGGAGGAGGAGTAGGAGGAGGAGAAGGAGGAGGAGCAAGAATAGCGCACACAACCTCTCCCTCCACCTCTCCGCCCCAACCCACCAGTTACCTACGGCATGCAACATCGGCGCAATCGCTGCCCGCTCCACCACCACCGCTCCCGCTCTTCCCGCCCTTCTACAACCGTCCACCAACGCCGCTGCCGCCCTCGCCGAGCCTGACCTCGCTCCTCCGACCGCCCAGCCTGCTCAACCGCTCGACGACCTCGACGCGGCCCACGACGCCCGACTCGAGCGACGTGGAAACGCCCAACGACACGGAGGCGGCGGTGGCGCAATCGGCGCGGCGCGCGACCGTCGTGTCGCGCGTGTCGCCCAAGGTGCCGACCTACGAATACTACGGCTTCGTGCTCTACCTGGCCTCGTCGCTGGCCTTCGTGCTCTACCTGCTCTGGTCGTACCTGCCGTCGCCCTTCCTCGCCGCCATCGGCCTCCACTACTACCCGAACCGCTGGTGGTCGCTGGCCATCCCGTCGTTTCTGGTCATGTTGATCGTCTACATCTACGTGGCGTTGCTGAGCTACAATGTCGAGAGTACTTGACCCTGCCGATGGCGAGTGTCGAGTGTATGGTGGATGAGGCGGCGAATATTGCGGTGGTGGATGCGAAGGGCCGGTTGAGGAAGGGGGGCAGCAAGATGGATTTGAGGAGTGCGAGTAGTGGCAATGGGAGTTGGGGGAGGAATAGTGGGGGATTGGCCGTGATGATGACGGCGACGGGTGGTGGGAATAATGGGCAGAGGAGATGGGGGGGAGGAGCAGGAGGGACAACAGAGAAGATCCAATGGAGGAATTTGTGGAATGAGGGGACGGATGCGGTGATGGATATCCCTATTGGAGGGGTCTGTGAGGTCTTGTATGGTGATGGAAGAGATGCGGATGGGATATGAAATTAATGATACGATGGGTTGGATCGTTTATCCTCCATCTCAACGCATGCGCCATGCTGGTGCTGCCGCCCAGATTCTTCGAAAATGAAAGACAAGTGTACATACCCCTGCTACAATGTCGCCCATGGATCTTGTTTATGCCCCTCCAACCTCCCGGTTCACACCGACCCTATCCCTTTCCAGTATATCGCGGAGAGAGGACGAAGCTCCACATCAAACCGGACATTCAAAGGGTACCACTTCTGTCGACAATCGGAGGTTACGACTACGCTGGAACGTTGAGCAGGGGAGCTGTGAACAGATCCTACTTTTCGTCCCTGCGAGTAGCGCGCTGGGGCAGTCAACCAATGGAGGACGAACGTCGTTTCTGAAGAGGGGGGGCGCCCCATTCTGCTCGGTGAGTCTTCGTCCCCGCGTGGGTTCAACGCTGTCTCCAACGTTGTCTCCAACTGCAATGATCGGCTCTCAGGTCGTCTCCCATGCCGGGCGGAGCGTTGATCGAGCCCGATTTACTAGACAGACACAACTCAAAAGCTGTTGCGAGATAACCCTGCAGCGGTTACATGTGGGATTGGGTAACACAGTAATGGTGGTAGGGATGGTGACATTGGGGGGAGGTTGCAATCATGCAGGTGCCAGCTTCATTCACCTTGACAGGTCCAAGGGATCTAAGCTGGGTGTGTTCTCTGTGAGCGCTTGGGTCGGTGGTCCTGGTGATCTGGTCCCCAGTATGTGTGAGTGGGACGTCATGATGTCTATGACAAGTTTCTGTCAACGTCCTACCTGCAGAGCAGTCTCTCTCCCCCTCCTCTCTCTCCACCGAGGCGCGAATAGGTTACGCTCAAACCCCGGATAACCCGGAGACGCATAAGAGAGAGAGAGAACAGAGACAAGGAGCAGATGGCATGTTCGGTGACTTTGTAGGAAAGATCGTCACCAGACTCAGGCTCGTCACGGTGTAGCAGTCGACAATGGATGTCTTAGGCCAGCCTCATTCAAGCACGCGACAGTTGGGAACCGGGAATATGAGAAGATTCCTGGAAGGGGCATCGGCGGAGGGGAGGATACGTGATATGGCATTTCAGGAAACGGGTATTGATCATCATAAAGCGAGGGCAGGTGGTGTGAAAGATATAAAAGGCCAAGGTCAATTGGGATTATGCACGGTCAGAACGTAGCACATGGATTGATGTGGTGAGGCTGGAGGAGGAGGATCGTCACTCCATCAACTCACGCTGATAGCGAGTCGATACGGAGTACGTGGGTGGTAACACGGAAATAGAGTATTTCTTCTCAGACCTCCTACGTAGTACGTACGCAGTGCATCACATGCATCACAGCGCGTCGGAAGCCGAGATAACCGAGGTAGCACAGTGATATCCCAGTGATATCCCTGAACGACGGTTGCAAGTGGAAAGTTATTGAACATACGAGACGGCCCCCAATACTCCGTAACTAACTTACTCCGTACTCTCAACACCGAGAGATTCAGCCAGCGTGGCGTCCGGGATGCCGCATTTTCCATTTTCAGTTTTCAGTTTTCCGTTTTCAGCCTCCCACCTGGGAGATATCAAGACTACGTATGCCTCAGAAGTCGGGCAACGTGCACGTCACCCAATCTCGGAGATAGAGGAGACGACGTCCATCCTGCGCGCAACAACACACCCGCACTGTTGCGATGGTGTCCAAGCAAAGGACTGTTGACAGAAACCACAGACCCCATCATCAATAAGAGATCGACACGATAGACGCGAGCTCGATAGCTTGATAGCTTGATAGCTTGACAGCTTGACAGCTTGACCCCATGGCTCCATGGCTCCATGGCTACATGGCTACATGGCTACATGGACCCCACCAAGCTGCTCACAATCACAGCTGTGTTGGGGGTGGAAGTGAGGCGGACAAACGAGGCAGGAGGCAACTGACCCGTAACAACCAATCGCACGGAAATTGGGACCCACCGGACTGGCTGTCCTTGGCTGCAGCGCTAGGCCCAAACAAGCCGGCAATGCTATATTATATATCTGAAGCATCGGGAATGTTGAGCTGCCCACCACCAGGCTGCCACTTCTTCAATCCCCTTCGATCTCACTCCAGACACTATTGCTGCTGCTCCCCCTCCCCCTCCTCCTCCTACTTCTCCTCCTTGTGCAACCGTCGGCGACCATGGCACAGCCCAATACTCACACCCAAGAGTATTGGCTACCAGGATTCGGACTCAGCAGACAAATAGTCATCGGACATATCCAATACTTCCTCGGACCTTCCGCTCGAGCGAGGCCTTACAGATATCAACAGAGGGACGGGTACTTGATTTTTGGCCCGCAGTTGACCAGGGTAGGTAAGCTCGAGCGGCACTCAGCATTCTTCCAGCCTCTGACATTTCGAAGCGTCAGATTGAGGATCTTCAGAGCCTGTCGCAGGAGTACGAGAGGCAGGAGACCCTTCGAATGAGCCGATCCAGTGACCAACGGGACCCATACATAAACCAGTTGATCCCAGATGTGGGGAGAACGTCAAGTTATGGCTCGTCCAGACACGCAAGGTGAATTCTCGTTACTTGGAGGCTATCAACATCTCCATCCAATCCTCGGTGCGGGGAGGGCTTGTGACGCTCGTGCAACACGTGCGCTATGCTGCCACATCAGATGTAGGATATATGCGGCAATGATGGTGCCCCGTCACGCGACCGGGAGGGACGGTCAGTTGCAGCAGGCACGCCGGTCGAGATGGCTGAATATCTCGAGCTCGACAACAACGTTGGAATGGAAGGGTCTTAGTATACGCGAGAGACTCCACACTAGATCGCAATGTACGATACAGAACAACGGCCGCTTCAGCGCAGCAATCGTGACATCCTAAATGCTAGTAGTGAAACGTTGTAATGCTTTCGTCGCGTCCAGGTAGCCTGTCCCGTAGAGATGAGCATTCCGTTCGGATTTCTGGGCTACAAACTGCATAGATTCCAAGTTTCCCACAGATACCCCATCGACCACTGCAAAGACAACAAGGACCGGACAGAATAGTCGCCGTCACCGGGGGTGTAGGCCAGAAGCTACTGGAGGAAGCAGTACTTTCCGAAAACACCATCCAATCTACCATGTTGTAAGCTACAATCTGTAGACTGCAAGTGGCGCGAGCGACGGTGAGGCTATCGAAAAGAATGCTAGACTTCCACAGCACCTGAAGCGTGGTCATACGTGCCGTAACGCTTTTGCAAGTAGCACTGAAGCCCGATAAGGCTCTATCGATGAATTGGTGTGTTACAGGAATGGGCAGGTTAATCTGCTGCTAGACAATACAACGTCTGACAAATGAAGAGCGGGAGCGCAGGATTCGCATCTATTGAGCATCACTTCATTGGAGTGAGACAAAGTCGTCGCGGGTTTGCTAGACTGCTTAGGTTGTGCAGGGGATCCAGGGTCCACGAAAGATGAGAACTATGCCTTGAATGGCCGTGCATAGGGCTGATGGAAGGGACTGAAATGTTTGGGGAGAACAGTATCCAGCTCAGAGTCGGGAGTTGGATTTGCGCACCAATACAAGGCCTGGCCTGCTTGCGGGGTGGATACGTGGCCTACCGCCAAAAATCTGGGGCGATTTGGTTTTTGGCTTCACGATCCCCGATACGTCGTGTATGTCCATGGCCCAACGAGTACCGGCACATGGTAATGTCTTGTTCCCTTCTCAACGAAGAATTTAACCTCAATCTCGGGCCAGAAACAATTAATCTTCCTTTCCTCGTACCATTTCCCAACGTCAAACTTGAGGCTCCATGTGGACTTATCACCATGATCAAATTGATCTAACACGTCTTGCACCGCAAACTTGGTGTTTGGGATCCACTCTTTGACCCGACCGTCCTCGTTAGTTACCGCGTGAAAGCCGACGCCCGAGGCCGGTACTTCTTGGGAAGAAAGCCTTGGGGCAAGGAGAGTGAGCAGGACGTTAAGGTTTGAGGCCGGTGTGCCGGAGACTGTATCGAGAACATGACAGGTAATGGGTGAGGAAGCCATCTTCTGGAAGGAAGAGGTCTAAACAGAGTTGGGATAGAAGCTTAAGGCAGAAACGGGATGGAAAGGCGCCCGTGTTCTAGGGCATCAGGCTATTATCGTCCTGGGTCCAGTTGAGCCGCAATGTCGTGTAACCAGGGCTGAATGCAAGATCGGAATACCCGGGCTCACGAGATGATGCGTAGGTGCGTAAAGAGCAGAAAGTGAGGATGATGATTAATGAAGCTCAATATCAGCGCTTCTCTGCCCAAGGCCGTTATCGATAGCCACAACTAGTACGTAATACGTGGTAATTACTAGTACCCCGTACTGACTAACTGATTCTAGATTCTACCGAGTAGTTAGATTCTAGATTCCCACGTCACTTCCTTCTCAAGCCACGTCCTTGCTTTTGTGTCTCGCATCAGCCACATACACGTGCTTACTGCTTAGCATCTCACACCTTTACCTGCGTCCGCAACTGACTTGTGAAATTACTACGTAGTACGTCCCAGCCGAACATCCCATACATCTCTCGTCCTCGGAAAAAAGCAGAAGCAATCAGGCCATCGCTTCAACTCGAACAGGTACAGACGTCATACCAAACTAACAATCCTCCGGTAACAACACCCCGCCCATTTCTGAACATGGCATCAGCCACTGTTGACGCCGACGATACTCTTGAACCTTCTCTCCAAAACCTCATCGACCAAAAATCCTTGCGATGGATCTTCGTTGGTGGAAAAGGCGGCGTGGGCAAAACCACAACGTCCTGTTCTCTTGCAATCCAAATGGCCAAAGCTCGAAAATCCGTGCTGCTGATCTCAACAGATCCCGCACACAATCTGAGCGATGCGTTCAGTCAGAAGTTCGGCAAGGATGCTAGACTGGTCGAGGGTTTCAGCAATCTGAGCGCCATGGAGATCGATCCGAATGGGAGTATCAATGACCTGATCGCTTCCGGTGGAGATGAGGCGCAGGACGCCATGGCCCAGATGGGTGGTATGGGTGGAATGATGCAAGATCTTGCCTTCAGTGTGAGTCGCCACCCCCTAATCCTGTAGCCAATGCTAACGAGAATAGATACCTGGTGTTGACGAAGCAATGTCCTTTGCCGAAGTGCTGAAACAAGTCAAATCCCTATCCTACGAGGTAATCATCTTCGACACTGCTCCGACCGGCCATACCCTCCGCTTCCTCCAATTCCCTACCGTTTTAGAAAAAGCCTTGGCCAAAGTTTCCCAATTGTCAACACAATTCGGTCCCATGCTTAACTCAGTCATTGGTGCTCGAGGCGGGCTACCTGGCGGCCAGAGCTTGGACGATCTGATTCAGAAGATGGAGGCATTGCGCGAAACCATCGGCGAAGTCAATACGCAGTTCAAGAACCCCGATATGACGACCTTTGTGTGCGTGTGCATTGCTGAATTCCTCTCCCTCTACGAGACCGAAAGGATGATTCAAGAGCTGGCGAGCTACGAAATTGACACCCACTGCATCGTCGTCAATCAGTTGTTGTTTCCCAAAAAGAGTAACCACTGTGAGCAGTGTAATGCGAGACGAAAGATGCAGATGAAGTATCTGGATCAGATTGAAGAGCTGTACGACGAGTTTAACGTGGTGAAGATGCCGCTGCTGGTGGAGGAGGTGAGAGGCAAGGAGAAACTGGAGAGGTATGCCCATTGCGTCGAGACCAAAGATGCAGAATGACAGCTAACAACTACCCTGTAGCTTTTCGGAGATGCTGGTTCATCCATATGTTCCACCAGAGTAAACATAGAGTCCGCGTGAGTGGTCACAATGAAGAATGCAAAGTATAGATATGAGTAGAAGGTCTTTGAATGCTGTTTCGTCTCCCTTCCCAATGATGGTGCAAAATGAATTCGATCGATCAGTTTTCCTTTCTAACCCTCCGATTCCCAGGCAAGCCTGCAGGATGCAAATAACTCTAAACTCCCAGCTATCTTCATACAGCAACATGTGCAGCTAACATACGTCTTTTACAACGTATTCAACGGAATTGCCAGGGGAGAATATCGCTAGGCAACAGATTTGAGATAAAAACAAACACCGACCACATGGACCAGCCATGCAGTATTAGGAATCGCTCGCATGCCGACAGGTGTAAAAGATCCAGGAACGCCAACCCATCAAGGTCTTCTATTTTTACGCCGCTTCTTGTGGTCCGGAAACATATCCGACTTTTCCAGTAACCATGTGTTCAACCCAAATTTTTTAAAGATATTGTAAGTGAAAAAGGCAGGTCCTTCTCCATCAGCAGAAAAGGTTCTCGCACCCGACAGGAAGTAGGCTCATCAACTCGATTGTTGCATACTGATCCAAGCCAGCATTCGTTCTAAAGAAGGATCTTCATCAAGCCAATGACCAGCTCTTCGATCGGCGTCACGAAGATTGCTGGTAACCTGCTGGTCGATTATTTGTGAAAGCTCCTAACAGCTATTTGTTAGCCTCAAACTGCATCACCTGTGGAACATAACCCCCCCAAAGCGACCATGATACTCACATCTGCAAGTCGTTGGTCTACCATCCGCAAAGCACTGGCATGTTTCGAAGATGGTGGTTCGCCCCGAAGAACTTGCCACCGGGACTGTACCCATCTAGTCGCAGCTGCTGCTCGAAGATATGTCTTGTGGGCTTGAAAGCGACGTGTGGAAGCATCAAGAATGATTCTAAACCATGTCAGCTTCAACAGACAGAGACATGGAACAATCTCACCTTTGCAACGAGGCCTTCTGCACCTCACTTTCACCTATGCTGACAGCAAGACCAAGGCTGCCCGGGTCAAACTGTGATGCCAGAATCGTTTGTGCCTCTATGCTGCATTGGCGAAGTACAACATATCCATCAGTATAATAAGATTGATGGTCTGGAGGATTTGCTTGTGCACGCGAGACATGACTTGCGATATGCAGTTGTATTGTTCGAAAATCGTTCATGATCTCCACTACTCGGAGCGCTCGTGCTTCATTCACTGAGACATGTGTTAGTGAGTGAGGTATTGTACCAAGCAGGTACACACTTACGTCCGTCGGCCATGCCCAAGCTTTGAATGGATGTCGCCTCAGACTTTGGAGTGCATTGACCCTAAGAAAAGTAGATGCCAAACGGCTGGACTTGGAACCAGGAGGGAGGCGCGCCGTTGAATGCTTTTCTTGCCATGCCAGAAGCGACTCTTGTCCCGTCCTCCACCGTCATATATGTCCGTATAATCCCACGAGGGAGGGGACAGTAAGGTAACATCATCACGTTCATCGCCCCATATCACATAATCCATTCCGGCGTCCAGTAAGAGTAGAGGGATGCCTTTTGGTTTGACTGGGCGGCCCGTAGCGAAGTAAAAATAAGGAAGCCATTTCAATTCGGGCAGCCATAAAGTAGAAAAACAGCAACATAGACGAGCCTTGTAGAGCTGGAGTCCTTACATTTACACTAGGTACTACTAGTAGACAAATGGAAATGAAACAGTAAGGCCAAGGAGCTGGAAATTTGGGGGGACAATAGGAACTCTGAGGCGTAAGGAAGCCATGATTGGACATTGGTTATAGGAAGCCTATTAACTCATCAGCAAGCCACGAGACGATATGCACGAGATTTTCCCAGCTTAACGGCCCACGTGGAAGAGAAGTCCAATCTTCAGGTGGTGGTGTATGAAGTTCAAGCTGACACCGAGGGAAGAAATGCATGACTAAGCGAAGAGACGCGGTTAGAATTGCTGAAGATGAGCGCCACCAGATTATTTAACGCACCAAGGCGTGCCTAACGCGCATTAGTGTCAGCCTTGGCGGTACCTCAAAGGGGGCTGAGGCCGACAGGATCATGAGCTGAACCGACCATATCTTCCCAAATGCATGGGCCATCTTTGGATCTTGGGATTAGTGAACAAACGGCTGTCAGCCATGGCTATTTCGGACGATCAAGGCGTTGCATTGTATCCTAGAGCCGGAAGCCGGGCCTAATCGACGATAGCAACCCTCTGTAATGATTGGACCCATTGCTTCACACCGTCTCAAACCTAAGCCCCGGGTGTTGCCCAGCGAGCTGGGTAAGCTTTGTAGAGCCGCAACGAACGGCTGCATATAGCTGACCTGAACGGTAAGACTTTCATTGGAGGCCCAATGCCGCTGTCAAGTCAACGATCGCGATGAATAGGCCTGCACACATGAGCTGAGTGACCCGCTTTTTTGCGGTTGACTTGTATGTTTTGGATATCGCCTGCAAAAGAGAACCCATGCCCTGCGTAATAAGCCGGCAAGTCCGATATCATGAAATCAACCTTTTATTGGTCATAGCTAGTCTCTTTCACTGATTGCTTGAAGTCTCTCATCGATTTGTTCTTCGGTCAAAGTCTTGAATGCCGGATCTGACCCGTCCTTTCCGTCGGACTGGGGCCCACCAACAATGCCGACCTCCAGCTCGCCTTTCTTGAAATCCACACTCAACACTGTGCTGAGGGTGCTGATACCCAATTCGACAACTTCTTCCCAGTCTCCTGGTGCACAGTCCTTGTTCTTCAATTTCTTTTCAAGATGATTGAGAGCCTCTTGTTGCTTTGGACCAGATGCTGTGGCTTTGTAGCCGACGTAGTAGCCTGCAGGGTCACACTTGTACAGCTGGGGTCCCAATTCGTCGTCGACAGAGATGAGGGTTGTGGCCACGCCTAATGGTCGCATGTATGCCTAGTGGTCACAGGTGAGAAGAAGTTGCCACATCAGAAATAGTTTCTTACCCTTTGTGTGTAAACCTGGTTGATATTTGCCAATCTTTTGGCCAACACGTCGCATGGCATTTCGTAACCAAACTTGTATCTGAACTCTGCAGCTTCTCCTCGAGCACGATCCACTGAAGCTCGAGCATCGGCTATGGAGCCAGTCATGACGCAACCGACGGAAGGTGATATTCGAAAGACATGAGACACAGAAGAAGGATCAATCAATTTGTCCTGGATGGCTCAGATTACGATGTTGAGCAAAGATGTTCTGCAACTTACGGGCACTTTCTTCTGAGACAGCACGACTGCACAATTCTTTCCCCGAACACCGACCGATGTTATATTAGCAGCTGTGATAGCTTTGAATGCATATTCTGGTAGACGAAAGCTTGTAAGTATTGGACCGCATGAATGACGTTGCTATGGCGGCTTGGATGTGCAACGTGTCGAGAGATTTGGGGAGATAGTAGAGTAGGAGTGCCTTTCGGGCGACGAACCAACTTGGTATAATCGCCCCTGATCAGAGAAGATGGTAATGTGCCGGTCATAGCCTGCGCTGCCTATCAAATTGTTCTGTCAGCTTTGACTTTATCCATGGTGGTTATGAGCTTGGCTACTAACCTGACATGATCCAAGGTTCGGGACTGTGGTTACGGATTGGTCGATGCGGATGTGGTGTAGTTTAGTCAAGATATGTGGAAGGACTGCAGAGCTGTAGCAATAGTGAACTGGTAGATCTGGGAGCGCTGTTGTTTCTGGTCGTTGAAGTTTGTGGAACGCGTAGCTTGAGTTGCCTGCCAAAGAGCTTTTTGTGTTTGGGTCGGCCGGAGAACTTTGGTGGCACCTGCCACCCAAATTTTTGGGCAACGTCAAGTGTCCCGCTATGAATGCATACAACACCGGTTGCAGAACGAAGCTACTCGGAGTAAAGCTACAGCAGCAACAATGACAAATGCTCTGACAGATAGCAATGGGACACCAGCTTCCGATGCAGTACCCTCACAACGGGTGCCCGCATGGAGAAAACTGGGCCTCAAATTGAAATTTGCCAACGAGCATACTGACCAGCCTACACAGATTGACAGCAATGTGTCCATTAATAGAAAGCGTCCACGGGACGAAGATTCCTCGAAGATACCAGAAACAACAGGGTCTAGGCGTGTACTTAGAAAGCGACCGCGACTCGATCCACCGAAACCTCGACCAGCCAAGTCCAATGACACTAACGACAAACCCCTCTCTCCTTCTTTGAAACGCGATAGCAACGGTATCCGGAAGACAGTATCGTTTACATCAGATACCAAGGCTGAAGACGGGGATTCCTCCAAGAGTCTCATCGCTAACTGGGAAGCCCAACACGATCACTCTACTTTGTTGTCGAGTCAGCCAGAAAATCCCAAACCATCGAAGAAGAAAGTTGCCAAATCGAAGAAATCGAACTCTCGTGCTACCACAAAGAAACCACATGCGGCCCTCGAGTACCTGACACAATTTTGCGAGTCCAGAACAACATGGAAGTATAGGAAGAATCAAGAGGTTTGGATCTTAAAGCACCTGTTCTCAATTGATCATATTCCTTCATCCTACGACGCTTCCCTTTGTCAGTACCTCAAAGGTCTGAAGTCCGACTCCACACGTTCGAGATTACAAAGAGAAGCGGAGGACATCGTACAGAAGGATCGTGAGCAGCAAATCGAATATCTCGTTTCGACCGGTAGTGAGGACAACGTGGATGAGGTGAATAAGGTGCCTGCCGAGATGGAAGACCCGGAGCGGCGAAGAGCTTACTACGAAGACTCGGTCAGGAGATTTAAGAGAAAAGTGGAGCAGCATCTGCATGAAGAAGCAGAGGAAGAGCTGAAGTGGGTGAGTCCAGAGCGGCTTGCGAAACGACGCCGGGCTGAGATAATGCTGTGGGCAACAAGAGCGACTCCATCCAGTAAAGAGACCACGCAAGGTAGTGAGGCAACAACATCGTCTCAAAGCGCCTCACGGAATCATGGTAGCGCTCGAGAGGATGGATATCCAGGAGGTGGCCTTCAGAAGAAGAGAAAGAACAGGACTTCGGTCATTGAGCTGTCAAGCAGCAGCAGCAGCAGTGAAGACGAAAGCGGTGATTCTAGCAGCGAGTCAGATAACGACAACGGAGGAAGTGGAACAGGGTCTCAAAGCAGAAGCAGAAGCGTGAGTACGGGCACGGGCACGAGGACAAGCGCGCAGACATCTGCGTCAACGCGTTCGCAACAAAACTTAAGCCAAGATGAAGACACAGGGTCCAATACGAGCACGAGCACGAGCACGAGCACGAGCGAAAGCTCTGATGATGAGTCGGGCTCAGACCTGCAGGGTGCTGTTGGTGCCCAACGCCGGTCAAAGTCCATCATCTCAATTAGCTCATGATACAGAGATATCAGCGGGGTTGGGACGTCTAGGAGGTCGCTGGATGTTGATGCAAAGCTGGCAGCCGCAACAGCAGCTCATAAGTAGGTATGGTCCGTTGTATGGCCTGGAGGATACCACAGATAGTAGGGCACTCTTAGAAGGCCTAGTAGTACTTACCACGGTTGGGTTAAATCCGGAAAATGACACTTCGACTCTTTCCTCTCGTTCCCTGCTGGTCCCCGCTGGTCCCCTATGTACTGCCAGTGGTCTTCAAATGAGTTGTGTTTCAGGGTTGGGCTTTGGCAGCTGCGGGGTCCTCCGGTCGCTCCGGTCCGTCCGAAGGTCCGACTGCACCTGCATTTTGACCCGAAGACCCCACGTCTCCCCTCTTCCACGCCAAACGCGTCAACATCGCACGCAAATGCAACGCACCGGCACTCTCGCGCGCATAAGCCCAAGCCATGGGCGATAACCGCTCTAATCGAGTCGACAGCACGCTGAACGCCCTGCTCGACAGTTTCATCGCTCCTCGAGCAGCTGGAGAAGATGAAGAAGCATTCGAAGAACGAGCGGAATATGCGTTGGAGCGCGGAAAGAACACCGTGAACCAGGGCAGCTCGATCACGGCCGGCGAGATCAACCAGGCCCACGACCTGATCCGACGCAAATTACTGCGCGACAATGCGTCGCCGGAAAAAGCTGCACGCTTCGGGAATCTCTACTCTCGGCTACTTTCGACGCCGGTCCTGAACCAAAAATGGTCGATACTGTACCTTCTGTACAGGCTTGCAGAGGAAGAGCCAGGGGAGCATCGACGAGGACCCCTTGCAGAGTCAGCACAGCTCGCCAACCTATTCCACAGAGAATCCACCGAGAAGTTAAAGGCGCTCAAAGACTTGGATGATTCTGGGCCTGAACACACTTCGCTACTGAATGGCTCTGACGTTATGAGCAACGGCGGCTTTTCAGGCCAGGAGTATCCCTCTCACGCTCGCTCAAGAACCCAGAAGCCTCCTGTCCCCAAAATCAACCATGCAGAACCCGGCGTTGATCAGGAAGTGGAAGCTAAAGATTACACAATCGATCCTCCCGAAGATGCTCTCCTACGAGATCTACCCTTTAATCTGCAAGGCCTCTCCTCAGCCCATCTGAACTTTACAAGTTCCACTACAGTCAAACTTCCCCCAACCTTACCGATTCCTATCATTTCGCTGCTTCACAGCCTTGCGGAACCATGCCTGCTATACCGTGGCCTTTTCGAATTCACACAAGCATCAGATGGCGGGCTGGTCAGTCAAAGTCTTCGAGCAGCAATAGGGATCGAGCTACGCTCTTATCTTAGCCTCGTCGCAACACTAGAAGGAGAGATTAGAAGGTGGTTGACTGCTGTGGAGAAAGATGATACACCAATGGGGGTCCGAAAGGCCGGGGTGACCCTGAAACGTTGCGTGATCTGGACAAGAGATGCCACGATGGGATTACGTCTGATGACTCTGGTGGTGGAAGAGTCCAAGCAGAAAATAGGGGGCCAATTGATCTCTCTCATTCATGGTTTCTCTTCGTCCCATGGCGACCCTTTCGTGGGCGCATTTGCCGAAAGATTACTCACCCGAGTCACCCGGCCTTTCTATGATATGCTTCGACGGTGGATCTATGACGGAGAATTGGTAGACCCATACCATGAATTCTTCGTATCTGAGCCTGACCCATCCACTCGCCCCGACGTTGATCCAAGGCGAGTCGAGACATCTGTGTGGGAAGACAAATATAGCCTCGATCCATCGATGATGCCTTCCATCATCTCCGCCGACTTTGCAAAGAAGATCTTCCTCATCGGCAAATCTCTCAACTTCCTCCGTCACAACTGCGGTGATTCAGATTGGGTAATTGAGCACTCCAAGTCAGCAACCAAAGAACTCCGGTACGGAGACACCGCCACACTTGAAGCTTCTATCGATAAAGCCTACAAAACCACAATGACGCGACTCACTCACCTCATGTCCCACAAATATCACCTCTTTACTCATTTTAACGCCATCAAGAAGTATCTACTTCTCTCACAAGGCGACTTCATCGCTCTGCTCATGGAATCGCTTGCGCCACACCTCGATCGTCCCGCATACTCACAATACCGCCACACCCTGACATCACAACTTGAACACGCCATACGGCATTCTAACGCACAATACGACGACCCGGAGGTGTTGCGTCGACTTGATGCTCGAATGGTAGAGCTTGGCTCTGGAGAAATCGGTTGGGACTCCTTCACGCTAGAGTACAAAATCTCACCACCATGTGATGTCGTCATCACCCAGTGGGCAAGCATGCAGTATCTCAAAGTATTCAATCTACTCTGGCGGATCAAGCGGGTCGAGTTCTCGCTATCGACGACCTGGCGGCGCTGCATGACCGGATCGAGAGGCATTCTCTCCTCCGTCGAGGATAGAGTCGGTGGGGATTGGAAACGAGCTCGATGCGTGATTGCTGAGATGGTCCATTTCGTTAATCAGCTGCAATACTATATCCTCTTTGAAGTGATTGAAGCTAGTTGGGATCAGTTGCAGACAGCGATGAACAAACAGGATTCCACACTCGACGACCTGATCGAAGCCCACAAGAAATACATCAACTCCATCACGCACAAAGGTCTGCTCGGCAACCCCCGACATGCCAGTACGGGCCAACGGGAGGATTCATTCCTATCGCAGCTACACTACGTCCTGAAGAATATGTTGGCGTACAAGGATGTCGTGGACGGGCTGTACTCGTACTCCATAGCGGAGTTCACTCGACGACAGGAATTCAGTGCCAAGATCGAGCACCGGACTGCACAGGGGAAATGGGGCATCACGGAGCGAGACCTGCTTCCATCGGAATCCTCACGTGCCTCGACACCTATCTCTGTGGGCAACCAGCCGTATCGGCAATCCGCGCTCCTGTCTGACAGTGACTCGCCACTCCCGCTCGGCTCCATTGGCGCAGGAGCTGACAAGAACCTCCTCGTTTCGCTTCGTGCGCGTCTCCTTCAGCTCTCCGCAGAGTTCAAGAGCAGAGTCAACATGCTGCTCTATGATCTTGCGCATCAGCCGGATGTGGATATGCGGTTTCTGGGTGTGGTGATGAATTTCAATGAAGTCTATAAGCCGGTCAATGTGAGGAGGCAGAAGGTGAAAGAGCGGGAAAGGGAGAGGAGGGAGATGGAGAGAAGAAGTAGGGAGGTTAGTGCCGTTGCTGGTGAGGAAGGGGAGGGGAGTGGGAGCCGAAGCGCTGCAAGAGCTTGAAGGCGGATTATATTGCCGGTGATGGCGAATCACAGCGATACGGACTGAGCTGATAATTGCAGGGAGACCTAGAAAGGTGTTGACTGAGTTAAAAATGAAGCGTTGGAGGAATGTATCGAAGCATAATTGGAGACTGTGCTGTTTCGGGCTTGATGCTAAGTCGTCTGATGCCAAGACGCTCGCATGAAGATGACCTTCAAGTTGCATATCATCTGAAGAGAGCTCGGCGAGGTGTGGCACTTCGTATTACTGTTGGGCTCATGTAGCCTTCGAAGCCTGGGGTTTCTGTTAGTCTCCCGCAACTTGAGCGGTTTTTCCCTGCCAGCAAGGCCGCAGGATGTCGCTTGACTTACCAGCGAAGGCCACCACAAATGCCGAACGCGTCACGAAGAGCCGGCAGTTTTGGCAAGACATATGGGCGCGTCTCGTACCATTTCTCGATTGATACCCGAACCAAATCCATCTTCATGGCTACGTCAAAAACGCTTGGTGGTACCGCAAAGTCTTTCTCGAGCACAGCGAACGCCGATGTAGAAGGCAGGCATATCCTTGAAATCCAAGAAAGCTGATGGTGGAAGGACTTGGAAGCAGCCATAGCAAGGAAAGAATTCTCGGGTTTTCAAGTGCTGCTCCAGATTCTGAGATTTCGAGCCGCAACAGCAGGTGCTGGAATTTGTCCTTGGTCAAGGTCATCGGCAGGTCTCGAAAGTATCAGTCAACTAAAGCTAGTCTGACGACAGAACGGTAGTTGAGCTGGAGCATAATTTGAAGCTGGATTTCCGTTGGGAGCGACGAGGGGGACATTTCGATAGCTTTTGGTTGTGTCGTCAGCTCGACTTCAGTTGGGTTAGTGGGAAGAATTGGCAAAGGGACCGCTTCTGGTGGTGCGGACATCTGTTAGGAGATTAGGGTTGGGCTGTAGTCTGGAGAAAAGAATTGTTTTGGGATAAATGACCGGAAGTGCAAAGTACTGAACTGTAGAGGTTTGTGGTGATAAGAAGTACTACAGTACTAACTACTAATACTTAGTACTTGAGAGTAGTAACTTACTACTTAGCAGGAAGAAGCCCACTTTAAAAAATGGTAAGAGAGCCACTAAAGTGCGTTTAGACTTAGCCTAACCGTAAGATTGCCTAAGTGTACCAGGATATGTAGCTAAGACATCTGTAATCCAATAAGATTTCATCATTTATAACGTTATTTATCACAAAATATGATCCTGCTATAGTCAAAATATGCTTCTCTGATCATACTAATATGGTTTTTAATTGACAGAATAGTTGCCATTCCTACTAACGGCACTTAGCCTACATTTTTTATTACCCCTTCTCCTGGTACGTAGTAGGGATCACTCTGAGGCAGTCTTGGCATCTGTTTAGTCGTCCTGAGCAGATTCGTCATCCCCAGCGGAGTCGTCGTCCCCAGCAGATTCGTCATCTGCTTGATCAAGCCTGCCAGTGACATTCTGAAACTCCTCACTGTCAATCACAACCTGCGCCCGGCGGAATCTGATAAAATTGCGGACGGTATGGCTGATACCCCATGGCGAAATCTGTGAATTGGCAGACATGACTGGAGTTCGTGTTGCAGCTCAATGACAGGCATGGTTATTGCGGATCATCTAGCTCGCTATCCAGAGAGCAGGAGTCCTCCATCTTCATATTCTATCGGTTTGCATCAGCAGCGAGCATTACAAATGTGAACATGCAGAGGAATGCGATGATCTTGTCAGATAATGTGAGGGCAGATCTCCACCTCAGCTGTTCGCCCATCATCACTGACTGGGAGCGGACAGCTGATAGGTCATTGCAAGACACATCCAGCACTTAGGCATCGCTTGCATGCTTTATTGCATGATAGATGATGTTGGTGGTTGACATAAGGTCAGGTGTCATGCTAGAAAAGGGATACATCAACCACTCCGCCAAACGGACAGCGCTTGTGGGTTTCGAACCACACTTAATTGATGTACCCCTCACTGACTATAATGGACAGGGTAAGCACGCATCATACACTTGGAGATTCTGTCTTGTTATGTCTGTACGGAGGTGTGCAATCAAGCATCTGAAATGAAGAGAAATGCAGTTCCGTCACAACTGGCTTAAAAGACCCTCCCCTCAAACCAGCTCAATCGAACTATCATGTACATTCTTGATGGTGTTTATGGTAATCCTTGGACCTTGCTTTCGTTGACATTAGTACTGCTTGCTATCGTATGTCCCTGATTTCATCAGAACAAGTGTCAAACAATGAACGTTATCTAGTACCTTATCTTACTCGGCATCTACAATGTCTTTTTTCATCCTCTGGCTCGATTTCCAGGACCAAGATTATGGGCTGCTTACCGGATGACATACACCATATCGCTTCAAAGAGGTCAACTTCATATGCGTATGAAAGAGTTCCATGACAGATATGGCAGCATTGTCAGAATTGCACCAAATGAGTTGTCCTTCAACGATCCAAAGGCATGGAAGGATATTTACGGTAATCGTCCTGGCCACCTACCTTTTGAGAGAAATCCAACATGGTTCAAAGCTGCCAAACCTGGTAATCCCGATTCGATAATGGGACCAAATGAGGAAGCTCATGCTCGATACCGAAAGACGTTGGTGCATGCATTTTCAGACAAGTCCCTGAAGGAGCAAGCACCAATGATAGAAGGCTACATCGATCAACTGATCCGGAAGTTGCGAGAGATCAAGGATGATACCACAGTTGACCTCGTTGAATGGATGAACTTCACCACTTCTGATATTGCTGGCGACCTCTGTTTTGGAGAACCCTTCGACAATCTGGAGAATGGCAAGGCACATCCCTGGGTGGAGGGCTCGTATGATTTCGGCAAAGGTCTCGCCCTGATCGCATCTGTCAACTTCTATCCACCACTGGATCAACTGCTTCGTCTTGTGATTCCAAAGCAGATCATGCAGAGGACCACGGACCATAGAGAAATGAGTCGAGCCAAGGTTATGAAACGTTTATCAATTGATAGTGATCGGCCTGACTTCGTGACGCATATTCTCAAACAGAACAAGGAGAATGAAGCCAAGGCGCAGAGGCAGGCTATGAGTCCAGAAGAGATTGGGCTCAACATGACGGTGCTGATCTTCGCCGGCAGTGAGACAACAGCCAGTGCTCTTGCAGGGATTATAAGAATGCTGCTTCAGAATCCGGACAAATTGAGGAAGTTGGTCCATGAAGTCCGATCCTCGTTTGGGCAGGAGGGAGAAATGTCTATCGCCTCGGTTGGCCATTTGGAGTACTTGGGAGCAGTCATCAATGAAGGTTTGCGACTTTGTCCTCCAGCGGTGATTGGAGTGCCCCGAATTGCACCTGTTGGAGGAGAGTGGGTTTGCGGGCAGTATGTGCCCGAAGCAGTACGTTTTGACCTTCATAACTTTGTATAGCCACAGCTGACATCTTGAGCCCGCCTAGACTTTCGTGGCAGTGAATCAATATCCTACCCATCGCTCAAAACACAATTTCGGGAACCCAGACGGCTTTGTACCCGAACGGTTTTTGTCACCTTCGAGTACGGACGACTTGTCAGCATCTCAACCTTTCCTATCAGGCCGCCACAGCTGCATTGGTCAACCACTTGCGTATGCCGAGATGCGTCTGATTCTCGCTCGATTGATGTTTGCATTCGATTTCCAGCTTGCAGATCCGAAGGACGTCTGGGACTGGGGCACCCAAAAGACATTCATCTTCTGGGAGAAACAGCCCTTGAAAGTATCTCTCCGGAGTGCAGCCTGATGATCTAAGAGATAACAGACGAATTCTCCGTCCTTGATACAGCCTGGTGATTGCTTGATAACTAATCAATAACATTTGGTTGTGCTGCGGGTAAAGATGCCCTGCATCTTGGAACATGTTAGTTGGGAACCACCCCAAACGCCAAGCCAACCCTCCCCCCCGGGTTAGGCGTTGAGGCGCTCCGCTTTTAGCAGAAACCTAATTGAAACGCTTCATCCACCACATCTCCTCCTTCCTGCTTCTTATAGTATTGTACGGCGCTTCTATTCCTCCTGGTGTCGACGAACACTGCTTCAGAATAGTCCAGATGACCCGAAGTTGAGGTTTTGGTGCTCCCAGGTCCTGCCGTAAACAAGCACTGATGCTCATGATGAACCCTTTGTTCGGCCAGGGCCCACCCATCCTTGGTCGAGAAGTCCCCTCTGCTCTCTAACGTCTGCTGTCTGGTTTCATCCTGGTAACTCACCATGCCCTCACTCCCGGTCAGAGTGCTGCATAAGGGAGTACATTCCGCACCGTCTGATTTTCCTATCCTTACCCCCAGTCTTTCGCGAGCAGTCGTTCATTTGTAAAGCCTGCTTGATCTTCGCGTCGAATTGTGATTCTCCAGCTCTGTAAAAATATCGTTCGGCTATGGGGAGGCCAATAGTTGATGTGCGCCACGTTGCGGATGGCGAGTTTCACTTCAATACCACCGCAATAGTAGGGAAGATCCCAAATCCAGTCATCCAGCTTCTTGTCAGACAGATTCAGAAGATTCTAGCTGATACGAAGTATGTCAACGTCACTGTTACCATCGTGTGAGTTCAGGCACCATCCAGAGGCACATCCTATGCTGACAGATAATTAAGAAAAGCGCCACCTCTTGAGGAAACCGTGGACCCGCAAGGTAGAGTCGGTTTTAGACTTAAACACGACGATCCGCAGAAAAGAGGGCCTGAGATCGAGATCAGAACCCTCGATGGTCTCCTGGCTGGATCATATACGTTGGCTATGACTAGAACCGGAATCGCCGCCAGTTTCCCTCCTCCAAGGCAATTGCTTAAACAAGTCACCTGGGGCCGCAACAAGGCGAATCGGACACAACCAGCAGCCGTGGGCTATCCAGCACAACCAACGGCAATCGGCTATCAAGGTCAGCCTGCAGCAATCTCATATCCAAGTAACCCAGGTGCCATGGGTTATGGACAGGCTACTAGAGGCCTTGACGAGCAGCGACAAGGTTACGGACAGGCTCCTCGGGGGTTTGGAGGCCAGCCAAGTGGTAATGGACGAGCCCCTGGGCCCCTCCGACAAGGTTATGGACAAACCCCTCAGAAATTCGATGCGCAAAAACTTCCTGGACAGGCACCTCGGACTTTTGGCGGCCAACAAGGACAAGCCCGTCACGGGTTTGATGCGCAACGAGACGTTCACGGTCCAGATGAACGGGGCTTTGGCGGGCGCCAGCCGGAACCTGGCCTACCAAGGACAGATTCAGCTCGTTTTTACAGTTCAGCCCCTACTGGGCTTCAGCCTCCAAGACCTGTTGCCGCATCGAGAATGCCAACATCTTCAGCACCAAGACGAGCTCCAGTACCTCCAAACGCATTCTCTCGACCTCCAGCTGGTCATGGCCAGGCTGGAGGCCAGCAACAGCGCTTTGACAACAACCCCAAACGTGAGAAAAGCAGTGGTGGCGGTTGCTGCTCCGGCGGTGGCGACGATGACGAGGACGGCCAGCGTCAAGGTCGTAATGGGCAGCCTCAACGAGGTTATGGCGATCGCCAAGGACGACAACAGGGCTTCAACAAGAACTCCAGACGCGAAAAGAGTGGTGGCGGTTGCTGCTCAGGCGGTGGTGACGATGACGGCGGTGCTCCTGCGAGATCAGCATATGACAGGTTAGGAGATCCGAAGGAAGACAGAAAGAAGTTTGAAAAGGAGAGGAACAAGAGGGAAAAGGAAGAGCGGAAGAAGATGGAGGAATGGAGGAAGACTCAGAAGAAGAAAGGGAAGAACACTGGTGGCTACAGCGCCCCAGAGAAATCCGGCTTCTATGATGATAAGCAGAGCGACGGTGGTTGCTGTGGAATGAGCTGCTGCTGATGTTGTCGATGATCTAATGATTATTGCTTGTTTGTTCGTTTGTTTGTTTCAGTTCTCAGAGTGCAAGTCAGACTGTATTGTATCTGAAGCATCTGGGAAATTTAGCTAGACGAATAGAAACCGTCGTCTCTGAAACTTCAGTAATGGACGGATTGTCTCCAGGCATGGGCTGATTTTGTTGTGGGATTGTCATGTGCGCCTTAGGATCAAGATGCGTTGTGCCGGGCGAGCGTGGCGGTGATGACCACTGACACAGGCGTCAGGTAAATCAGAAATCCTCCTCATGTAATATAAGACATAATCCTTATTCTTGTAGTAATTAGCTCCAGAAAAGCACCACCCCCAGGGGATGGATAGTGGCCGTGCCGGAAGCATTGACAGCATTCTTGCGGAGGATCCAGTCCTTCTTCCAACACCTTATCGAGGGAGTTCGGAGCATCCTGACTCGATTGAGCGATCCTGAGATCTGGCCTTGGGTTGAATCTCTTCCGAGTGGTATTGTGACTTGGTGGTTCACCAAATATCTTTTCCGCCTTCTCCATCTGCGGTGGCCCGCAGACCTCAACCACGCAATTTGGTGTCCGCTGTTCATCCTGCAGGCGACTTTTTGCACCCAAATTCGACAACCCCAGCCAAAAACTGCGCTACTCTTTCACGATCTTATCATCATGGCTTCAGTCGCCGCTGGGCTTTTCAGTTCTCTGCCTAAGCCGAAATATACTGGTGAACATGAAGAACTTCCAGCACATACTCAACAGAAAGGACCTAGAATTGTCGGACCAGGAGTGTTAAATGAATCGCAGATTGTTCTCAAGGTCAGTCGGACTCTGTCTACACTGTCTGCCTCGACTTCCATCTACTGACTATTTCTTTCAGAGGTCCGGCCCACCACCCTATGGCAAACGATCAGGATGGCGACCACGATCAGCAGAAGATTTGGGCGATGGAGGTGCCTTTCCAGAAATCCCAGTTGCTCAATACCCACTCGATATGGGTCGAAAGGGCACCGCCTCCACGTCGAATGCCCTGGCTGTCCAAGTCGATGCGGAAGGAAAAGTGAAATACGACGCCATCGCTCGGCAGGGTCATAGTGAGAACAGGATCATACACTCCAGCTTCAAGGACTTGATACCACTACGGCAAAGAGCTGATATGGGGGATCTTTCGCTTGAAAGACCAAGCCAAGAAGACGTCGCGGCAGCTACGGAAAAGACGAGAGCAGCGCTTGAGAAACTGGTCAGTGGAGCAGTTGCAGCACAAAAGCCGAAGAATGTCAAGGGCCTGAATAGAGCAGAACCCACATACGTCCGGTATACCCCTGCAAACCAGATGGGCGACACGAGCCGGAAGAATGACCGTATCATGAAGATTGTGGAAAGGCAACAAGATCCAATGGAGCCACCAAAGTTCAAACACAAGAAGATCCCCCGAGGACCACCCAGTCCTCCACCGCCTGTCATGCATTCTCCGCCGAGAAAACTTACAGCAGAAGACCAAGAGGCATGGAAGATACCTCCGCCTGTTTCGAATTGGAAGAATCCAAAGGGTTATACGGTACCCCTCGACAAGCGTTTAGCAGCAGACGGAAGGAGTTTACAAGATGTCACGATCAACGACAAGTTCGCTCAATTCGCCGAATCACTCTTCACAGCAGACCGGCATGCCAGAGAGGAAGTCAAGCAAAGAGCACAGATGCAGCAGAAGCTGGCGGAGAAGGAGAAATTGCAGAAGGAGGAGCATCTACGAATGCTAGCCCAAAAAGCGAGGGAGGAGAGATCAGTGGCGTCAGGATCAAGGAGGGAATCAAGGGCACGATCATATTCCGGTTCATCCTATTCCTCGCGGTCAGACAGCGGCAGCGACGGCGAGGCTGCAAGGGAAAGGATGCGAGCTCGACAGGAACGACGACAAGAAAATGAGAGGCAGCTGCGCCAGTCGAGGATGGGAACAGAAAGGCGGATACAGATGATGGCACGGGAACAAAACCGCGATATCTCAGAAAAGGTGGCCTTGGGTCTGGCGAAACCAACGCCGAGTAAAGAGACCATGTACGATTCTCGACTTTTTAATCAAACCTCTGGGTTCGACTCCGGTTTCAACGAAGACCAACACTACGACAAACCACTCTTCGCCGCACAAGACGCGATCAGCAGTATCTATCGACCAAAAGCACAACAAGATGATGATGTTGAAGATGAAGGCGCAGCAGATGCAACGATGGGGAAAATTCAGAAGAGTAACCGGTTTGAGGTTCTGGGGAAAGCTAAAGAAGGGTTCAGAGGTGCAGCGGATGCGGATGAGAGGGAAGGGCCGGTGCAATTTGAGAAGGACAAGGACGACCCTTTTGGTATTGACAACCTGATTGGGGAGGTTACGGGGAAGGCTGTCGGTGGAAGTGGTGAGAAGGGGGGGAAGAAGAGGTTTGGACTCGAGGAGGCGGAAGATAGAGAGAAAGGAAACAAGAGGGCAAGGATGGAGGATGATGGGATAAGGTGACCCAATGTGGCCATCAGGGTTGAGCGCCTGCCGGCATGAGAGTCGGTGTACAGTGCTATCTTTATACCACCGAGCAAGGTATAATTTGCATTGCGTTCTCGATGTGTCCCAGTATCCGATGATCGCTCTCCTATCTCCCGTCAATTTGCTTGCGGTGATCCTTACCAATCTCGAACCTTGTGTGGTCTTCCGCGCTTCATGTCTTCCAAGTGATGTTGCTTCCAAACTGTGCTCTCATTACCATCCTTATTCCGCTAAGAGAACCCAAACCTTGTTACCGTCACATCCTGTTCCATGCAATGCCCGCTAATGCGTTCAGTCCTGTAGAGGAATGCTCCCTTATCCCAAGAAGCAGATGCTTCTCTACTAACTGCCGCTATTTGACAAGATATAGTACGTATCAGAAATTGCTCGCATGCTTCAAAAATGGGGGAGAACAGCAGACCACTCGACAGTCTTGTACGCACTTGGTGTCAACGCTCTCAAAGTGAAAATCGCTTCCCAAAGAATGTATGCACGGGCCAGGGCATAAAGAAAGCCACCAATGTAGTATGGGACCAGTACCCTCAAGGGCACTTTCCAGATGGGGCCGCGGCCAGCAAAATTTCGCACACGCTCAGCGATTCGGTGAGTCTGCTCCCAAATCGATAGTTCCAAGATCCATACAAGATGTTTGCGTAGCCGTTGGATTGATCCTGTGTGCTTGCGTAGGTGCTCGTGAAGTTGGCTGAAGTAGGGCATCCCCCGGAAAGCGTAGATCTCGACCGACCAGATTAGAAAGATCACCCCTGCCGTCAGACTTACAGCCACTCGCCAAAGAATGAGCTCTATTCGGCTTGGGAAATGAAAGCCCCACCCAGCGAAATGGATGGCGGCGTAGATCAGGTGGATGACAAAGACAATTGGGAAGCTTCGGAACGGTGGTTCGGGGATGTAGTCATTTGGTATGCGTTCAATGGGACGACGTTTGGGTCCAAACCGTAGACCTAACTTCTTCAACATTTCAATAAAATACGTCCAAACCAGATTCCACGAAAACTCGACACCATCTTGAACAAAGTCAAGCAGTGTCTTGTCCCAATCCTGTGATGCTGAGTCTCCCCGTCGGGCAAGCATCTCGGCAATTGTGAAGTTAGGGTTGAGAATAATAGATGTATCGACATCCATCGGCTTGTGAAGCCAGCAGCCACATGTTGCGAAGGTGCAAACGATAAACCCGAGCGTGGTTAGCTCGAAATGGTGATGGCAAGTTGCTGAGTTGCACGGCCAATGACGTTGAGTACGAACCAGCTGATTTGGAAAACAGTAATGGTCCGTATGAATGCCTCGGCCTTATTCTTGTCGTCAATAGCCTCTTTTGTTACGGTTGGGAAATCTAGCAATTCTTCCTTCACTAGGTAGTGGAGCTGAGCTGCATTCAATGGAAACGGATCACAGTCTGAGGTATGTAGAAAGAAGCCTCCCATTTCGGCGTACCAAGCATGGGTCATGGTCCATGATGAGTAGCCCAATGTGTGGAAATCTCGAACAGATCGACGTGCCGCGTGGTACTGTCCAAAGGAAATTTGGAAGACAAGTTCTGGTCCTAGGATGCCCAGGGCGGTCATGTACAATTTTCGACGTGATCTGGCCCAGTAACTGTCTCCAAGTGCGGGAAGGTTGAGACATAGTGTTGACCAACTGCACAAAGATATGGTGAGGACACAGGACCAGACAATATCGATGGTTCCTCGGCCCTGGGGTGAAGGAGTCCATCCTTGTGTCAGAGCGATAGAGTCGTTTCCTCTGGATAACACAGATGAAGCCTCGTCATCTTGAAGCGGCACACAAACAACAAAGGACAGTGCGGAAAGACACGATGAGCAGTAGAATAGAACAGCAAGACCGACTCGCATGGTACAACGATTCGAGATGCCCAAAACGCCGGCCCAAAACGCCGGCCCCAAAACTTGAAAACTCAGAGAACGAAAGAAAATATTTATGCTGGGCCTGATCGGTGAAGGCCTCGAAATGAAACATAGCACAGCCATCATGGACTTGTCTTTCACACGGGAGCAGACAGGTTTGCTGACGGATGTGATATGTAGGCAAGGATCTTGCATGAAAGAGAAGCCTCAAGCCAATACCGCAGACACCTCAAGCAAGTCCTTTTAGGCGCCAGTATCGACTTTGGGGGCCGCGGGAGCGCAAGCGGGCCATGTCTTGAGTTTCCCCGCGGTCCGTTCCCTACATCGAGCGCCTTGTCTTGGTCTCGAGGACCCTAGACAAGAGTGAGTCTGCCACGGGAGCGTAAATTATGGTGCTATTTAGAAATTGAAGACTGGGTGGTGTGAGGAATAGGACGCATCAACCACTCCGCCAAAAGGACAGCGCTAATGGGTTGAGAACCACTCTTGACTGATGTATCCTCTGACAAAGTGGAGCTAGATTGGAGACAAGACTGACCATGCTGCCATACCAAGCCACTACTGGCCAAATCTGCCGGCGAATTGGGAGGAAATCTTTTTCTTCATCCATCAGCTACTCCTCGTATATGGATCTACTGAATCGTCCTTTTGTGTTCTTTCTGATTGTAGAGTAACAGAGAATTGGTGTTGGCCCATGGACCGGCATCATCAAGATGTGGCTGCGATAGCTGCTAAGGTTCGTGATTCCTACGACCGCAACGAGGCATTCCGGATCTACCATGGGTCAACGAATAGTACAAGGACCATGCAATTTCGAAAGGACAGGGTTGTTGACGTTAGTCATCTGGGCCATATCTTGACAAGTGATCGAAGCTAACAACTTGCATGGGTAGAACCCAATGTGTCAATGGAAAAGCTTGTTAGGGCAACCCTTCCAGTAGGCCTGGTACCAAAAGTCGTCATGGAGTTTCCGGGCATAACCGTTGGGGGCGGATTTGCAGGCCCATCCGGAGAAAGCAGCTCTTTCAAATATGGCTTCTTCGGAAACATTTTGGAATCCATTGAGGTCGTCCTTGGAAAGGGCGATATTGTCACAGCCTCTGGGACCAAACTTCCAGATCTGCTGGAAGCTTCCTGTGGTTCTCTGGGTACCTTAGATATCATAACATTGCTTCATATTCAGCTGACGGAAGCGAAGGAATTTGTGCAACTGGATTGCTACCCTGGCTTTCACGTTCCAAAGGCCATTGAAAAAATCTAGGCCGCTGGTGCTGATGACACTAACGATTATGCGGATGGCATACTGTTTGCGCTGAACCGTGCAGTAATCATGGGGGGGCACCTGACTGACAAAGTCAGCCCTGGTGTTCAACTTCAGGCCTTTAGCCGTGCACGAGATCCGTGCTTCTACATCTTTGTCGAAAGGCTCTTTAATCGGAAGAAGTTGGCTTCTCTGCCAAAAGACTGTCAAAAGCTAAGACCAAGGTGGCTAATTTCATAGCCACACTCTAGCGGCAGTCAACTCTACTTTTGAAGCACGACTCCGTACCAGATGCGAGTTGCGAAAGAAGGCCGCATGGATAAAATATCGTCAGTCCACTTTCCATTGCTGGAGGAAGGGAAGGCGCCTAGGAGCGACGTCTCAAGTGGCGAAATATACGTTACTCGAATGTACTCAGTGCTGCTGTATTTCAGTTAAGTATATTTAGCGTTTAGGTCTTAGCAGGTAATTTATTATACAAATTGCTAGCAAATCTACCCACTTTAACTATAAGTAATTAATATATTCTATTGACGTTGTTATGACTTCCCTATTAGGAAATAAATATAGAAAATGTGGTGTTATAGAAATCGCTCTATCCTTTGGCCTCTTTGCCCCTGCCCCTGCCCTGCAACCTGTTTTGGCGCTCATTCAAACGATAGCAAAGCCATGCGACAAGGCCCAGCCTTAAAGGCGCTCTTGACCCAGATCTGGAATGACGAAGACCTCATTGGCGATAGGGGGCAGCAAGAAGAAGGAGTTAAGAGAGCGCATACGCCTCTCAAGCTTAGGTTTAAGGTGCTCTGGGCAATCAGGATGGGCAGTCTATAACGACATAGCTATAGCAAGAATAACAACGCTAAGAATATCTATCTCAGTACTTATTTAGGAAGTAACAACAAGCTCAAGATCGCAGCAAGAGTGAGATTGTCAGAGTGTTAGATAAACTCAGGAACGCTACATACAAATTACTACTTACGGCGGAGTCACGCTAAGACCCAAATGCTGAATTTACCGTTGCCGAATATACCGTTCTGAATATACCGTTCCGACGCATTCCGGTACAGATTTCATGGAGCAGGATCTCCCTTCCTGGTTTCCCCCTCTTAAGAATTTATTTCAACCTAAAGACACCAAATGAAACTCCAAATTCAGCCTCTTCCAGCTTTCTCCATCTTTCTCTATCGCCAACACCCTGAACCGTTATTCTATTTGGAGACTCCCCATCCGCTAAACTGTGTCTAGTATGGCTCGCCCCAACCTCACCTGGCTTATAACCGGCGCCTCAAGCGGGATCGGCTACGAATTAGCCGTCTACGCCCTTGCCCAAGGCCATCAAGTCGTAGCTACATCTCGCTCACTCAGCCGGCTCCATCCTCTCAGAGCCAAAGGAGCGGCTCTAATCGAACTCGATCAGAATCAGTCGTTCGAGCATGTTCAGACAGCCATCAAAGCCGCCTTGGAGGTTTACCAGGGAGTGGATATCGTCGTGAATAATGCCGCCTACGTCCAGACAGGCATGTTAGAGGAGACGACGTGAGTTGACTATCAAGTCTCTCTTTTAATTTGCGTATCGTGAAATATACAAGTTGCTATAAATCAGTAATGCTGAGAATAACATCTAGTCCAGAGGAGACTCTCCAAGAATTTCAAGCCAATGTTTTCGGCCCTCTTAACATCTACCGTGCCATCCTCCCCCATTTTCGCGAAAAGCGCTCCGGTCTGCTCGTGACGATCGGCAGCATGGCCGCCTGGTACCCAATGCCAGGTTGCAATCTGTATAACGCGTCTAAAGCGGCCCTTCGCTGTATCGGGATAGGTTTGCAGGGCGAGCTCGCCAGCTTCGGCATCAAGCATTGTCTGATTGAGCCGGGCTACTTCCGTACGGAGCTCCTCAGCTCCACAGCTAATATGGCCAAGACTGACGAGAAGAGTCGTATACCGGATTACGCGGAGCTGAACGCCACAAATGAAAAGAATTTTGATGCTTTTCATGGCAATCAGCTTGGCGATCCGGTCAAAGGCGCGGAGATTGTATTCAATGTGCTGACCAGCTCTGGCACCGCTACAGGGAGGGAAGTTCCACCCTTCTTCCCGTTGGGAAGTGACGCTGTGAGTGAAATCACGAAATCGGCGGAACAGACAATCGAGCAGGTTAAGGAATGGGCTGATCTTAGTTCTATGAGTGATTTCCCGAGTGGGAAATAGTTAGCGCAAGCTCGGCAAATGGTCTGAGGGGTATCTAACGTCCTTGAGATGGAATCCCTATCTAGACACGCCGCTCAAAACGGGCCTCCATATCTGCGAGGCTGATATGCCTTGGCCGAACTTTGATTCTTCCCAGAACACATACTCCCAGGTAGTATTCAGAGCATGCTCATGGTCAAGCCTCAAGATGATATATATTATTGTTATGTGTGGACGCTGGCTGTGCTCTCCAACAGGGTCAGTCTTGCTAAGAATGGGCCTCCCCATCCCAAGCCCAACAAAAAAGGTCTCCAGACCGTTGGCATCGTGGAGTAAGCAGAGTAGAAAAACCACCAGTATTAAAATAAGCGCGCCAAACATCTGGTCACTTGCACCCCTACTCCATCAGATGAAGAGTTGCTTATCAGCACATTTCTTCGCCAGCCAGCCAGCCAGCATGCCCGGCCCTCGTTTTCAAGTAGTCTTAGCAGAAGTACCAACCAACTTATGTGGAGAAGGACTCTGAAAATAACACGGTATTGGTTGTTAGCAACTTAGTAGACGATTTGTCATTACAAGGGTCATGTGAGGGCTCGAATGCCCATAATTTGACCATTATATGGCCATAATTTTGGGGGAAACAAACATCCAAAATAACACAATCTTATTGGATATTAGATGTCTAGCTGAATGATGTTTCGTTGAAGTCATTCGTAAGAAAGTCAATCAATCCTGTCGGATTGCTCACTCAAGGTATCCTCCGAGCCATACGTATCCTGCGCGGCTTACTCCCACTTGTTTGGGAAAATTTGTTATATGGCGGACAGGTTGATAGTCCAGTTAGACTGGAGGGAGGCCCCGGATGTCAATGAAATGCTCTTCATCTTGTACATCCTCTTTGTGAATGTTGGGGATATCTCAAAGAAAAGTACTGCCACACAGCTGTCGAACTCACAAGCCGAGGGAGCGTACACACTGACACAATGGTTGACAGCAAGGGGAAACCAGACGAAAATGGCCGGGATCTGATGTGGGTCCGCTTTGGGACAGTTTCCAACTGCGGCATGAAAGTAAAGCGGGATAAGGTGTACTGGACCAAGTGGCTTCTCGTGCTCGAAGAAACAGTCATTCGTCTTTGTCCACTTCTGGAACGAGTCTGTCTCGGCGTTTGACAGGATACAAAATCGGCAGACACAATATTTCCCAAAGTTAGCCCACAAAATTCTTCAAGACGTGGCACTTACGATTGAAATTCACCCTTACGCTCTTGGAAGTGTAGCCGCGTCTGGCGGTCGTGTGTCCCGTCCCAAAAGGCTCCGACTTCAAGGTTGAATACGTACCAGATGTTCTTCAGTGGCTACAATTGAGGAACATGCAGTCTGAAACAGGGTCATTTCAGCTCACAGAACAACAATGCATCAAACATACATCTGTGGATGCATCCCAGATGGTCGTCGACATTAAATTGAAGAGGAGAAACATCAAAGCTGTCGTTGTTGCCGAGCACCGCAACATTCAAGCCAATATATTGAGTTTCCGAGTCCTAAATCGCAATTTTGACAAAATTCTCTTCATCCTAGTCAGTCCTAACACTAGATTCTTTTGACGACTTGACTGCTAACTGCGACAGACTGGAGGTTTTCGTGGCATACAAGCGGGCGAATTTTGGTCGATGCTTAGTAAATACGAAGAATTCTGAAGAGTACCTTTCATGTATATTTCCGATCATGATTTCTAGGCATTCCAAATCTTCTTGAATCTCAAATATGGCTCGAAAAATCTTGCGTGGGCCTCGAATACAAACACCTGCAAGCAGCTCCAGTGGATTGGCCTAACCGTCGCGGATTTAGACAAGGTGCTCGAAGCCGGGTCTCGTTTTCATGCAGAAGATCAGGCTCAAACCACACATCATGGACAGATGAAGAGAAGGAGAGTTGTCGGCTAGAATGGCTAGAGGGGTCAACGAAGGTGGTCATCGATCGGATTCAAAACGGCAAAGGCTGTCAGTACAAGAAAAAAGAAGACAGTAATCTGAGCAAGCATTGGACCCACTACGGGTTAATGGAGCGCGTACCCCGCGTGGTAAGAGAGCTTGAGCATATTCGGTCGCAGGGACATGGGGGTATATATCCCTCTTCTGAGTAAAAAAAGAGGGTCTGCTGACATACTGTAGAAGTATCGTCTGGCGCTCCTGAAGAAAAGCTATCTTTTCGGTCTTGAATGGTACATTTCACAAGCGATATCTGCACAGTTGGAGCAGTAGTGGATGTCAAGACGACAACATCTTCTTCAGGTGGGACTTGACACTCAGGCTGCTGTGAATACTGAGCCTGCAATCTGGGGCGGAGCTCTGGGACCACCAAGAGGGATGGCCATCTAAAGGAGTAAGACCATAGTAACAGATAACGGATACGCAGTATAGCAGCACTGCTGTATATCTGACAATCGCTGTAGCGACTATCAGAAGATTGAGGTTGTTATGATTCGTTATGTGTTTCGATACCATTGGTGATGCTGTTGCCCGCTATCAACGATAGCCTTCCACTCTACGCTGCTTGTGGATTTGCTCCAGACGAGTGTCGGTAGTAATGAAGGGGCACCTTTGAGCCGGGATGCTCGAGAAACTCTTTAGCTCTGCTCCATATGTGCTGGCCGTGTATTTTCTTGGAGCTTCTGCAGCTCCGCTGCGATATCTCTCCGAGCCTCATTCATTTCGTCTAAGCTCCCATCCACGGGTTCTGGTCCAGCGCTGTCATATACTAGCTCTTGAACCTCAATTGCTGCTTGATCGGGTTCATCGGATGGCTTCGATGTGGCTACCAGCTGCAACCTCATCTTTTCTAGGTCCAAACCCAAGGCTTCACACATCCCCTCCATAAGCGCTACCTTTCTCTTCCTATCCTGATTCCAAGGTCTCGAAAGCTCATTCTTCCTCCTCTCGAACTCTACAACCCCTAAATTCTCCCACAGCTCTCCCTTTCCGTGCAACTCCTTCCTCTCCTCTACTGGCTGGCCGAATGGCGTGATCACCCTATAAACCTCGAATCTTACCCCTCCACCCCTTCGATTTAGCTTCCCAGTTTCGTATCGATCCGCCATGGTCGCGGGCGTAAAGCGCGCAAACTCCACCACATCTCCAACGTGTAGATAGCCTGTCGGTTCATGCGCCAAGATCCGCGTTGGATGCTGAATGTGTCGTTTTAGCCAATTGTCGAAGCGTTGCGTATTGTAAGATATTTGCACGGTTTTGGACATAGTTCCCACGCGGCTAACGGTACCGACAAGGATTTTCGGTGTGCTGGGCGTTTGAGGTTTAGGTAAATTGGCACGAATCTGATCGATGGAAGGAGGGGTTAAGGTTCGGGTTCTGTGCGTACTGGTCGATGGTGTAGGGATGGTAAGGTATGATGTTGGATGCTGGGTTGTCACGGTAGCATAGGTGCGGGACAGCTCTTGTGGAAGTCTGCGTCGTGGAGTTGAATTCGCAATTGCACACTTTGTTCTTGATGATCGAGTTCTACATGATGTCGTGAATGGAGAAACAATGCTGGAAGCTGCACTGTTGAATGGCGGGAGGGAGACGTTAAGCCGCGACATGCTTTAGATGTGCCTGGATAGAGATGTTCTTCTGGGTGTCCCTAATGGAAGCGAGGTAGGAGATGGTAAAAGCGCTGATACATAGTTCTGTTAACTCTTAGGGGGTTCTTCTGAGCTTGGGAGATGGAACTAGACTGATCTAACTTGATGAAGTTAGAATAATATGTATACTACGTATCAGAGCCATGCCTCGGCAAATCATTGTCCCCTTCCATGAAGTGTACTTTCATTCCTCCAATGTTTAGTTTCGGACGACACTCACAGACTCTCAATGGCGACATTTTAGTACCGACAAGGCCTGACAATGATATCGGTAACGCTCTCGCTTCCCAGGACATGTCACTGGCCATCAACGTCCACCGGCCTCGAGTCTTGGGTTGCCATGGTATCCGAGTACGCTGCATACCTCAAATGGTCGCTCTCCCCTCCTTCTCGAAGCGATAAGTTCTCGCTTCTGAATACGCTGTTGCCGGATCTTGCCAGCTAGAAGAAACGCCTCAAAACTCACCACAGAGCTCGAAGCTAAGACCTTGAACAGGAAAGCAATAAAACCACGATGCGCAGATAATGCTATGTCCCATTACATCCCAGCCAACCCTCCGTTTTACACGTTCTACGCCTCGATTCGCTCCTCATCCTGTGCGCTTCATGGCCCCACCCTCTTGTAAAGTGTGAGAAATTTATGCAAGGGGTGCTCGATATTCAAAGATTCTCGATGCAAACCCTTTTTGTTCTCTACGTCATGAGCTTTACGCAAATCTGGCGATTCAAAAGATAGGTATTATGCATAGTTCATCGTCCTTAATAGAACCAAGAATTATCTGAGCAATTTAAACCGTCCGGGATATTGGCGATACAATGCCCAAATCTGGTTGAGATGGAAGCCTAATCTGAGCAGTTCCAGCGGGCCATCGTCGGCGAGAGAAGTATGCCGCCAGGTAGGATGCGGAGATGCTAGACATCCTCTCAAACGGGTTCCTGCGAAGAGCCGAAGATGCGGTCCACTCACTTAAGAAAGGCTTGATCATGCCGGATGATATGGACAGATCACAAAGCTTTTCCTGACGAGCCTCCCAATGACTTCGTTCTGCTGCGCTATGCTTGGATATGTTCAACGGTAAAGGTGCTGGTTATCTAGCAGGTTCCAATCTGGGTACGAATAGCAAGCACACAAAGCATTCACCGGAACACCCGTTGAGGGAAAGATATCATTCTTTCTTCGCCATTTTACTTCTATGCAGTTGCTCTATGTTCGGCAAGTAATAGATCTTGCCAGCATTACCTGACTCGCAGTCTTGTACTTCTTTGCTTATCGTCAAGACTGGTTATCCCACCACAGACTCTCTAATCTTCTCTTGTATGCTTGCGCAAGAATTCCTGGAATGTGAAACATCCATTAGAGGTAGCTGAGCTGCTTGCTAGCCCAAAACTTGAAGAGAATTATTCTTTGGTTGCCTGCAGACGGAAAGCCAGGCCATCCGCTCGAACTATGCGCCGTGCGAGGAATGCAAGGTGAAGGACGGTAACAGATCATGCTGCCCATACATCCTTCCCAACGCCCTCAATCCAATGACCCAGCTCGTTGACATTGTTATCCCATTCCTTCAGTCTCACCCTCATACCTTCTATCTGGCTCCGCTCCAGCACTTTCGGCTGCACCCAGTTAATCTTCGCGACTTCAGCCACTTGGTCAATCTTGCCCCGTAACAAACCCAAGCTCAACGCCTTCATGATCAGATGCTCAATCTCATCAGGCTTGACCTTTGTTTCTTGACTGATCGTTTGAAAGGTCATGGCTCGGTCGTGGGGTGGTCTTCGGAAGACAAGCTCCGTCAATGCCGCAAGGGAGATTTTTTGGTATAGGAACATTTTGTAAGATTCGAGAAGAGGATCTTTGTTGAGATTGTTGGAAAGTCGATCGAATGCAGCAAGATCGCCGCGGTTGAAGGCGAAGAGTAGGTCTCTGAGCCAGGAGTGCGGGTGAGGTGGTTGGAGAGCATTCAGGATTGGGTGGAGGAGTAATTCACCGAAATTGTAGATGCTATCTGATACGAGAGCTGCTATTGACAGATTATATGCTCGTGTCTCTTGCTCCTCGCGTGTCATATCTGCAATTTCGACACAGGCTAGGTAAAGCAGGGCATTTTTGTAATAGGAGGCAAACTCGGCTTTGGCTTGGTAATAATCGGCATTGACGCGGTAAAAGGAGGCATGTACAACGGTCTCAACGGAATCGAAATTGTCGAGCAGTTTCTCTGCGCGATCCAAATCTTTTCTGGCACTCTCTGCGTCGTCTAATCGGAGCTTGACACTGGCAACTTCGGTGATTGCATAAACGTAGGCATCTTGCGATTTTGGCTTGTCGACCTTTTTCGCGAGAGTACTGAGAAACTTCAGTCGATCTTGATCATCTGTTGCTTGATGTAAGCCCGGGAATCGTCACAGGAACGGTACATTGAGAAGACCACCTTTACACTGCGTCGAAGCCTGCAAGCCTAACCAGACAAGCTTGAGCTGGTTGATTTTGTCTGCGAAGCTGAGGATGAAATTGTTATAGACTGCTAATCGCTGCGAGGAGCTTTCTGGTGACCGGAAGAAATCCACGAGGCTATTTGTGAGCTCATGCCACAGCTTGCGCTCCCATAAATCCTCGAATGTGAGATAGAAATGCTGTACATCCGCTGGAGCTTGGTCTCGCTGTTCGGACAGGAAATCTGGGATGGCATCTAGGTCCATGATTGTTGAAAAAGCGGCCGGGAAGACAGTGGATGGTGACAAGGAGGAAATAGGATTAGGTAGCCTTATGCCTGAGGTTACAAAATGATCCAGGCAGTTCGAGTTAAGTCGAGAATCGATGTCTGGGCTTGGCAGCTCAAAGACTCCGCTGTGATTTGGCACCAGGAAGTGCCTCAATTCACCAATGCGGTGTTGCTTTAACCATGAAGCACATTATTCCTCTCCTCAATTGCAGATGTTAGACCTATCCATTTGCTACATGGTCTATGAAGCAGTGCAATGGAATTTATCACAATGTTCAAGGTCTCCTTTTCTACATTCGCATTTTTCGAGGAGGATTGAGCAGCATCTCTCTGAAGGGAAACAATGCGTTGAAGCAACCCTGGATCGAATATGGTTCTGCTCGTGGAGGTAGGTCAAGCATGCTCATCGCAATTTGTAAGCCTAGTCCATCATCCCATCATAGAGTCTATGTCTTTTCCATGTCAATCCGTGAGAACGGATTCGAAATCTCACCCATGAGCAATTCCATAACTTCAACAGCTCGCTTTCGACCCCTCAGATTGCAACCGTTTCGTCAGACGCTGAGATTGTGCTCTCGGTAAGCGGGCCTGAGAAGGCACATATAGCCTTACGGAAAGACTACGGAGTAGATGAAGTGGAGTTCGCCCTGTCGCCAATCTACAAGGCATACCGGCGTAGGAACCAATCAGATATGAAGTCACTTCACCTGCAATGCTTCGCTGTACCGACAGCATCAACACCCTGCTAATACTGGGGATTTTGTGTGGTCCATCTGCCAAAATCGGTTTGGCATGACTGGATGGATGTGGGCGTATGGGAAAAGCAACGTCCTACCCCCTGTCATCCGCTGGGAGGGATGATCGGGAGGGACGATCGCCCAGCCTTATGCTCGTGGAAGTGGATAGAAAACGATGCGGCGCATTCGGTTAGCCATAGTTTGCTGACAGTGTACAAGGCAGACTTTGACGCCTTATTAACGTTTCTTGGAGCCCCTTTGCCAAAATACCACATGTCAATGTGCGTCCATCTGAGTACTATTGGGGATTAAAAAGATGGCGGGAAAACATGCATACGGCACCTTTCGACGTCGACGCCAGATTTCAGACGTGGAAGCTGCCTTTAACCTCTCGAACAACTCTGCAGCAAAAGACTCTAGCTCGAGCGCCCGGAAAGAGATTCAACTCAGTAATCAAGCAAACGTAGGGCTCATAGTGGCGAAAAAATCCTCTGATAAACCCCTGGACAGGAGAGAAGCCGACTTTTTCGAGAAATTTCAACGGAAATGGGAGAACCCTCAATACCCTTATTGCCTCTTTCTTTGCTACGACAAGGGTAGCAGAGATCAAAGGACGGTACCAGTACTGGTCCAAGATCCGGAGGACGAAAAGCGGATCTATATAGATTTGAGTCGGACCTGGTACGGAAAGTATGGCTGGTGGTCGAGATACGTTCCGTTCTACGGTTTAATAAGTCTAGACGAAGTCGAGGTATTTGCACGAATGGTAATACTATCGCCGCTGACTGAGAACAAAACAGTTTCGCTTCTTAAGAGAGCAAGACAATGACTACTCCGTCATCATTCAGGAGCTGGATCTCTTCAAAGTCAAAGAAGAACTCAAGCACGATCTGGAAATTGCCGAAGGGGTAGTCGGTCATACCGAAGATCCTTCGTACCCTATACCATGTTATGAAGACGCCGCTGATGGACATTGGATTCACGATCCTAAATGCTTAGCCCCAAGTGGAGCGTTAACATGCGGCTACCATAAGAGACAGGATTGCGAACGAAGGCGCGATAGACTAGAATTACGATCATTGCTACTTTTATGCTTTGAGGACCCGGGGAAAGCTGTTGACCAGAGAACGTTGGAAGGCATGGCCAATGGTGGTTGCATCTACAGAGTCTCGTGAGTTCCAGCACAATATATATTGACCCAGCTGACACAGGCTGCAGCGAAATCGGAAACTACCAATTTCATCGATCACGTGTGGCAGAACGCACTTTCCGAGGCTTGATGATTCGCACTGGCTGGAAGTTGAAGCGGCTCGATACTAGCACAGTAGCATTGATGATTGTCATGTTGTGGAAGGTGACGGGAGGTAGTTGGGAAGCAGCTTTCGCCGCCGGTGCATTCTACATCATGCTTGTGAACCTATCGCCGATGGTTCGGAAGTAGGCACAATGCCTGTATCGATAGCTGTCAGACATCAGCTACTTTACCGTCCTCCGAGGGCCGCGGTCCTTTTCGTCCAACAATAGCTTGAGCTTGACCCGTCTGATGAGCCCAGGTCGACCAGGACTATTTCTAGACAAGATACCAACGCATGAGCATATTTAGTTTCCGGCGTGCAGACAGCAAGGGCGAGGACATCTATCCAACGTGTTATAAATAAGGAGAAAAATCCATTCTGCCTGCCCTCCCCGTAGGAGTCACCCATACGTTGCAGCTTCAGCCAGCACAATCTGCAAGCACTACGCTTCATACATGGGCGTTGCACAACTCTGCTATTGAAGCACGGATTGAGTTCACCCATGAGAAACAAAGGGGAAGCATTGTCCACACGACTTGATCCCAACAATATTCGAGACTCTCATCAGGTGGTCACACGCTAGATCTCTCCTTAGCGCTTCCAATGAGTTTATTAAATTTTGCTACTCCCTTCAAGTTGTGCCTTTGCACCCCAGACGCGCTTCTATCACCCAATATACTGCCCAACTTGACCGCGAAGCGACATCGGAAGAATAACGAAGTGTACCTCATGAAGGGAAGAAATACACCAAATGTCCAGGAAAACCCGGCATGCTAGCCTCATTACTGAGTAATTGGTGTCGGTGGCTCGCTGACATGAGAGAAAAGTGATAGTGATACTCATCAACAAACGGACTAATATTGCTCGTTAAACTACCTATTCTGCTAAGTGTTGCGTATCCAAGCTGCAGCCAGCATTGTTCGTGCCTTACATGAATGCTTACAAGAATAATCACCAACAAAGCGGTACCTTCAAGCATTAGTTTCCTTCCCCGCATATTCCTTACTTCTGCCCACCTTCTCCCATGGCGCAAACGCATTTTGTACATTCCTCAACGGCGCCCTCAGCTCAGGGAAATGGCGGCACAAAACATCCTTCATCGTGTTATCCTGAACCCAGGCTAAACCCTCATGGGTGTAAACTTCAGGTTTCCAGTCCGTCGCGATGTATCGATCACTTTTTAGCCGCCTACTAGCCATGAGGATGAACACCCGGAAGGCAGTGTCGCTAAACCCAAAACCCTGGGGTAGCGGTTCACATAGACATCCGACTAACAGATCCACCATTTCGAGGTCGCTATTATATATCTCGCGCAGCTCGGCGGCAAGTGATATATTGCCCCCAGTAAGGGCCTCGAACGATCGGACGGGTGGCATGTGGAAGAGACGACGGAATTGGTTATAGCGGGGTACGCCTCGTTCGCGATCGCGTAGAATGTCGATGGTGCCCAAATCCAGGTGGTGGCCGTCAGGTAGGTGAAGGTCGCGCAGGAAATTGGGAGTGTTCTGAATGGTGATGGCTCCAGGATAGTTGATACCGAATGAGTAAAAAACGTCAGCAAAAGTGAGACCGGAATCAAAGGGTTCGCGGGTTTTTTCAAAGGCCACGTCCTGAATTGGAAGGGTGGCTTTGTGAACACCAGACCGGACATTGAAAAATGCAATATCGTCTGGTATCAGAGGATGAAGACGGTAGACCGAAGTGAATTCCTCCGTTAGAGAGAAAGGAGTGTCGTTATGCTCTGCCACAGAACCAGGAATTCCGCTAATGGTTTCGCTCTTGGAGATACGGCCAAAGATCTTCCCGAGTTTCTCGCCGACAATACCTGACCAGTTCGCGTCCATGGCAATTTGGATTGTTGGGTGCGCGAGGATCGCCGGAGTCCACTCGACAGTGTGAATCTTGGCCATCAGTGCGCAATTTATCAGCCGAGCGGTATCGAAGAGCTGGTCGGAAGTCCAGTCAGGGTTGGCGCTGCGAAGGTGATTGCAGATAGAATTATGCTCCATGGCAAAAAGGGTGTGAATCAGTTCGAGTCCGAGCCACCAGTTCGTGTTGAAGCCGGTTAGGGGTATACCATCTTCACCACGGGGCAGGAAGTCTTGACCATGAATAAGATCAATCTTGAGTTTACCGTCTTTGCACTGGGAACGGAGACTGGCCGTCTTTGCCTCTGAAGAGCCGTATATCTGGCTGCCATCCCACCAGTGTGCTGGAAATTCCATGCATTAGAACTCTATAACGGGTCATGAAGTCAGGAGACGAGTCGACTTACTGTTCTGGTTCTTATAGCCAGGATATCCCACATCTTCATCGCCAAGTATCTCATCAGGCTGCGTTTTGTCGATTTTCATGGGCTTCTCCGGCCACTTGTCGCCTTGAGGTAGAGGAATCTCATGCTGCTCCGTGCTATTAAAGTGCTGGAGCCAGTCATGGACTTGAAACTGGATCCAGGCGGCGGCCAGCAGATTGACAATTGTAGCTTGTTTGAAAGTCCCGGGCTTTCTGGCAAGCAGCCTTTCGCTTATAATGCGGGGATTTGGGTTCATCAATTGTTCGTGAGTTGGAGCCCCGGTATGTTGTCTCGGAACATTTCGACCAAATCGCATACCTGCACAGCCCATACGGGGCCGTTCAAGGTCATTGAATTTGCCATCGGAGTTCCGTACACATAGGTCTTTGGTATCCAGTAGCTGGTCTGACTTTGTGTTTCCTTGATATTCCCAGGACGGATATGTATCGTGGAGGTTCTCAGCGCGGAGTTCAATCCGAAGGGCAAGGAGATTGAAGCTTCCTATGTACTTGGGCAGGCGATGCCATGGAACAACAGCATTAACGCATTTGTAGAACCAGATCAGCAGGCGCTCCCCGAAAGAAATCTTCATGGTTAGAAAGATGTCTGGCAGTCGACAAAGCTCACGCTGCAACGAAGCTTAAAGAAGTAGCGACAATCAACATGCTGGTAGCCAAGGAAACAAATATCTCAACCACGAGCCTGGTCTTTGCGTGGTACAAGTACGAGATGAAGGATTCGTGTGAGGCTGAGAGGAAGAGTGGCACAGGATCAGCCTATTTCAGCTTGTGATGGTACCAAATGATCCTACCTGACAACCCAGGGAAGGTGCCTTTCAGAGAACGCCGACGAAGCACACTTGTGGTGACTGACTCACAGCACTCATCCTTCGTGGCTGTCTCGGACAGTTCAAGTCCGCCCGACCGCGTGGTCCAAAATTCATTTTGACCATCCACTGGAGGTATCGTGCGCAGATCATTACAGGCACAGTCACTGCCCGCGAAGAACCCATCTTTCGCCCGAGGACAAAGTTTTAAAGGCAACATACCGTCCGCACCTGAAGACTCTTTCGTGGCTCGAAGAACCTCTCTCTGAGCAGACGAAATCTGCGTCTTAGAACGTCTCACAGAGCCTTGTCCATTTACTGTAACCGAGATCGATCAGCAGTGATACAAGGGTTGTGAACGCTTACGCCACACGATCAATTTGATCGAGGATCGAAGTGACCTGACACGTACTTTCGCTGTTCTACGACAACTTGCACGCACCGTTGTGACCAACGAATCGGAGTTGTGGGAGAAATGTGATGAGCAATGCTCCGGAGCTTTACTCCAAAGTAAAGCGGTAACAGCTCATTTGAGCATCAGTCATCTTCATGGCCTTAGGCTTTGGTGTTGAGCGCTCTAGTTGAAGCGCAGACCCTGGCCCGACCTCATTTGCGATGTGTTCGGCTGTAAATGTATGCATCTCGATGTACGTAGTAAGTCTGCAGTGTCCAAATTCCTCCAGGCAAAATTAGGGGTCGAGCCCCGCCTTGGGCGCCATCACACATCTGTGTCCTCCCGTCTCGAAACACCCCCAAAGTACCGTGCAGACGAAACCCTCGTTAATCTTTGGCGTTGCCTCCAGAATTTGAAGGCGCCGCTCTGCCAAATAGAAACGCTCACGAGGACTCAATAAATAGACTCGTTAGAACCAACCTTGCGGATGCCTCATGCTACCTACGGGCCGCTGGTTCCAAGGCTCATTTTTGGCCGTTACATCGTTCGCAGTAAGACTCGTATGCGAGGATCAACCTGCCGCCTTATCCTTTCGATAAGACGATGGTGGTACAGGGTACCTTACAAAACCTTATATCGACCTTGGTTTGACGGCCACGGAGGTTTCGCGGATACTTGAACATCATAACAACGAGAATGACGGGGCTCTGCTCTCAATTTATTCCACAAACGATGTTTTTGACTTTTGCACCCGAGACCATACTGTCCTTAGTCCCAAACTTTGACCCTCTTGAATGTATTGCCCATTTGCAAAAGTGTTGCAATTCCTTGGCGAAAACCCTCGAATTGCTGGCGCTGCAGAGCAAAATTGCGGTAAGATGTAGGAATAGCTCCCTATGCACGAAAAACGCGTAGAAATTGCTTGAAATTGCTTATAGACATTGCTGACATCTGTATCTTGCCCTATACAACTGCTGGCGCTTGGTGTCGAGTTCGTAAACTTCTAATCACTCTCGCTGACAAGTCCAGCTACTGTAGGCATTCTCTTGCTGTACGCATCGAGTCCAATATCGTTACATCCTTTTCTAACGATGAATCTTGTTTTGTATGGTTAGGAAACGTATCTTGTTTGAGAAATGAGTCTTTCCGAGAAACTTCAAACATCAACAATCTCATTTGAAGCATTTCTGAAGATCGAAGATCAAGTAAGTAAGCAGGTGATCGGAAAACGCAGAAGCCCTTGTTCCTGCATGGCAAGCTTGCCAACGTTGAACTTGAAGCAAGAGGGGCTAATGTTCTTGGGTCTCGCTGGAGTAGAGCAACCCGAGGACAAACCTGTGAAGTGATTTCCCCTACAGTCCCCAGGCTCGTCGCTTGAGATATTACATATTAATGTACCAAGCAGAAGCCAGGTGTCTGTTCACTGTGAAGGAATTCATGGGTGATAGTAGAGGGAGCTTGCAGCGGTTCCTGAATGCCCAGGCCGACCGGGTGTATCTCGGCCAAGCTGGCCCGTGCTTACTAGTTAGTTACTACGTTTACTACTACCTCACCCACCAATTCGACCTGCGCTCGATCCGACACCTCTGCCTGACCAGCATCACATCTCGTTTCCGAGGCTCTCGAGCCATCGACGACCATCATGGTATCCTGCCAGGCTATCACAAGCTCTTTCCGGGCTGGACGAAGGTCTCTGGCTCCTACAATACAACGACGTAGACTACAAGATGTTGCCATTACGCGGACTGGGAAGCCGATCATCAGAGTACAGGGGGGACGCTCTTCGTTAGGAGGATATACAGCCACTGTCTTTGGAGCTACAGGTTTCCTCGGCCGATATATCGTCAATCGTCTTGCCGGACAAGGGTGCATGGTAGTAATACCTTTTCGAGAAGAAATGGCCAAGCGGCATCTCAAACTCACGGGCGATCTGGGAAGAGTCAACTTTTTGGAATTCGATCTGCGAAACACTCAATCAATCGAAGAGAGTGTAAGACATTCTGACATTGTTTTCAATCTCATCGGAAGGAAATATCCCACCAAGAACTTCAACTACCACGATGTACATGTGGAGGGGACCGAGAGGATTGCGGAGGCTGTCGCAAAGTACGATGTTGATCGGTTCATACATGTGTCGTCTTACAACGCAGATCCAAAATCGCCGTCAGAATTCTTCAGGACGAAGGTCAACACCAGTTACCCACGCAATGATATCCGGCTCACATATAATAGGGTCAATCCGAAATGGTAGCTCGCGAAATCTATCCAGAAACAACTATAGTCAGACCAGCGCCCCTTTTTGGCTTCGAAGATCAGCTTCTCCATAAGCTCGCTGGTGTCGCGAACCTTTTCACTTGCAATCATATGCGAGAACGATTTTGGCCTGTTCACGTAGGCTCTTGAGACACTTCTGTAATTGTTTCTGCTGATAATATGACAGGCGATTGACGTGGGAGAAGCTCTTGAGAGGATTGCTTTCGACGATACCACGGCCGGTCAAACTTTCGAGCTTCATGGGCCTACTAATTACTCCATGGCGGAGATTGCTGAGCTTATCGACAAAGAAATCATCAAGAAGCGGCGACACATCAACGTTCCCAAACGGTTACTCAAACCTATAGCTCATTATCTAAATAAAATTCTGTGGTGGCAGCTTCTCAATTCCCCGGATGAAATTGAACGGGAATTCATTGACCAAAAAATCGATAAAACTGCCAAAACATTCAAAGATCTGGGCATGGAACCTGCTGAACTGGCCAACCTGACCTTCCACTACTTGCAAGATTATAGAAGTTCATCTTACTATGATCTGCCACCAGCAACGACGAGAGAAAGAAGAGAAGAGAAGAAGTATCTTCATGTCATTGATGACCAATAGATCGTGGAAGGAGGACACTGTACATAATGCAATCACACAACTGGACACTTTTGGCGGGAATTGAAGTCATGTTTCGTCAAGTCCTGGCTTTGTCACTACTACTAGACGATATTGTCCTACTCAGTTACCTTGTCGCCTCCAGTTAGTAGTCTTATGATCACCAAATTGTATTCCTCCTGCTCTGGTTAGTGTCTATGCCCCCGCACGCGTTGTCCCGCTGCCTGCCAAACCAAGCACTCCAATGCCTAAGCAAGCTAAAATTGCATCCGCAAAAGTCGCTGACAATCGGGTACAGAAAAAGTCCTACTGTGCTCTCATACTCAGTTTTTTTTTAAGAACAAATATCATCATACAAAATGGTTACAGATAGCCTCTCCTACCACTATCACCCGTCTTGACCACCGCCCTCGAAGGCTCTTCCTTGGGCCATGGCCTACATCTCAACACCCTCCTTCAGTCCACAACGATTGCGCTCTTTTATCCTGCGCTTACCTCTTTTTACCCGCGCATGTATTGTCATAATAACAGTCTTCTGGGTACTGGAGCTACAGACAGTATGGAGTGTAGAACAATGGGGTTCGTTAACACCAAAAAAGATTGGACTTCACTCGAGTACGTGAGAGCATATATAGGGACGAAACAATAGCAGGCTGACTGTGCATACTTCCAGTGTACCGGCTCAACACATTTCCATTCATACACCTGAATTTTGTTCACGCATTTTTGGACGTTCTGGCGTTAACGCCTCTACTTGAGAGATTCGAATCGGAGCATGGAACTCTGAATACTCTTGCCATGTTTGTAGGACGTGAGTGCTCGAAGACGAAAAGCCATACCAAGATGCTGGCTGACAAGCCGAGACAGCGTTGACGACACTTCCGGCAGCGCTGTACATATTCATCGAGATGTTGGTTTTGCGGCAAAACACTCCCATTCTTGGAGCAAGGTGGGCATAAGTCCAAACCCATCTATCCAGCAAGCGCCATGGTTGACCAGGAGTTCTACAGTATATGGATATTTCTCCTTCTATCTTCCGAGGCCATCAAAGCCTACAGATCCAATCCTTATTTCACGTGAGTTTCACATACTCCTCACCAACGAAATAGATGTCTAAACTAACCACCCCCCCCCGGGCCAGCATAATCACCTACTCGATCCCCACCTGGATCACCCCTCTCGTCATCGCCGTTGTAACCTCAATATTAATCCCTCCGGCCAGTTTGCTAGGGCACCTCTGCGCCTGCGCAGTCGGCTACGCCTGTAAGCCTCCCTCATGCATCCTCCCATCCACTCTTCTATGCACCCTGAATTCCACCTTATCTCTACTGCCCTTCTCTATCATTCCCTTCCTCTCCCTCCTCAAGAGTATACCCACAGCCCCTACTAACCATCTAAAGTCGGACTCGGCTATCTCAAAATCCTGGCCCCGCCCGACAAGATCCTACGCTGGATCGAAGCCAAACTCAACCTCCTCGGTCGACTCCCCCACTACGTCAGCATAGACCAGAAGACGTATGGGAGGTATGGTGTCCTCCCCAGCACCGTGACGTCTTCGTCGACGGCCACGGGACCGCCGGCCGATCATGCTGTGGCGATGGGGTGGTTGGGAACGGGTGGGGGAGGGCAGAGGTTGGGCCCTTGATTTATTGCCTCTGAGGAGTTGTCTTCCAGGAGAGCACCGTGGAATGCACAGGGGATAGAAACTTGTACTATACTACTCTGAGAATTGGAAGAATTGGAAGAAATTGAACCATTTTACCATTGGGAAAAGGGTGAGCAGAGATCGCTATATCGCCCGGGCTATGCATACAACACCCGTCCGCAAAAGTGTGCAGTCTACAAAACAGGAAACAGAGTCATCTGGCCCTCCATCAGCGGCTTCTCGACCCAGCAATACCCGTCCCAAGCACCCCATCCCAAACCTTCCGCAACTACAACCCCTTAAAATGCGGCAACTCAAGCGGCAGCCCATGCTCCTTCAAGATCTGTCCCAGCTTGCGCCAGTCCCAGTTCTGTGGCAGACCCGCCACCGCGCTCCCACGCCCGATCTTGCTCTTAGTGCCCCGGGTCATCTCGTAGACTTCCTGGAACTCGCGCGCGATCACGGCGAGCTGTTGGGCAAGGGTGCGGTCGGGGTAGACGCGTTGGGCGGTCTGGTAGGCTTTAGTGAGGTCGGAGATGTCTGTTGCGGTTAGGATGTGGTGAAAACAGTATTTGCACATTTTGGTGGTGTTGGTGGGAGGACTGTCTTTTGTTTTGAGGATTGCTGGGTGGGTGATTGCTGCTGTTGTTGTTGGGTGGAGAGTAGCTGTGGAAATGTGCTTTGAGAAGTTTCTTGGGATGATACGTGTGCACGAGACGCGGTCGAGGACCATTCTGCTTCGAATGTGTGTAGGGCTTTTGTAGTCAGGCGTCACAAAGGACATTGTTCGTGGAAGGCACACGAGATCTTTGTCTTCGACACATTCGAGTCTGGTACAGCGCTTCGTCACGAGGATTAACAAAACATTCAACAGCATGTTCCTCGATCATCATTGTTTGCGTTTGTTTCTCCTGTAGAAGAGTATCATCGCTTCTTGGCTGGTCCAGGTGTCCAGGCCTCTGGCTGCCATTTCTCACTGGGATTCCCACCCTGGGCTTTCTTCCATGGATCAGCCTTTTTCGTAGACTTCGGTGGACCCGGTATGGGAACGGGATTGTCCACAGCACTTCTAACACCCTCCTTCTCATCTGGCTCTGTCTGCGGTGCATAACCTCCCGGATCTTTAGGTAGCGTTGCTGGTTTGGGCTGCTGCCGTGGCTTGTCCAGGAATGAGGGCTTACTGGCCCATCTCTCGTCTGCTTGCTGTGCTAGGTATTTCAACTGTGCTTGTCGCCCGATATCGCCTTGTTGTTCTTCGATGCTTGGAGGGTCTGGTCGTGTGTATCGTAACCACTGATGCCATTGCGGAGTAACTTTGACGTCTGAGAAATGAGTTTTGTGGTTGTACTTGACAATGCGACGGAGACGGCCCGCATTGATTTGGTCCTTGAACTCCCAGAAGGTGTTGCCGTTGAGGTCTTGGCCTGCAGTACTCCGTACTTCAAGTTAGATGTGTTGTTCTGGCGTTCATGGGGAGAATCTATGACTTTGCTTACATACCTACGAGGAAGGTTTTGCGCCATGGAAGCTTTAGCATCTTCCATTTCAGCCACAAACCTCTCATAGTTCCCATGGTCGCGTTTGGGTTCATAGCAAGATATGTTTGGGACTCAGGTCCCCAATATCACACTGTAGACTGACACGATGATGAACCTTGGGAGATGCCACACACAAATGCAAGCTTACTACGTATGTCAGCTTCAACGGCTGAACTTCGGGGATATGTACCTATGTTAGTAATGGCAGCGGTTGAGCGGACATGGTGACATTCCACGTACAATAACTACTACTAATAACTAGGTGCTCACCGAAGCTTCTCTAAATCTGATTACTCTCGCTGTGCACAAGATCAAGTTCACTCATCTCGAGTTAGACCTCGGCGTGCTTCTACCACATAACTCGACCGAGACTCATGGGCGCATTGCGATGAGAGGCCAGCGGCATTACGAGTTGCTTGAACTATAAAGTTGACGATTCGCAAGATGGCATCCGTCTCGTCTCTTGATAAGGACCTGCGGAAGATACGCCTGGACAGGTACACTCCGCAGGCAGCCAAAGAAGTGCGTGACTGGATCGAGGAAATACTTGGAGAACGGCTCCCCACCGGAGATCTGCTCGAGGCATTGCGGGATGGCCTGGTGCTGTGCAGGCAAGTGGGCATTGTTCTGGACTTGGTGGACAGCATGCTGACTATGTTAGGCTTGTCAACAAAGCAGTTCCACCTGGTGTGAAGGCAAAGCAATCCAACATGCCGTTTGTCCAGCGGGAGAACATTTCCCATTTTGTCCGCGCTTGTCAGATGCCGCCATTAAGCCTTCCAGATCACGACATCTTCCTCACGGATGATCTTTACGACGCTAAGGATCCAGCACAAGTCCTACAATGCATTGTGGCCTTCAGTAGGCGGGCAAATGCGGTCAACCCTGCTGCCATTCACAGACCTATCGGCGTTAAGAGCAGAGCAAAAGTCGTTAGTCCTCAATTGACCGGGACAAGCCAGAGCAGTCATGGCAAGCCGCCCACTGGATTGCCAAACAGAGAGCGAGGGAGCAGTAACGCTAGTGACTTAAGTGCTACTGCATGGAATCCGCTTGCAAAGGGCTCATACTCCGGAAGAATAAGCCCAACCAAGCAGATGTCTCCACCCGGCAATGTAAGCAGCTGGAGCAAGAAGGGCGACGAAGGAAGCACTGCACCAGCTTGGAACATTCATCAATATGGTTACATGGGCGGGGCAAGTCAAGGTAATCAAGGTATTTCATTCGGTGCCAGGAGACAGATCACGTCCGCCACCCCGCCGGTGCCAAGTCTGGCCGAGAAGGAACGGAGACGGAGGGAAGAGGTGCAAGAAGCAGAACGACAGCGGATACAGGCTGAAGAAGCAGAACAGAAAAGGCGGCTCGAGCGAGAGGCTGAGGAGGAGAGAGCCCGTGTCGAGGAAGAGCAGCGTTGGCAGGACGAAACGAGGAGATTACGAGAAAAAGAGGTCCAAGAGGCTGAGGCTGAGAAGAGAAGATGGGACGAAGAACAACGAAGATGGAAAGAGGAGGAAGAGACTAGGCTTCGAGAAGAGCAAGAAATAGAAGCTCAACGGGTCCAGGAGCGCAGTCGACAGCGTGGAAATAGCGATGCCCTGCTAAGAGGTCAATTTCTAAGTCAATATCAAGCGGAGCAGGATCAGAAATCACAAAATGAGCCCCACGAAGCATCTCGGTCTACATCGGAAAGTCAACGTATCAAGGACCTCGAAAAACAACTGGAATTGGCCAAGGAGCGAGAACGACAATACCAGCAGGAACGTCAAGAGAAGTTGAAGAACAACCAGGTCCTTGGCAGGCGTCAACCAGAAGAGCAGTTTCGCCACTCTTCACCAGATCAGTCACCAGCACGAACACCATCGAAGCCTAGCGATGGGGACGATTGGGAGGATTCGGAGCGGGAGCATCTCCGAAAGGAATGGCAGATACATAACGATAGGGAACCGAGAGATCAGCCTCCTCCACCCTACGCGCCGAGGCCTACTCAAGCAGAACCTGTCCCTCCAGCCCGCGTGAAACTGGAGATGGATAGCAGTCGCCCATTGCCGCCTCCTCGACCATTACCAGACCCCTCGGCTTACGCGCCAAACCTTAACCGCACGGATCGGTATCTCTCGACCAACCCTGCTCCAGCGGCTAGTTTGCCTCAATCCCATCGACCAGCAGACTATTCGACCACTACGGAGGTTGACCTGGAGAACCAACGTCGTAAAGAATCTCAAGCAAAGACCAAGGCCGGCGGTTGGGCAAGTAAGTCATTGCTTGAGAGGGAGATGGAGCGAGAGCGCCAGAGGCAGCGCGAATGGGAAGACGAGCAACAACGCACAGCAGAGGCGTCTCGAAACCTGCAGGAAGGTGGAGGGCCTGGTCAGTCATGGGATATCCACCAGTATGGCTTCATGGGAGGTGACAGCCAAAACCGTGGTGGACACGGCTTAGGCGTTGGTGGTGCGAGAAGGCAGATTATCGGGCCCCGGCCACCACCTTGACGACTGCCACCACCTTGATAGTGGTCGTGGATTGTGATGATTGTGATGATTGACGTGGGTTAGGACTGGCATAATGATCAAGATGATCAAGACGATCCAATCCGTCCATATCGATGATGCCAGGCAGTGGTCTTCCACCTCAATGATGCGGGCTGCTATCTAACTAGTACAGAGTACTACCTTAGTACTATTGCTGCCGTGCACTCACTCCACGAGTTCACGAATCACGCCTCTTCCGAAGCCCTCACCCTGGCACAACAGCACCCTACATATATAGCGATGCATTTTTTCACAATGAACAATGACGCCTTTGCTTCGAGGCATTTTTCCTGTTCGCCGTGTTCAAGCCACCCCACTTCAACAGCGTCATTTCTGCCCCGCCACATTGCCCAGGAGTTTACTACGTACTAGTTCAGTTGGAAATGCCCCTCCTCCTCTTCCTCCTCCTTCTCCTGCTCCCGTACGGCCCTCCCCACACCACTCGATGTACCACTACGTAGTCGCACGTAGTCTTGCGTCGAGCGTCACATGTTACCTGCCTTGGCCGTCGTGGTTGGATGGGAACTACGCTCCGGCTAGTAGTGCTACGACACTCTCTCTGCTCTTGCCCGTTCAGAGTGTCAGCAGACACATGAAATTCCCTCCAAGCTCCTTCTCCAACCGATTCATCTACTAGTATGTGACAAGAGCATCATTTCCATACGTCATATCTACTAGGCAGCTCTTTCCAGGCTCCAAGCACATAAGAAGATTATTTCCCCACCATTTAAAATTCCTTTTCCTCTAACAAACATCCACTACAACCCAATTGAAAACTTTCAGTCAAACAAACGTTGAAAAGCACTTTCTCACCCTCAACCAACCATCATCATGTCTGATACTGGCCGTAAGGATTTGTCCAGCAAGGTCTCTGAGGGTGTCACCCCAGATTCCCAGAAGTCAACCCTCGACAAGACCAAGGAGTCTGTGACCGACGCTGGCGACAAGGTTGCAGGGTAAGCCTTGTCACCATTCAGTTCCATCCTGTCGAGTCCAGATCTGATGTCTCTTTAGGAGTGTCCAATCAAGCGACGACAAGAATCCCGCCCAGAAGGCATCGGATACTGCCAGCAGCGGAGATGACAAGGGAATGTAAGTCGATGGTGCTCTTCGCTACGTTTCAAACAGGTCCGCTGACATGATTACAGTGTGGACAAGGCCAAGGAGGCCGTCGGCTTGAAATAGATTGACCATCAGTCATGATCCGTGTACCACAGTCGGACTCGATGGAAGGGCCCTACCCAGAGGCGAAGCTCGCAGGGAATGAGTTGGGTGTTCATTATGTAGCATAACAGCAATTCAAAGACATAACATTATTATCAGGTCGCCATTCTTGGTGAAGTTGCTCTCTCGTGGCTTGTAATCTTCATATCCTTTCTTGAATTGTCAGCTCTCCACCATTCCCTCAAATAATTCATCCCTCCGACGCGTCAGTCCTTGCAATTCACCTTGAGCTCGTTTATATTCCATCTTTGCGATCTCCAAGTCTGGTGGCAGACCGTGAAACTCCGCAATTTTCCTGTCTAGTGCTTTGACTCTTGCCTGTCCCTTCTTCACCCTCTGTTCTTGCTCTCTCACTTCGGCTATGCTGGGACTTACAATTGCGAACTTCTCCAACGAAGCAATTCGTTCAATGTACTGTTCCAGCTTGGTTGAGAATTGCTTAGTTTCTCGATTCAACTGAGCCGTCCGCTGCTCCATGTCCTCCTGCGCAACCTCATCTACCTGCGACTCTATGTTCTCCAAGTCCAACCTCATGCTTTCCATTTCTCGGACCAATTGGCTCTGAAGGTCATTGACCCTTCTCAGCTGTTCGTTCATCTCGAATTTCTCATGTGACAGCTCCATGATTCTCTTGCCCATCATCACTGGGTCTGTGGACAGTGTTCCCAAGATGACACTTGCTTCAGCCAGATCATGCAGAGCCTTGCTCCCACGCTCATCTAAGCCGCCTTCTAACGCTTCTACAACATCTCGATGGGGTCCTTCACGCGTCTGAAAGATATTCTCATACGTCCTCAACTCTTCCTCTTCAGCCTTATGTACCAAGTCGGCTTCCCGGTCCGCAGCCTCGTTCACTGCTGCTAGCTCAAGCAATGTACGCAATGTTTCGCCGTTACGTTCGAACTTAGGAACAGGATGAGGAGAATATTTCTTTGCTAGCCAGGAGGAGACGTAGGCCCAGTCTCTGGCTTCCGCAGCGTCTCGGCGAGCTTTGGTGGGTGAGAGTAGTGGTGCAAACGGTAAGGATAGATTGCTCATCGTCTGCGTCAGTTTGTGCCTCAATATGAGGTGATCCCGGGGATAATTGGAGACCAGGTCCCTGACCGGCGTCTTTGCGCGTCTTTTGCGTTGATCTGACGATCTCGGGGAAATTGCTGCGAGCCTTGGTGTCGAACGTAAGGCATTTGAGGTTGGAGCATGTCGCTATGCGGGGTAAACTGGCACTTACGTCACTGGGTACACTAGCGAAGGAATACGTAGTAGAAGTTAGTGAGGGGTACATCAATTAAGTGTGGTTCGAAACCTGACGATATTGCTTACGGAGTACTCCGTACTGTTGTTGAAATCCCTTGCATAGGCCAACACATGCAAGAGAGAAGGCGTACGACTTTTCAAAGTTTTGAGATGCAGAAGCAAGAAATTGCTTGGACTTCATTTGTTATATCTAAAGACGGCGAAGGTTTGTGTCAGGCCGAGCGCCTATTGACCAGTTTTCCTACGGATAATCATTACCTTCTGATCTGTCAGTTTCTACTGCAATTTTGCAGCCATTCACTCGCATACATTGACAGCGTCCACGGTGCGAATACTGTTGCCCTCATTGGTGAACCTCGCCCGACTTCTGATGCTGATCTCCACTTCAACGACAGAAAAAATAGAGTCAATATGGTGTCCCTACAATAAGCTTGAATTAAGGCTATTGGATCATTTCTGCTGGTGGAATGGGTGGATTTCTGGATGTTGCGCTGTTCATTCCGCGAAACAGATTCCATACGGAATAACTATTGCACTGACCACGTTGTTCAGTCTATTCATTTTTGGAGCAAGCCATGGAGTTGGGACTGTCCGAAATCAGATGAAGGGTGATTAGTAGCAGAGACGAAGTATCCAGGTGAATTCTGGACACGAAAGGTCACCAGCATCACAGAAGCGCTTTTCTGATGTGTACAAGTTCCTCAGACTCTTGAACCAAAATAGAAGCACATGAGCCTTGCCAAGAGTTACGGCAATCATACTTTTCGTGGACTAGCGTAAATGAGGCTGCCGCAGCCCCGCTCGCTTACGGTGTAAAGGGTGTACGGGCGTACAGTGTAGTAATAGTAACAGTACCTTGGGCAACGTCTTGTCTTGGAGCCTTGGGCAATCCGGCTGCCTGGCCACCACACAACTCAATCTTAGGCAAACCCAGCAACGTGGACGTCCAGATATTACTGCTATATTATCTCCCTACATCTGCATTGCTATTGTACCCGTCAGTAGTGCTCATCAACATCAATCATGCTGAAACCATTCCGCATCCGAAACCTTTATTTCAATTCTACCGATTTGGTTGATTGCTCTGGCGTCGTCCAAGTCTCTCCCCAGCAGTACGATCACGAGATTAAGACCGCTCCGGAAGCCTTGCTTGCATATATCGACGAGGACGATGGAGAGACCGTTACTGTGAGCCTGGACCACGTGTACAACTCTCATAGTGCTCACCGAGTGTATAGGTCGGCTCTTCCCTTGAACTGGAGCAACGACTTCTAGAACCGCCAGGTCGATTCTCGAGCTGGTACGGCCACCTCTCTACCGACGACCCGCCGCCGCTCCATATATTTGACATGCAGCAATCAACGCGTGCCGCAGAGGCATGGCGTAGATATGTTGTACATCACAATCAACCATCGGCACCAGTACCAGCTCAACCGTCTGGACCGATATTGGAAAAGCGCAAGCACGATGATTACCTATCGCTGCTTGCAAGATTTCAGGTTCTCGAATTGGAAGTGAAGTTGCTGAAGGAAGCTTTCAAAATGCACCAAATCACCATTCCAGTGCAACCTCATCAACCACAACAGTCTGTCATTGCCAACGCATGCAAGAACTCGGATCTGTTCATCCAATCTCCGCCTTGTGCCATGCATCCAACCTACTCAAGTTCGAAGCAAGAGCCGCCGATCGAAAGTGGAAGCCAATACACTGACAACACTAGCTCTAACTGGTGGAAACAATCGGAACTGCGGGCGCCAAACCACCACAGTACTGAAGACGCTACCGTGCTCAGTCACAATCATAATAATCTCAACTGTTCCCAGCACCTACCTCAAGAGAGGAAAAACGTCTTCCCTTTGTTTCCACAAAGCCACGTCGGGACTCTTCGACCAGAGCCAAAAAGTATGAAACGAGATGCATCAGACAGCATGGCCCAAGAAGCTGGTCGGCTTTGTTTGAATTCGACAATTCATCGTAATTCACGAGAGTCTTCGAAAGTTTCCAAAGCAGAGGCTGGGAGTGTATCACCTGAGACTAATCACTTAGACAGTCCCAGGTTGCCGATGGAGAACCATCTGGCAGAGGACAACGCTGCAAGATTTCCTGAAGAACATTTGCCAAAGTTGACTTCTCTACGACAGGCGTTTGAAGATGCAGAATTTCTTAGCACAACATCTCCGTCTATCCGGTCCCAACAGTCAGCATCAAACTCATTGTTGGATCTCGAGCCTGAGGCGGAGATCGCACGGTTCCCCACGATATTCCAACTGGAAAGGGAGGATCTTCATTCGGTAAACAGCAAGGGCACTAATTTGCAAGGTCCTGCCGATGTTTGTACACCACTAATAAGGGCAAAAACCGTTACTTCTTCCAATCCCGCTGCTCGTTTGTTGCAGCCATTTGATCCAGCGACAGAAAGGTTGGCGATTGCTAGTAATCAGAACTCTGTGCCACGTCGTAGTGGTACCGAAATACATCGACGTCGACCTTATGCCGAGCAATTCAGTGGTACAGGCAGAACTTTGTGGGAAGAATTTGAGCGACCACAGAGACACAGCACTGCGCCGAGGAACTCAAACAGGCCTGAACCTCGCTGTTTGGATGTCCTTCCTTCACAGCCCAATCACTCGGTTTTTCGATCACAGTCTTTGGTTCACCATCAGCCTTCGGACCACCCACATTCACGTCGTCTAGCTCCCATGCAAAGTGCCCTTGATCTGTCCGGAAGACAACGCTATCAACGGGAGACATCTGGTATAGATCAGTTACGACATCATTCTGCTGCGGCCGCTAGCAGCCCAAATCCCGTTCGAAGGGCGAACACCAACTCCGACCATAGCCGGGAAAGAAATGTCCGAAACTGCATCCGAACACTGCAGGAGATGGGCTACAAGCCACACTCCAGACTTCCAATCTATGCCGAAGCATGCGATGGCAAGCTGTCCGCAGCCATGAAGATGGCAGAAGAGGATGAGAAAGCCACGCAGGAGACCCGGAAGATCGCCAAGATGGAACAGGTGGTATTCGACTGTGTTCAGCAGCTCAAGAGTATGGGATTTGGCGCTGAGCAAGACGACGAAGCTCTGAAGGGATTTGCCCAGAGAGCGGCCGGGAATGTGGAGCTGGCGATAGACGCTATCGAGAGGCAGAGTCGGAGGGATAGAGAGGGCCCCCGGGACAAGCTGCGCAGCGGAGCGCATGGAGGATGGTTCATGAATGCGGGCATGCCTGGGTCTTTTCCTTGATCTGGCGGCGGGGCAGAGGGATGGAACGCAACCCTTATGAAGCGGGTTAGTGTCTTCTGAGTCCGCAATGTGCAAGTTGGGGGTCATGTGTGTCAGCGGCTTTACGTATTCGTATTCATGCGGAGTGTTGGGTTGGTCTGGTCTGGTCTGGTATGGTATGCTATGCTCTTCCGCTTCATTCACTGCCCACATTCACTTCCAGTGCAAGCATCATGTTGTCTTAGATACAATCACGGAACAATGCGCGTCGAAGGATCCAGCTGAAAGCCAATGAGTGGGGGACAAGACACGCTCCTTCAATACTACTATTACTAATGTTCCTCTATCTGATGCCCATGCCCATGCCTATGCCTGTGCCTACACCTATGCCCACTCCGAGATCAGACAGACGGGTGGGGTTTGCATATTATTTATTTCAGTAACGAGCGCCTAACCTTCTTTCATTCTCTTGCTTGATGAAGTGGAAGAATGGAATTCTATCTACCTGCAGAATCTATCTCAGAAGGAGGAGAGGCTGACTAGTTACTGTGCAGAGTGCGGTCACATGACGCCAAGGATTTGGCTGTACGCGTACCAAGTACTACGGCCAATTCCAACATTTCTTCCTCCCTAGATAACCTTCGCACAGCCTCATCTCATCCACATTATTAACTAATCCGCCCACATATACCCCACCCCGAATACATACCCGTTCCCTCCCTCCCATCCGCCTGACTTGCTCTCCCAGTGGCTGTCGGGGGAAAGAGAAGCATGCACATGCACATGCACATCTAGATGGGCGAGTTGCTATAACTCCATGTGCCGGGGACGGAGTAGCCGGCGACATTGAACGCGGCGGGCGTGCGTACCACGGTATTGACGCCGGGATTGGTGTTGAAGACGATCCTGTCTCCCGGCAGCACGCTCCCCTGCACGCCGTTCTCGTAGCTGGCCGCGATGACCGCCTCGAACTGGCCCGGTACGTTCCTCGTGCCCTGATGCCCGACCGTCTCAAACGCGCCCTGATTGGCGGCTTCTCCGCTCTCGAAGAAATACGACGTCCACACCGCCGGGTTGCCCGTGTCGTACGTGGTCATCCAGTGGAAGCGGTCGTTGTTGGTCAGGAAGCGGATGTAGTAGAATTCGATGCTGATGTAGTATCGGCCTGGCTCGATGGTGTCGATCTGGTAGTAGATTCCTTGCTGGGTGCTCAGCAATGCGAGGCCGCGCGACCAGTACAGGGCAACGGCCCATATGGGGAGCACGGATGAGGGCAGCGCGTAGGGTGCATCATTGTTGTTTTCGAGGCCGGAGAGGGAGCCAAGGCCTCTGGAGGTGTTGAGGTTGGTGTCCGAGAGGGAGACGAAGCCTAAGTTCCCAACATAGAGGGTGGGCGAGCTGAAATTCGTGATTTGCCAGTCTAGGCCCCCGGGAGCGGAAAGCGGGGCATAGCAGTTTCCGATGTCGTAGCCGCTGTAGAGGGTGTTGGTTACGAGGGGGATGGGCCTCGAGAGGATGACCTGATTGGCGCTGGGCCAGGGGCCGAGGAATCGGCCGGAGTGGACGCCAACGATGTTGGCGGTATTGGCTGTGGAGGTTTGGATGGCAGCTGATTTCAGGACGCAGTTTGTGGCTGTAGTGCTGGTGGAGGTTGAGTCCCAAGTGAAGCCGCGACAGCTTCGAGCGCCGATATTGAGATTGTACTGATCGCATATTGCAGCGCAGGCACTGAATGTGGCTGCGTAGGAAACTCCAGTTGAGGCAAGGTCACTCTCTGAATAACGGAGATCCACATTGCATTCAATGTCGTAGAGATTGCTGCCTTGAGATGTCAGCTGGCCACCGTTGTTGCTTGGACATACTGGCTCGGTTGGATAGACTGCTGCACTTGCGGCTGGTGTTGATCCGGGTATGGAAGAACCTGAGATAGAATTGCTGCCCGCCGAACTGGAAACCAGAGGCCCACTCGAGGTGGTCGAGATAGACCTGGAAGAAGACACTGTACTCGTCGACGAGGAGCTCGACACGGTCAATGTGGTAGCAGAGCTGCTGCTCGGTGCATCGGTAATGCTGGGGTATGCCGAGTATATTAGACGGCCTGCATTGAATGTTGAGCTCGCCCTCCGACCAGTGATGGTATCTTTCAGGTAGCATGCATTCTCGCTGGCCAGGAAGTTAGCCGCAATACATGGAGTGGCCGTATTTTCATTCCAATAATTGCATGCTGCTAAACATTGTTGATAAGTCTGGACAACAGGATATGGAGAATATGGGAGACCTGATTTTGATCCGATTAGCAGGGAGAACCATCTTCTTACCGTCTTCTTCACTTACCAATGTCACGCCCCAAGAGCTCGTAGCTGCATTCCACTTCATACATTTGACTACCGGCTTGGATGATCTGGAAGTCGTAGGTAGGACATACTGAACCTGTCGGAGAAGGCACTGTCGACGACATCGTTCCTGTTGCGGAAGTTGACGTCGTGCTTGATGCCATGCTAGTAGTAGTACCGGAAGATGTCTGGCTAGTAGAGCTCATAGACGTAGGACGATTGGTTCCTGACGGATATCCTTGCCAGATCAACCTTGCACTGTCATCTTCTGCCACTCCACGCACGACTGTCGTGATAGAGCCCTTAGGATTGCAGTTGTTGCTCGGTGGACTAGTTTGCGCAGTATTGCGATAAGTGACGCCGATGCACTGTGGAGACTCCGTGTTCACGTTGAGGAACGAACACTGGTTGATGCAGTCTGTCAAACTGGTGGCGATGACAGGAGCGAGGCCAGTATCCACCAAGGTGGTGGAGCACTCGATCTCATAATAGCTTCCTCCGTAAGAAGCAAAGTACAGGGTCTGGTAGTTGTATGCCGGACAGAGTGGAGCGGTCGCTGTCGGTCCAGTAGACGACGAGGTTTGGCTAGTGGTTCCTCTGGTTGAGATTGTTCCGGTAGCCGAGCTGGAGGAGCCCATTGTTGCTAAGCTAGCCGTCAAGATAGGATCCGTAGGCGAAGGATACCCAGGGTATATTAATCGTAAGCTCTCATTCTGCACGCTGTATTGCGTGCCCGTGATTCTGCTCTTGAGGAAGCAGTTGTTGGAGGCGGACGACAGCGAAAGTGTGACACCGACGCAGCCAAATGGGACAGCCAGGTTAAAAAGATTGCAGTACCCTCCACATTCCGCGAGGGAAGCAGCAGTCGTGACATTGCCCTCAAGTGTTTGGCCTATAACCTCAGTGCTGCATTCGACTTGATAAAAATTCCCTCCAACCCTGACAATTTGACCATTGTACGTAGGACATAGCGGGCCCACGGGATCTGTGACAGTTGGACGGGGTCCCTGTGACGTAGAAGTGCTACCGATTAAAGAGGTTGAGGCTGAGTTGGAACCGACACCACCTCCGTTTGTAAGCGTACTGGAGACGGTAGCTTTTGATGAAGAAAAGCCAGTTGATGCTGTTGTTGAGGTCGCTGTCAAGGCAACGCTTGCAAATGTGATATTGGGGGCATAAGGACCAGCTACGAGGACAGCAGCTTCGGAGAGATCGTCGGCCCCTGCATCAACCACGGTGATATTGCTCTTGAGCCTACATTGATTGCTTGATGCAGTTATATCGAACGAGACGGCAACACATGGTTGTGTGGTACTGCCAAAGCCGAACTCATTGCAGCGTGCGATGCATTCCGCCAAATTGGTCCCATTGGCGCTCATGATATCAAATCCGGGAAGTGCTGTGTTACAAAGAATGAGATAGCCGTCATTGACAGTGCGATCGAAGGGCGACCGGTCATAGCAATTGGGGGCTCCCGTCGACGTGACATAGCCAGTCATGGATGAAGTTGTAGCAGTCGTTGTAGAGCTGACTCGGACGGTGGCGCTGGTTCCGGTGCTTGTAGACATGCCGGTCATCGTTAGACTGGAGCCTGCTCGACCAACTATGCTGTAGACTACCATCGCCGCAGCACCGCCACAGCTTTGCGCACTGTTTCCAGTACAGGCAATATTACAACTACCGACTGCGACTGGGACAGCAGACGACGAGAGTGCATTGCCGCATACACAGAAACCTGCAAAGAGTTAGCGCTGTTCACTCGTTGGAGATGCGGACTTACCACTCTGGACACCAAAAAATACATAGTTCGAGCAGGAGTCTGCGCATTGTTCCAAGGTTGTGACGCTTCTTGGGGGCAGACTGGCGGATACTGCTGGGGAATTGACTGTAGAGCTCAGACACCCTAGCGGAGTGGCGGTCACGTTGACCCCTTGGATGGTACCTGGCACGGAAGCTGTTGGGGGAGGGAGCAAAGTGCTCGTAGCAATGCCACTCGAAGTGAAGCCTGCAGTGAAGCTTGCAGTGAGAGAAGTGACGTAGGCGGACGGGTTGAAAGTTGGACACGAGCTGACGGGCACCCAGCCTATATAGATCTGAGCACATCCAGCAGGGAGCTGCCCATTGAATACCGTCTCCACTATGTTTCCCATGATACAGAAAAGCGCATGGCCGCCCGTGAAGGCTGTATTGTTCCAGGCCAGATGGCTGCCATTGACCATCAAGAACGTTGTCGAAATCGTGCCAACGGAAGGTGAAACCGCCAAAGATGAAAAGGGAACGAGTCCTGTGGTGGAAACCAAATGCCCATTGCTGGATAGCTGGCCGTTTGTCAAAGTGAACGGTGCTCCTGCACTGCAATCGGCTGTAGTACTACCATTTGCAGTGATGTATATTGATTCGACTCTGGAACTAACATCAACTGGTCCAGGAAGGACTGTCAAAAGGTATTGCGTCGACGGAATGGCCCTTAATTGTCACAGTCAGTGGGCTGCAAGCAGGACCCTCGAATGGAGAGAGACTTACGGTCCAGTTGGAAGAGCCGGACACATCGACGGATAGACTTCTACAATCGTACCATATGACAATGCCGATGATATACATAGGGAGGCAGTCACAAGCCCCAAAAAGACCTGGAGATACATTGTGAGCTGGCGCGCAACGCGCTGGCTGGTCGTGGAGAGTACACGGAAATGTAGGCTGGAAATGAGAAGACGACTGAGATTGAAACGAATAGATGTTGACGGATGGACAACTGCAAAGGAAGAAGCATAGGGATGCGGATACTTTTGAGAAGGCTTGGGAAACGGACAGCAATTTGGGACCAGGAATGCAACAAGGTAAACAAGCCATAGGCGAACCAAATTGCTGGGAATGGAATGTGATCGAACGGATACTCGCAGATCCATTGTGGAGGAGCAAGCTTGCCCGCCTTGGACAGCAGAATGTTTGGCTGTACTTGTTAACATGTGCCCTCCCTTGTAGGATCTCCTATCCCACAGCTCCGCCCGAACTATCTGAATGACGAAGCGAGTCCACGTGCCGGTGAGGGCTATCCCACCCCAGCATATTTGAATATTCGAGCGGAATGTCGAACTCTGCCTTTCGGCTGCAGAATCTGAAAACTGTTGCGACAATGTACGTACTGTCCCAAAATACCAGATCGAGCAGAAGACAAGAACACATTTCTTGGGTATCCTCAGTCTCCCAGAGGCATTGGAATTCGCTAGATAGTTCCGAAGAGGTCATGTGTCTGTCTCCAGGAATGAGGACAATCTAAACGCGAGGAACGAAGCTTGTATTTCCTTCGCTTAGAACATTTCCGTGAGGCCCAACTAAGGTATCTTAAAAGAGAGGTTCCACCATCGAGGGAAGTATTATGAGCTGCGCCATTGCAGCGCGCTTGAAGATTCTCTGCATCTGGCTGGTCAGCGAGGACGTCCAATTGCTTTACAACAACATGATGCAATTCTTGATGAGTATTACAGCGAACGGTCCAGAAGATGAACAGGGAGGACCCTTGGTCTCTGTTAGGCTACCCGAGAAGCCTTCCCACTACTCCTCCGATTGTGATGTCGACCCAAGGAAGAGGCCCGCTGCAGTGCTCGATGTACTCCCGTTGAGTAGATGATAGCGCCCGGATATAGAGAGAACCACTGGGTTCGAGCCTAAAACAAAGCCCTAAAGAAAAGCTCTTGATTGCACTCTGATGCGTCACTATTAGGCATGCTCTATCAAGAGTCTTTTGCACAACCGTTGTACGTCTGCTTCTGTACCGAGCATGCCGCCGGCGTGGCGATCGACCAGGGCTAAAACCGAACCGCGTATCAATTTGGAAAGAGTGAAACTCTTGTTCTAATCGAAAGAGCAAGATCAGCTTACAGCGTAACGCCAGCTCGGCCTTACCGGGCTCTGCTTATATGATCAGTGAGGTAGCTGCTGATCGGGTCGCGAAGCGGTAACATGAATCCATCGAAGCAGGCGAAATCACTTGCTGATTTAAGGCAAAGGTTGAGTAGCAGGAATCACCTTTGCTCACTTCACGAAAAAATTGGTGATTCTCTGACTACCATCCGCAGACTTTTTAGGACTTGCACTTTTTGGCAAGGTCCCGTTGCTCGTTGCGCTCCTGGTCTTTCTACTTGAAGGTGTCAAACCTGGCTGCTTGCCCTTTCTAGGAGATTGGTCAATCTTGGCTGCCTTGACACGAGAAGTCTCCTTGTCTGGGCTGTGTTGCCGTTTCATGCCTTTGGCGTCTTCATCCTCTTGCGCGGGAACCGGGATAGGGGCATTATTTTCGCTGCCCTCGTGATCCTTGGTCTCACGATTCTCATCCTCCCCGTTCTCGATCTTTGGACTAGTCGTTACTTTGGTGTTCTCTTTCGTAGCACCAGCCTTTTGTTTATCGGTACTCTTGGTGGAGCTAGCGAAGAAATTGGCGATATTCTTCTTGTTCTCTTTGCTGTCGATAGGCACGATGAAGTCTGCTGAGTTGTTACCGACCTTTCCAACATCCTTGTTGACAGGGTAGCATTCTAGCTCTCCGTTGTACGGCTGTAAGAGAGACTGTAATTCTTTTGACCACTTGTTCCGCTCTGGATCTAGCCACATCTTCATTTCGTCGCTCCCCGCGTCCAGAATGACCGGCATCCGATCATGCAGGAATTTGAGCTGCTTGTTTGAATCTGTCGTGATAATTGTGTAGGTATAAAGCTTCTCTTCAGCATCCTCATATTTTGCACAATCCCACAATCCAGCGAAGCACATCAGGTGCCCATCCTTCCGCTTGACGAAATGTGGTATCTTCTCCCTACCGCCTGGCCCTTTCTTGAGCCATTCGTAGAAGCCTTGACAGATGACGATGCATCGCTTTCGCTGCTTCATGGTGTTCCACATCCCTCGGTTTTCGACCAGCGAGTCATCTCGACAGTTTATTGTCCTTAACATAGAGCCATAATCTGGCGATCTCTTTGTCCAGAATGGAATCAGACCCCATTTCATAGCTTTGAGCTCATACTTGTATTCCTTGCGGCTGGCTTGTGAGCTTCTCGGCGGCTGCGCCTGGGGCCCCTCTGCTTCTGCTGGCTGCTCCACATCGGACACTTCATGATGCACCTGCTCATCTTCGGCTCTGACACCTTGGTCTGGGACCTCGGCACGATACACCAGCCCATAAGAGCCAGGCGCGAAGTTGTAAGTTTCTCGTACATCATCGTCGTTCGGCGCGTCGTCAACCTGCAATCCTTGTTGTTGGATCTCATGTCGCACGAAGGCAGCTCGCTTTAAGACAGGTCAAACTTCGATAATCAAGCAAAGTTGATCACTCACAATACCGAGGGCGTATCTGCCACACATCATGCACACGGGTATGTCGTAGCTGGTTGTGAAGCACGCGCAGGTATGAAATAGAGCGTGCGCTTGACACGGGGTCAAGATGAGATTGAAGTCCCTTGTACCCAATTCCACGAAAGTGAGTGGATGCAGATCAATGGGATTGGAATCACGCCTGACAAGTCTGCACTTTCGTAATCATGACACGGTAAACATAGTCAGTGCATGTACCAAATCATGCACCTGCTTTACTCCTGGTTTGTATACAAGAAGTATCCAGTAGTGCTGATGCTTGTGACACAAGGTATGTGCCAAAGGAATGTAAAACTTGATTTTAGTACGGTTTGTACAGATACTAACGTTTTCAGCAAGGGGGGCGTCCAGAAATCCGGTCTGATATTGTAGTACGTAGTACAGTAAGGCCTTGCAGAATATAGATTCATCACAATTGCTTGGCCATTGCTGTTACAACAATTCACAATACGGTTTAAGTCTCACAGCTCTACAACGACTCACTTCGCTGGGTGCTAGGTCCTTAGATCTTTCGTTAAAAGTCAAGCAACGGACCAATGGCTGGTGTGGCAATGCTAAGTAGAGCTGGTCAAAAGGCCTTGCCGAAGGTCGTGCTCGGGCAAAACTTAAGGGCCATTCGCAGTTACCACGCTTCCAGGTATCACACTTCGTTGAGACCTTCAGGATGTATGCGGCAGCTTGTCAAAGTGCAGCATGGCTGGCGTTGCTCGTTCACTACCACTCGTACGCCAACTGATAAACTTCGGAATGTCATCCATAAAGCCCGACAAGACCATACATTCTTGTTTCCTACGCTGCTCGTCGCCAGCTTTGCTTCCGTCTGCTGGCTTACGCTCCTTACTTACGATGCATATACTCGAGAGAAGCCCACGCTCGGGGATTTTCCTCCTGAAGTTGAGCGACATCTCCGTAATGCTATCTGGTATACGGAAATCAAACCCGAACCTACTATTGCTGCGGATTCATTTACCAGAGCAATAGAACAAGCTGAGAGAGAAGGAATGGATCCGTTCTCCCCTGAATTTACAGGCATACACATCCGCTTTGCAGCTGCGCTTGAGAAATTCGGGCAAGCAAAAGGCGCTGTCCAGATCCTAGAAAGACTGGCCGATGACTTGGTGGAAAAGATCGAGGACATAGACCGTGGTCGGGCTACCCAACTCAAAGCAAGTACAACTCAGTCCAACAAAGGGGAGGCGCCAGGATCGAGTGCTCGGTCTTCTGCCGGAGCCACAGTGGGCGCCCAGGAATCAGAAAGGGCCCGGCTCGTCAAACGGGCGATCGAGTGCAAAGTCAAAATCTCGAATCTATATGGGAGCGATTACATTCAAGACAACGCTACTGCAAAACGCGTCACTGATGAAGCCATGAAGATGTTCATCGAAGCTATGCGGGATCCCAGGAGCCTCCGGTTCGACGAGAACCGAGCCGGCATCACTGCAGACGAGGCTGGGGCCCTGCTCAGCGGTGCTGGCGGTATCAACATGATCTGGGGTGATTTTGGGACCGCTCTTGAAATATTCAAATTGGCATTGACAGCCGTACGTCAAGCAACCAAGGGTAAGCCCTCCTGCCATGAGGCTTTTGTCCTCGGTGACATGAGCGCCGCGGCGGCAAGGCTGCTGGACGAGCCAAACGCAGTGATTGACGGCAAGCCCGCAACGGAAGCATCCATCAAACATACCCGCCACATCTTGAGAGGCTGGGCACAAGAAGCACTGCAGTGTGCTCAAGCAGTAGAGAGCTCCGAGAGGAATCCACTCTGTTCGATGGCAGTTTTGACAGCCTGGTCGCACATGGCTGGCGCACTCAAGGCGCTCGGAGATTTGAAGGGTTCTCGAGCAATGTGGGAACAGGTGCTAGACACAAGCAAGCGGCCTGACCTACAGCTACTGGTACCATTTGCTCAAGGCGCGCTGAGGGACTTGATGCAATGGAAAGAGGTGGGGTCGTTAACCATGCTCCAACACCTGATCGCACTATATGATACCCTGCCACTTTGGCTTTTGCCTGCACAGCAGAAATTTCATCTTTCTCAATGCTCGAAACGTGATCCGAGCGCCGACTCCCGAATTTTATGCCATCACACCCTGGGCCAAAATTCGGCTCAGATGTGGGTGCCATTGCTATATTGGCGATCATAGAGGATGCTCAAGTAAGAACAAGTGTATTTTGCAGGTTGCACGCTTGAGGCAGACCAGAAGGTCTTAGCGGGTATCCTTAGGATTTCGTTCAGCCATTTACCACTCCAATACACTCTACAGCTCCCCCGAGTGCATGCCGATGACGGCCTAATCGAGAAATCAGCGTCGCACTTCACCAAAGGGGGAACGGCGAGGGAGAAGTGAGCAGACATCATTGGACGAACCTGTCGGGCTGAAGAGGCAATCTCTGGATCGAGGAAACGGGTTACCATAGAGGGAAGGAAGGATAGAAATGCGCTGATAGGGTTGAGTGAAGGGCAACACATATAATGAAGGGCTCAGATGGAAGTTGCGAGTGCGGAAAATTAAACAGAAATCCTTGTCAATGTGTGAAGGCATGGGTATGGGATTTACAGCGTGCGCAGTTAAAAAGAGACTCCCGGTTGGCTTCCTCAATACTCTCAGAGTCATCTGGTATTGTTTCATTGGCCTCGATAGGCCAGTGTCGTTGAGCGTTCTTCTCACTAGCACCCGTCGGACTTGTCGTCTGCTCTGCATGGCTCACATTCAGCATCCCATTGCCTTGTCTGCTTCCCTCCCACCCTATGCTCTTGACATGACTCCCCAAGCTCTAATCTTGTTATCCGTGTAACCCGAGAACAGTGTCTGTCCATCCGCACTCCAAGCTAGGCTAACACATTCCGGCTCTCTGCTCTTCTTTCCTTTCTCCACGTACTCGGGCTTCAGTTCGTCAACCTTGCTCTTCTTCTCTAGGTCGAAGATTGTAATGCTCGATGCAGTAGCAGCGCAAAGCCAGTATCTGTTGGGTGAGAAGACGAGGGCATGGATTTCATCGCCGGCCTGGAGCGAATAAAGGTGTTTCGATTCGTTAAGATCCCAGAGCATGGTCGTCCCGTCCTTCCCACCTGATGCGCAGAGCGAGCCGTCCGGGGAAATGGTGACTGTGTTGATGTAACCGGAATGACCGATGTGGTCGGTCTGAATTCGGCAAGAGGCTAGTTCCCAGACCTAGAGTGGTTTGTTAGCACCTAGTTTCGAGTAAATACGTCAACAGAGATTGGGATGGAGGTGCCTCAGTGCATCGGTGAATGTTTGTCTCATGGCCCTGAGGCTCTGAAGTAGCAAATACTTTGTTGAAATTGCAAAGCATCTTGGGCTGGTCGCGGAGAGGCATATAACCACACACCTTGACAAGCTTGTCCCATCCAGCACTAACAATGACCGGGTTTTGAGGATTTGGCGAGAATCGAACGCAGGAGACCCACTCAGTGTGGCCTTTGTCGGTAATGGTAAACTTGCAGTCGCCCAGAGTATTCCACAGCTTGATTGTTCGATCTCGAGATCCTGAGACGATCTGACGGTTATCTGCGGAGAAGGAAACGGAGAGGACATCATTTGTGTGGCCGACGAAAGTTCGAGTGGTATTGCCAGTAGCAAGCTCCCACAAGCGGAGAGTCTTGTCCCAGGAGGAAGATAGAGCGTAGGCACCGTCAGATGAGATCACCTGATTTTGGTCAACGCTTCGTCCACTTCTTTGGTGGGGAATGCCCTACACAGTCGGACACAATATGAGAATGACCGTGGAGACTTCGTTGCGGGTAACCGTAAGCAGCTTCATCGCGCGTCAGGTGCCATATGATCAAAGATTTATCTCTACTCCCAGACAGGAGCATGTCCGGGCTATAATCCTAGTCAGCCTGTTTCAACGCCAATTCGTGAGGTACCGCACTTTTCGAGGGATGTAGCTAAGCTGGTGACCCAGCCGCTGTGGCCTTCAAGGGTGCCACGGTGAATGAGCTGTTCTGCCATGGCGGATGGAGAGTGCACAGATGGGTATTGATGAGCTGCGCAGTTTTGATGTCGACTCTTTATTGTTGACTCGAATTGCAGTTGTTAATTCTCGAAACTGTGCGAAGCCCTAACTGCGGTCTTGCCAAGACCACACTGCCAAGATTTCACTCTACTCTTGAGTACTTTTTTTACCTTCAAGCTGTATGTACTCGTACTCCGCGCAAATACCAGGGCTGACATTGAACAGCGACAACAGTGAATACATATGCACTATGTACCCACCGCCGAAACCACGTAGTTTCATGATCTTCGATAGATGATTGCCCTATCTGTCTTTGCTCACTATTGGAGGCCACCTTCAGTGGATCTGTCACGTGGGATCTGTTAGCTTGGCTTAGCACTACCTTCTACTACTAACTAGTACTAGAATAGCTGCTCGGCAATTTCTTCTTCTCCCAACTATGCTAATTTCAATCAAATCAATCAGAACCATTGCAAGATCAGAATGAAAGTCGTAAACCCAACAAACATGAAAGCTGGTAACATTATACCCTTCCGCTCGCCAATGAGCAACACCTTCAGATTCTGTCACAAATGAAGCTACACTGGACCGCGTCACCACTCGTTAGCGGGCTCCGGGCCTACGAGGTTCCTGTTCGGCAAGGAAAGTGCTCTGCAGTTTGGGCTCACTAAATCCAACGGTGCTTACTAGGCTTGACTCGGTCAAAACTACTTATATCATTGCCGCTGATTCAGCTGATATACGGGTATTATTCCCAGAACTGATTGACAGGGAATGGCATGCTGAGATATAATCTGATCCGAGGAAGCCAGCCAAGAAGAGTTGTGCTGAGGTCCATGATGATCGCATGTAGGCCATTCGGTCTTGAATGACATTTTTCTATGCTCATCTGTCTTAGAATCGTCTCGTAAGTGGAGCTGGCTTGTTTCCCAGGATGTCCTCGATTTCCCGCATGACTTCGTCCGTCAACTTGGGCAAGATCTCCAAGCACTGTACCGTTCTGGTGACCTGCTCCACCTTACTCGCTCCTGTGATCGCTGAACTAACGTTTGGATTTTTGATCACCCATGCCATGGCCAGATTCGCCTGATCACAACCTAACTTCTCCGCAATCGGCTTCAGCTCCCTCGCCGTTTTGATATCCTTTTTCCACACCTCGTCCCCATACGTCTCCGCTTTCGCCTTACTGAATGCATCCTTCGCATTGGCATATCGACTATCCTCCGGGATCCCGTCATTGTACTTACCTGTAAGGATTCCCGTCTTCAAAGGACTAAAGATGGTCAACCCTAAGCCATAGTTCTCATACAGCAAGGCGAATTCCTTCTCCACCTTTTCCCGAGCAAGCATATTATACTGTGGCTGCTCCATCACCGGCCCGATCATATTCAACCTTGTAGCATGCTGCCACGCGATAGCGATCTCCTCGGCGTTCCATTCGCTCGTTCCCCAGTAAAACACCTTGCCTTGGTCGATCAGATAATTCATCGCTCGGACGGTCTCTTCGATCGGTGTATTGCGGTCCGGTCGATGACAGTACAATAGGTCTACGTAATCGAGTTGTAAGCGTTTGAGGGAAGCGTTGGTACCTTCGATTAAGTGCTTGCGGGACAGGCCGCCATTGTTGACCGGGTTGGAGCCGAAAGCTGAGCCCCAGTTGATCTTGGTGGAGATGACCAAGTCGTTGCGTTTCCAACCAAATTTCTTTATGGCTTCGCCCATGACCTCTTCCGATTTACCGCCGGCATATGCTTCTGCGCAGTCGAAAAACTGGGACACCGGTGTCAAAGACTTAACTTGATTGAGACTTGATGGTGTTTGTGGACTTACGTTGATGCCAGCATCAAAGGCTGCTTTCATGCAGTCAAAAGCAATTTCTGGGAGCAATGTATTAGCTACTTGTTCTTGGCCGGGTTAAAGATGAAGAGCATACGGTCACCAACATGACCTCCATACGTCACCCTACAAAGGTGTCAGAGAACTCTGGTACCATTACAGTTTCGACTTCATACCAGCCGCCAAGAGATATCACCGAAACTTGGAGACCTGAGCGACCGAGAAATCGATATTGCATCTTAGGCAGTTGCTCGGTAGAGCCCATTGTGTAATACTTGGTTGGAGGAGGAGAATGACGGGGTATTGGTGAAGTTCAAGCAGAATGCAGTAGAGGCTGTGAAAGGAAGGATTGCTCGACTTGACCGGATCTCTTTCTCCTTTAAAAGCTTTGGATTGTGGAAAACCGTCCTGTACTGCTTAGTAATCAGATTGCTGACGACATAGGACTCGGCCATATCTTGTCACCATGCGGGGTAACCTCGGGTATGAGGTTCAATCGAGCCTTCAATACGTAGTAGTAAGACGGAACTGTAATTAGGTGAGCCTCAAATCATCAAGTACACGACATCGGGCTAAAGGGGCTCAGGTCAGGTGGAGGGTGGCAGGCAAGGAGGCTGCTAATATTATTACTCAACTTCTCAAGACATGGGAGATTGATGTAGAGATTGTCTATTTGCCCTAATGGGCTTCGCCAAGTTTCAAGACGAGGACATATATTTCAGAGCACCTTCGGCATGACTGTTGACTTGCCATTTCTCAGTAAAGCTTTTCTTAAAGACGAGCTCGCATGGCGATTTAATCGTTGAAATTAACCTTGGCATAGTAACAAGTGCTGCTGAGCTTCGTGACAATGAATTTGCTGATGTTCTCTGATCTTCTCCCGCCATCAAAGGTAGGCGTTTCTTGGAGTAGAGACGGCGTTCTGGTTATTGCGTCGCTTGTGTCTCCTTCAACCATGTATACACAAATCAGGGTCGGCCACTTAGCAATTGCTCCGATAGTGTCCTCTTCTACCTCTCCCTCGGAATGCGCCTCGTCCGCTTAGGCTAGGCGAACTCTGACCCTCGACGTTTTCCATCCCTTTGGGAATGTTCTTCTCGAGTGCTTCGACCAGAAGGCAAGTAGCTGCCGGGTAATTGGCCACGAATTCATGGAAATGTGGGGATACTGTCAACTTGCTCACATCCTCCGCAGCCAGTGCAATAATACTCGGCCTCATTCTTTGCACCCCCTCCTGAGACATTTGAAAGAATTCCCAAAAGAACTGCATCGCGCTGCTGCTCTTCAACGCCGTTTTTGCCGTAACCAGGATCTCTGCGGTTGCCTCGTCCCTCAGTCTGTTCACACCAAACTTATCTCCAATCCTGCACAATGCCATGCTCTCCTGCCAACCGTGCTTGGTAGGCTGACTTCTCAGCTGTATTTGGCAGGTGCAAGGATCAGTGCTTGTATTCGATATTGTTGCTTGATTGCTCCGGTTCATTGTGGCTTCTAATCTGAAGTTGGGATTCGGTTCTGGCTTGGATTGCGAGAAGAACGATGAGCTGCGATTCGGGTACTCGAGTGTGTACAAAAAAATGAGCAAGCCTTCAACAGCGTACGGCTCATCTTCCTGAAAGTCGACAACACTGCTAAAGGCCTCCTTTTCCTGTCAGCCATCATTTCAGCAGTGCCCAAATCTGCCCTACCCGGAAGTTTCCATTCAAACATGCTTCGAAGAACGCACTGCGTGGACAGAGAATGCTGCGATGAACCCTCCATTCTACACCCTTGCATCTAACCGTGGCATCAGCGAATCTGCCGGAGTAGAGCAGTCTGCCATGATGTCAGCTAATCACACTAACTACAACTTTTCCATGGACTTGCTCCAGCTGTGCTTCTGCTAGAGGCGTTGTCGGTCTGTCAATCGGTGAGGACGCCATTTGATGGCTGAACTTTCTATCAGTGATTTGACCAATGATAATCTCGAGTTATGAGTTCTACCACCGAAGCACACACCGGTGCACACCCGGAAATACAGTTAGGTATTGCCGACCAGTTCAAACAGATCATTACCTTTAGAATATTGTTTGTGCTGTCATGGTGAGTATGCTGCTATTTGTATGCAGGAAATACTCCCACGGCCGTTCGCTCTTGCCATATATACGACACGATTCGAGAAGAAATATTGCGCCTACCAGTCATCACAGTCCGTGAATTTCTCTATCCCTCAATGAAGAACAGACGCAGCAAAACTACCCAGATGAGAGACTACTTGAGAGTAGTACCTCGCTCTCTTAAGCATGACTTCGCTTTTGACTATCACTATCCCTCGGTCGAGCTCCAACTTTGCAACCTTTTCTCCTTGCAACCTAAAGGGAACCATATCAATATCTTGAGCACGAGCTTAAAAGCTGCATGTCAATGGTCCGAGGTCCGGCTCTTTCATGATGTTCAGATGGCTGACGATAATGTTCATTCATTTTGGGCTGACACGCGAGTCAAATACAAGAGAAAGACACGGCTCACTCCTCTACCATAGAGTGAGTGGGGCTTGAGTATGTGAAGGGGACGCTTAACACATGAGGTTGGTTGAGGTATCAGCTCGGAACGCTATTTTATCACGTCCCCTACCGGCCTAACCCCCTCTCCTCCCATTGGACTCCGCACCATTCCTCCTTGAACACTACCTCCCCAATCTCTCCACAATTACTCTCGCAGACTCCCACAAGGATAGTGCCCCATTCCATTCCCTCCTCGAGATTAATATCATCCTCTTCCACCGCAGCAATTGCACCAGGAACCAACTGCATCTCGAACACCCTCTTCGCACCACAGCTCTCGCATCTCGGCATTCCAGTACTTGTCTTTGTCTTCCCATTTGAAGATACAAGTTGTTTACCCACGGCGTCAGTACTCGAATACAATAATGGATTCCCTTTCCATTCATAGCGAAGCACCTGTTCCGGATTCTGCGCCAGTCGATCAGAGAAGTTGAGGAAGGTCTTGTCGAGACTTGATTCGAATAAGTCTTTGTCTAGGCCATTGGGGGTGGTACTATCTTCTTCAGTGTACTGTGCTTGTATTTTTGAGGAGCCGGCCTCGGGAATCTGGGGCTTTTCTGGGACGAGGGCTTCGTATTCGGCGTCCAGGTGAAAGTAAGGGTATGGTTTTGGGAAGGCTGATTCCGGTGGCCATAACTCTTCTGGTACATCTGCTTTGGATTGGGGAGACGGAGAGGAGATGCGGAGTTTGGACGCGAAGGTTTCAATTGGTGGTTCTTGTGCTCGTTGAGGGGGTTTGGCAGCTAAGGTTAGTGTGGATGGTAGGGAGTCATAAGGGTTGGATGACATCGAGAATGGTTTTGAGATGGAGAATGGATTCTCATTGCTCGGAATGGAATTCGAACTTGTCGCTCCAAAAATCATAGTTCCCAGATCCTCGGGCTGCTTTTGTGGTTCTGCATTCAATATTGCTTTCTCCTCTTTTGACCGAGTAGCACCTTCAGCCTTGTGCTTCCTGACCTCTCTTATAGCCCGGACACTCCCCACTTTTCGACTGCACGGTTTCATTCGGCAGGTATATATATGCAGCCGTCTCTCATCATTGGGAAAGTATTGTGGAAGATCGCCATTGAGCTGCAGGAGGAGTGACATAGGACTGCTGCAGACTTTACATCTCGCGAATGAGGCTGGTGGAGTTCTGTTGGGATCGAACCATGTCTGCCTTCACCGTCAGAATTTGTGACGATAACACGATACACGGGGTGGCAAACGGAGAAGCCGCCCAAATGGCTGATGGTGTCTCCTGTCGGCTCCCTCGAAGCGTACCCAAGGTTGACGTTAGTTTCTGTGTATTCATTTTCTGCCTCGAACGATGAATCACTGTCGTAGCTATCCATGCTGCAGATTTCGTGCTTGTGCAGAGGTGGATGGCAGATCCCACACAGATTGATGCCTTTTTTTACTTGCCGGAGTTTAATATTGTGGTCTGTGCTGCAGATCGAATACATAACGGCGGGCCGCCCCGCTATCGCCCCGCACTCATGCTGGAGCCTGAATGACAAGTGGGGACAGTCGTCTTTGTAAGACTGTCTTAACCAAACTCTTCAGGCTGCATTCTCAGAATCGCGGTCTTCGGACATGATCTTGGATAGAGTCTAACAGTCGCTTCACCCAAGTGCAAGTCAAAGTGTCGAATCCTCCCCGCCGCAAGCCTGATAACCACTTGGCTGGATCAAGGATCAACGATCAATTACTCGCTAGTGCTTCTTAGCACCGAGTTCAGTATTCACCGATATGCCCCTGCTACCAGATGACCTGCGGTATGATAACACACCAGATTTATCCTCTTCGGCAGCAAGGTATGTAGGTTTCCTTCCCAGATATATACGGACACGTCTTAGCTAATCCTGTCAAGTCGCCACGATTTAAACCTACTTCAACTTCCCCAAGAACTCCTCCTCGCCATCATCTCACACGTCGAACACCGGGACGTATACACATTGAGAGCGATCAACCGCAAGCTTCATAATCTTATTCACGAAAATGAAAGTGCAATTGTGCGCCAACATCTCTTGGAAGGGGAAAGTCAACCACCTACCTATTTCATGCCTACCGGATCACTCAGCCTCGACTGGTGGACAGAGCGCCGCTATCGCGTCCATACATGCAGTCAATTAGCTTCAGTACTTGCTACTCATTGTTGTGCAAATCTGAAACCACAATCCCGACTTGACGACCAAGACGCATGGCGCATGAGGAAGACAAACAAACTAAAAATTTCTCTGATGAGCAGCTTTCTCACTTTCTATGAATACCTTGCTCGTCTTCGACAGATTGTACTTCGTACCTTACATGAGTTTGAGGAAGACTTAATAGCGGATTTTACCAGACTTGGCTTCATCCTAGATCTTGACGAACAACGAATCCTTGAAAGTTTCCCAGCAGACTCACTAATTCACATCGCACACGCATGGCGAATACTTCAAGGGGTCTCGAGGGCGAAAAATGCTTCTCTTGAACTCAGTTCCACAGAATTTCCTTATACGACTGTGAAAGTGGCACTCATACTGGGAGGTTTGGATCGCTTCACAGCATTAATAAGCAAACCCAGCCAGAAGGAGCGTATGCAAGATCTTGATGCCTTCGGTGCAGAACTCTGGCACGGTGAGATATGGAAACCTTACATGAGTCTGAGTGAACCTCCGCTCAGCTCAATCCATCATTTGGCTACACGGCAGAAGCGCGTGTCGTCTGGGGATTTTCCCAAGAAGATGAGGCAAGGAGCCATTTTGGCCTTCATAAGTCATCAGAGTATCTGTGAGTCTAGCTTGAAGGCTGTAATCTTGAGGCATCAAGGAACTCTGGATAGTATCTTGCCAGTGGATAGGTATACCTGCGAGGTTGTCAGAGAGGATGGGGACTCTTTCCGTCTTCTGTCGTCGTGGAATGCGCCTGATAATTCTGATTGAGCTGATCGACTGAAGTAGGCAGACTGCTGCAGGTACAGGTCCTATAGTATAGTTTTGGAGACCGAACGTGCCGGATATTGTGAAACCCAATCACCCAAAGATGATAATGTGTAGTCATCGTCAAACAGTGCAAACACGACTTCCGCAGCTCCGGGTTGTCCGGTTGTACATTGTCCAACGTACAAACAGACCGAGCAAGGGCGGAATCCTGTACTGCACGTAATGCCTTGAAGAGCGTTCTTGAGGCCAGACATTTCATGCTCTTGTGCGGTTCATGATGACTTTCACGCTGCAACCAAGATGGCTGGTCGCTCTCCTCGCCCTGTCCTCGATGTCTCCACATACAGCAGCCTTCCAATCCGACCTTCAGCAACAGCCATTTCGGATATCGTCTACTACTCAGCCTTTAGGTCCCACAACATATGGAAAGGCCCAGCGAGTCGCCGTCATTGGTGCAGGCGCCGCCGGATCAAGCACTGCATACCACCTACAACAATACGCTGCCAATGCCACGATTCCCCTCGACATCACCATCTTCGAAGCGTCATCCCGGGTTGGAGGCCGCACAACCACCGTCAACGCTCTGGATGATCCTCGCTACCCTGCTGAGCTAGGTGCTTCGATCTTCGTCTCGGTGAATCACATTCTGGTCGACGCGGCGGAAGAGTTCGACCTCGAAGCTCTCGAAGCGGGCGCTGCTCGGCCAAGTGAAAGTAAATACGAGATTGGAATCTGGGATGGAAAGGAGTTTGTCTACAAATCTATGAACGATGATCTTGGCTTTTTGAACCTGGTCAAGCTATTCTGGCGATATGGTCTGGCTCCCCTCAAGACGCAGAGGTTGATGAAGAGCACGGTCGCCAAGTTTCTGAAGATGTATGATGAGCCGGAGTTTCCTTGGAAGAGTTTGACAGATATGGTTTCGCGGGTTGGATTGTTGGATACGACAGCCAGCACCGGGTGGCAATTCCTCAAGAGTAACGGTGTGGGAGAGAAATTCGGAAATGAGATCATCCAGGCAAGTACACGGGTGAATTATGGGCAAAATTTGGGATTGATTCACGGGTTAGAGACAATGGTTTGTATGGCTACAGACGGGGCAATGGCGGTAGAGGGCGGCAACTGGAGAATCTTTGATGGAATGGTGAAGAAGAGTCGGGCACATCTCCGGCTCAATACTTCTGTGGAAGAAATCACCAGGCTTGAAGAAGGTGGGTATCAGCTGTCCCTATCAAAGAAGGAAAGGCACGGTGTGCGGACTCAAACAGAGGATCGCTTCGATTCAATCGTCCTCGCTGCACCTTTTCAATATACCGGGATCAAGGTATCACCCGCTTTACCTCATCAACCAGACGAAATCCCTTACGTGACGCTATACGTCACTCTCCTTGTCTCGCCGCATCGTCTGAGCCCGAAATTCTTCTCAACTCCCACATCACCACTGGCCGACCAGGACTTCGACTCCATCCCTGAAATAGTCATTACCACTCTCCCAGCCGGTCTCGATCTTGGCTCTTCGCCGGAAGGTGTGGGACCCACGAAATTCTGGTCTGTCAGCACCCTCCGCAGCATCCCGGTCAACGGCTCGGCACAGTATCTGTACAAAATTTTCTCGCCCCAGCCCATGAACGCAACATTTCTATCCCGACTCCTCGACTTTTCTGTCGAGGCCAAGGAGGACGGCAACGACAGTGTTGACAATGTGGACAAGCGGCATATCTCATGGTCGTACGAAAAGAAGTGGCACTCCTATCCATATGAGTACCCGCGCGTGACGTTTGAGGACTTGAATCTGGATGCAAAGGGATTGTGGTATACGAGTGGAATCGAATCGTTTATCAGCACCATGGAAACGAGCGCGCTGATGGGAAAGAATGTGGCGAAGCTGATTGTGAATGAGCTGGTTGAGAAGAGCGGAAGTGACCTGAATTGACGACACAGTCCTACAATGCAAAACAGAATCATCGGACCGTTCCCTGACGTCCACATTGGGTATATCTCGGCTACGTTGGGACATATCAGGCGCCGGCTACGTGACGGTGGTCAGCCATGCTTCCTGCCGCTGGCTGCGTGCAGAGGAAGGGCGCCTAGGTCTCCAACCACCGCCCAAAAATACCATCTACACCACTGGTGTACGAACGCAACATCACAACGAGTGGCCATCTGGTCATTTCGAACCAGCTTTGAAGGTCAAGGTGAGAAGAAGCAGACGCATTGAGCTTGGACGAATCCTGAAGCCCTGTCTCTGACAGCCTCCACTACAACTCTTGCGAGAGAATCGCGCATCAGATGAGCGCTTTGTTCGCAGGGCGGTCACTGGGCAGAGGACCTGCATGACTTCAACAGTGCTACCTAACCGTCAGCGTTCTTTGAGACCATCCTCCTGATTTTTCCCGAGGGGTGAGAAAGCCTGAACGCAGCCTTCTTCGGTCAACCGTAATTACCGAAAATAGAGATTTTGTTTCGCAAGGTAAGCCTCGACACAATGAACTTGTTTTGCAATCTTTGAACTCTTTCTTTCACGACATGGCGAACAAAGAAATTCCAGCGATCTCTTTCCTTGTTCCCATTATGGCCAATGTTCCCACAAAGAGGCGCGCTCAACAATCCCTTCGTTGGACCAAGGGGCGCACAATGAATTTATCTCTTCCTTTTGATTATCCGTCCAACAAGCGACTGCCCGGTCCCCTCGAGCAAGACCCTGCGCGATTGCCGCCTCTGTTCGCTTCTCATCCTGTTTCCTTCATATTTCTCATCACCATGTCACTCCTCTTCTTCGCAGTCTTGACGCACAACACGCCCGAAGAACAACAACGCCTTACCGGCCAGAAACCAAAGGGAATACCCTACGACGATCCAGATTCGCTCGGTATCCCACTCGACGTGTTGGATAAGTCGGGAAAGAAGAAGGAGAAAAAGAACAAGCTCGAACCCAAACCTGACATTCACACCCCGTCCTCCTCCTCTTCAAAGGCAAAGAAGTGCCATCGCCAAAGCTATTTCCTTCACTGTAAGTCCTCCTCCTCTTCCTCCAAGCGCCCCCCAGCCCTCCCACAATCACCGCCACCACCATACTCCTCTCTCGATATCGATATCAATACCCAGCCCCAAAACCAACCAAAACAATGGACACTCTTCTTGCCCAACAGATAGCGGACGCTGTCGACCGCACCAAAGGCGCCATGATGCTCGACATGCCCATGTGGTTCCGCCTCGAATATGGCCGCACCTGCACCACCACGCGGCAAATGTGCGCGAGATGCAGTCGTCTCGGCGAGGATGAGGGGGAAGTAAGCCGCGTGGCGGAATGCTGGCTCTGCGCTATGATTGGTGACGAGACGAAAATGTGTGAGCCTGTTCCGGGGTTTGGGGAGCAGAGGGAAGGTGATGGGCATGAGTTTTTGTGTCCGAAGTGCAGGGCTAGAGCTGTGGTTGGGAATGGGAATGGGCCGGCGGATGGGGGTGGGTGCGAGTATGAGGTGGAGATGCGACGCGAGAGGAAGGTGAATGATCAGAAGAGAGTGGAGGAGGCGATGCGAAGAGAAAGGGAAACAAATGATCGGAAGAGAGTGGAGAAGGATCGGCAGCGGAGGGCGAAGATCAGTAATACTAGTGCTTCTGCTGCTAGTAGTCGTGGTGGTCGTGAGATGATGTAGATCAGGAAGGAAGAAGAGTGGAGGAGGTAAGATAGGATGAGAGAAGACTTCGCGGCTGGCCCGTGGAGTGTTGTTCTAGTTGAATTTCAGGAAGGTTTTTTTGTCTCTATTTCCCGTTTCTCTTGATATGTCGGTGTCCCGCGCTGGAGACCATCATGAAATGGTCGGAGTTACTGATGCTGGTTTGCGTGCAGGGACCACGAGCATTGCACGCCTTCTAACTTAACCGTCATCGAGTCAAGCTAAACTGTTGTGTGGATAGCAGTGTAGGTGCTTAGCAAATACAAGAAGGCAAGAAAAAAAAATCAAAGGCTAGTTTTCGGAAAGTCCACTCTACTTTTGCTCCGGAAAATAGAAGAGAAGATGTTGTCGATCTTATGAAGGCGTTGAGCTCTCCGGCCGCGTCTGTCCATGTAGTCTCTCCTGTAAGAAAAATATTTGGGAAGTTGGGAGGAGGGAAGGAAGGAAGGAAGTAGGATGAGAGTTTCTTCGCAAGGCGAGAGCTTCTTCCCTTCCATTGGTAAACCTCACAAGGTGTTCGCGTTCGGCGCGGGAGATCGGAAGCAGCGGACTAGATGTAACAGTGCATACGGTCTTTTAATCGGGATGAGTTGTTGTCAGATTGAGGAATGGCGACCAGAGGCCATAACGCGCGACTGAGGTTTCTTGAGCCATGGAAACATTCTCTGGGGCCAAAAGACCCTCGAGCAGGCAATGCGGGCGGGTCGGCACTGTCTGAATACAGAGCACCTGCTGGCTGCAGGCAGATTTCCAGTTCGATTTCTTCGACCTTCCGACTCGGCATGCTCGAGATACTATCGCTGGCCCGTGCCAGGGTAGGGAAAGTCGTGACCATGGCGTCTGCTATGATGCTTATTGATCTGTCATTCCAACTTGTCTAGATCCAGTTTGAAAATCTAAAAAGCAGTAAAGCAGCAGTGAATATTACTGTATAACAAAAAGGAGCTGCTAGAATCGTTCTTGACTGTTTCAATTTAGCAGCATAATGTCGATGATTTCAATTGAGCAGCGAGAGAAATAATGAGCTTGAACCCGAAACGCTCAGAGAGGGGCCCGTGGTTAGGAAATCTTTGTACAGTCATTTGGCCAGAGCTGCTCTCCGTCTTCAAATGCTAAGCTGCCGCTGCACCTGGTTATATCCGAGTCTTGACGAAACAGATACATCCAGAAAGAGAATTGTCCAGATAAGAAGTGCTCGAGATGCACGAATCCTGTTATGATACCGATGGAAAAGGTCATGATAGGTAAGCATGATAGAGAGACACCTTGCAGCGAGATTGTGTAACAGGAGCGAAGTCTGGCCAAGGGGCGATGGCGTACTAGTAGTCGAGAAGAAATTATCACGACGCGGACTTGTGTCTACATAGTAAGCAGTGCTTCGGCCCGGTAGACCTCACAGATTGCTCGGTTTGAGAATAGTCCCTGTACAGAAGAGCGATAGGCCATGATCCGAGATACGCAAGGCTAGAAGCAGCAGAGTTCAGAACCTCATGTACAGGGGCAGAATTTGTCACGTCCCAATCATTTCAGCCGCATATTGATGTCTCCTTTGCAGATATGATGACCATGCATAATTAAATAACTACTACGTAGGGATACGAAGTCTACCACGTTGCCAGGCATACGGAACTACTACGTAGTACTAGTAAGTATTCATAGCTTGGCGCTAGTATCTGTACCGTGGGACGGGCTACAAATGAGATACCTAAGCCTTGAACGCTTAAGCGGTACGACTGTGGCCAATAACCTTTGACGGTCGCCTGGGAAGCTTCTAAGCAATGATGTGGGGCTGTATCAAAGCTAATTGCTACTAGTGCCGAGCTATGGATACTTCTGCCCGGTACCGTGGTAGAGAGGTGTATCTGGTACCTCCGGTAATCAAACGCATGCTAGGCTTTTAAAGAAAACCATTGGCGATGGTGAAGGATTGGCTCCCTGTAGAGCGAGTTAGATCCAGGGAACATTCGGCGTATTGAATGCCTTGTCGAGTGTTGCGCCCAGTGATGGCGCCTTGCAACCAAGGAAACAGAGATTCATGACAAAATCACGAGGTGTGTCGTAGTGGCTTAATTCTGGCGACTCGAGTCTCTGGCAGCAGATGAAAGTCGACTTCGCATGGAGCGCGTAGAGAATTGAAGTGGGAGAAAAATCCAGAATATACATGCTGCCTGGTGCCGGTCTTTCCATTCTCCTTTTCTAGTGGTTAATGCTCACCGCTCGGGTAACGGGTCAAAGGTAGAAGCATTGCTCTCGAGACGTAGCCCTGCTAGGAAAAGCTTTTCGGACATATGCCAGACGCTTGTTCGATAGCCAATAGAGATTTGGTAGCAGATGGAAGAAAACGAAAGTTCAACGGCGTGGCGCGGCTAAGATAGGTTGTCCTGATACGGAATACCAACGAATGAGTGTAGGAGTACTTGGACGTCCCCGTACCACCCATCTCCCCCCTCCGCGGGATGTGCTTAGAATCAAGCGAATCTGGGTGCCTCTTGGGCAGTTACTGGAGACAGGCAATTGCAGGGTTCTGATGGTGGTCTTGGGATAGACGTGACAAGGATATCCATAGGACGCCATCTATTGAGAAGCGTGCAGAGGAATTGTTCCGGGAGTGTTCTTCGTGATGCAAACCTTGGCATTCGTCCGGTAGAAAGAGGTAGTCATCTGATTTGACTAGTACGACCACGGAAGCCATAGAAGTTTGTCAATGCAGATTGTTCTCCACATAAATCGATGTACTACGCATGCGGCATCCGATCGACAGGTCCGGCAGCCTGGGAGTCTCGATATGGATGGTCTGGCCCATCGAAACCCAGGCTCTTGGGCCACATCTCCCATGATACTTTGATGGACAAATTGCTGCATCCTTGCTGTAGGTGAGCGATCAGCGCACGAACTCTTCTTATCAGTGGTTAGCTGCTCCTCCAAAAAGTACATTGTAGATCTTGAGTCATGCAGTGTTGCAGCCCAGATCGTTAAATTTAGCACATGGGATTTTCTCGTCGGCGTCAGTAAAGGAAATGATGTTCATTGAACGGCGATCTTGTCCATTACCGCCCGAACCCTTAATTAGGTCAGTCTGACGTGTTAACCCCTGGACCGTCCGACCAATAGGGATCGTCTCAGCCACAGCAGTGGCGTATCTGTCAGATCGAAACTGGTTAGTTCTCGTCGATGACATCCGTGCATGCTTGGAGCTATGGCTAGTGATGTCGCTCCTCTTCCAAGAAAGGCTGTGCATCGTCTAGAACCATGGTCCTATCTGCTGTTCGTCAAGCACGGATTTGCTTCCTTTCAAAGAATATTATCGAAATAGTATCAAGATTGAGATCAGCGGAGAGCATACGTACGATTTGATTTGGTTGTTGGTGAATAGCGCTTCGATGACGGCACAAGTAGTGCACAAGTAGTGTCCATCAAATGCTCCTCTTTGTTGGATATGCGATTCCCAACGAATCGAAGGACATCTTCGAGGGTGGCTCACCACTGGACCCCGCCCTACAGCAAGTTACTAGGTAAGTAGTCCCTTGTATGGTGGTCTCTCTTGTAGCCCCTGATACAGACGACCAAGCCTTGTACTACGTACATCGGTGTAACCTGCCCCTTTCCCTGCCCGAATGACATAAGAATGATCATGAGAAAAGCGAAGGAATTGTGACGAGATAATCCCAACCCTTGTCATGGAGGATGACTGCATTGGAAAGATGTGGTGTTCTAACCACTTCTCGTTGGTGCCACGTAGGTCTTTGACTATGTACACGTCTCACTCTTTCCCAACTTGCAATGTAGCACGCGGCCAGGATGGAGCCCCGACTGCACTACCCCAATGGGCTCTCCCACGCCTTCATCATCGGAAACAAAAACCAAATCCTGCGCAGGTATTGCCTGACAGTGCCAGTGGGTATCAATTGTAAATTCAAAAAAGGATGATGCGTACTTTGGCACGCAAAGAAAGCAGGAAGAAAGAAGCATCTCATCCGCTTCCATATTACAACGGCGTTAATTGTGCCCAAACACCCCAGTGGGTATTTTCCAAAAGCAATAAATAGAGGGTATCTTAGATACTCATGTGCATCGTCAAAAAGTGTCGTGGTCGCTGGTCGAAATGGAAGACTTTCGATTCTTTCTTCAAAGATGCTGTAGAAAATGACGAGATCCTCCTGCCAAGTGACAAGACAGCTCCAGGTAGAAGTCGTGATCTCGTGGAGCTGCGGGTATAATCTCCAATGATAAGTCCTACATTGAAAGGGTGAAATTGTGCAAGTAAAAAGGGCGCAATCTGAGGGTCGTTGTATGGTGCGTTTTGGCCTTGTCAATAGTTAAGCCACATCTCCAGACCGTCCGTGTACATACTGTCGAGAGCGGTCACATCACCGTCGACCATGATGCCGGTTTCTGACATCTCTCGGGCTTCTGACTTGACAGCCTGTTCGTGGTGTACTTTGGAGAATTCGACGATCATATCCTGTTCTTCAGGAAGTTCTCGTACAACATCTTCGTCAACAATAATATGCAGGCCTTTCGAGTCCAGGTGCGTTACGCGTGTCACAGCTGTAGGATCGACCTGGAACTTCTCAGATATGGCGTTGATGAGATCCTTGACGGTACGCTGCATCAGATACACGGCACGGTAGTACAAATCTTTGGAATCTTTTCTCCGGACGTAGAAACACGCGACTAGTGAAATCAGCAGGTGACAGAACAATAATGCTAGGAGATTGCTTACCTGGCTTGATCGGACGCTCTGAAGGTGCTTGATAATCTAGATCTACGCCGAAGACGTTGATTACATTGCCAGAAATGCCGGACTTCTGAAGTGACACTGTCTGGGAAGGAGACTGTGACGTTGATGTTTGTGAAAATGCGGCATCAATCGAGCCTCTTTGCGAGAAGCCCGTGGGGTCTGATGGTGGTAGCGGTAGTGGTGGTTGAAAGGTTGAATGGGCCAAGTGAGGCGAGACTACTGCGTTGGAACTTGACGTTGGTGACATGGCATTCGAGTTCGTAGGCGTACTGGCTGCGCTGGGTTTCGAGTCCCATGTGTCTTGCCGTGTCAAGGAGGCAGTATCTTGTGGCCCGCCAGGAAATTGGACAGGAAATAGATCCGGATCATCCTCTTTGTCGCCTCGAAGATCGAGGACACTGACAGGTCGAGTAGAAGAGAACATGTCTTGCATGGTGGTCAATTTCATAACCAGATCTTCCTCTTGGGTAGGTTGTGCAGGTGCCTCCCCATCGGAGTCAATCGACCATGTGCGCTTATGCTTCATAACTTTTCCAGGTCCTTTCCCTGCTTGCTTTGCCATGGAGCCACTTCTCTTTCTCTTCCCGAACGTAGGTATCCCAGATTCTGCCTGTGAAATTTGTTGCTTGAGCTTTTCAATCGTCTTTTTGACGTGAGCCACATCATTGGCAAGCTTCCTCTCGGCCCCGTGATCCCGAAACAGCTTGACTTTGGCGTAGCACACCTCGGCTTGATTTTCCGGAGCAGCATTGGAGAATTCTGGCTGGATCTTTTCCGTCTTTGCACATAGCCTGACGGGGATACCTTTCACACCTTTAGAATGGCTAAAGTCCGTCGATAGAAAATTAAAGCGAACGGAGATGGAACATTCCGACCGGCCACTGACAGGATTCGGTGCCCATGTCACACAAAAGCCATCAAAAGAATTGTTGAGTAGTTCAATCTGGGGTTTCCGTGACTCTTCATCACCTCCTTGGTTAGTGTCAACGTGTTCAACTGCCAGTAGCTTCCCTTCCCGTTGATGAGCTTCAGAAGTGCCTCGGCCTTCCTTCCACAGCTGCCAGCAGGCTCCCGGTTTTGCACGTTGCTCGTCGTCTTCGAAAGAAACACGGACGAATGTGCGATAGCGAATGGGTGAAGCATTTGACACAGGCGGCAAAGTGTCAATGACGGATAAGGAATAAGCTTGACCTTTGTTGAGGTAACTGATAGGGATCTCATCAGAGTGCTTGACCATGGCCGTTGGGGCATTGAGTGTGACGTGATACCGAAAGCTGAACCATTTGTATAAGCCCATAGTTTTGAGAGAGGATAAAAGGGTTCAACTTACTTGTCGCCCATCGGTCCAGAGGAAACCGCCATGCCACTGTTGGCAGTCTGACCCAGAGACATATTAGTCCCGATTGGAAGCATTCCCATCTCGGCTTTGGCAGGTGAATCGTGTGGTGATTGCGACATAGCCTCGTATCCAGAATCTTTATGCTGGAGAAAGCTGCTCGGGGCGAAGACCTGATGAGGCGCGTAATTGGGGACATTCTCGAACTGTTGAGGCTGTAAAAGATGTGGTTGATAGTGTTGCAATGGGATATTGAGATTGCCTGTTGAGAGAACGTTGGCGGACTGTGGAAGAGAGAGTGGTGTTCCAATGTTCATGCCCATCCCTGGAGTATGCAAATCACCTGCTTGGCTGTGATAGAGTGTGTTCAGGCCTCCCGGAGTTGGCGTGTAGTAGCCCGGAGGTTGGTTGGCGAAGGTAGAGAATGCAAATGAGTTTGGGTCCATAAGCGAAGGAGTGAACCTCCAATGGTCCTGCATTCCCTTGGGCGTAACATCATGATCTCTGTGGTCCCCGGGATCACCGAAGTGTCTGAGTGAATCATCGCTGGTCAGCACGTCACCATCCTTGGCAAACAATTCATGCGACGATAACATGATGGATGGACTAATTGCGAGAGCCGTAAAGAGGCTTTGTGAAGGAGAAAGAGCAGTTGAAGTGGTGGGCGCATACCTATTAGGTAGATTTGCATCTGTGAGTACATCGCTTAGGGAGGAAGATCGCTGGGCGGGACCCGGCCCTGCTGATAGCGACCCAGGACCTACACCAGGGAAGTTTTGCTTGAAGGCCGCGTAGAATTCCTCGTCCGGTTTTTGCGAGTTCGTCCTGGTTCGAAACATGATCAGCTTCTCAGCCACAGAGAATGATGAATAGCTGTTTTTTTGTTGAAAATCGCTAGGTAAGCGGGATGGCGAACCGGTTGCGAAACATGGGAGGCGGCTGAATATCTCAAGTGCTGGTGTCAGCACGCCGACAGAGCAATGCACGAATGTTTATGCCAGTCCCTGACGGTAGCGATTGTAGTTAGAGTATGGTAGCAGACGTTGAAAGCACGATCACAGGCTCTCCGGTCGAGTCGCGAAGCGCGCAAGGTGGCATCAAGGAGTCCTGTAGCGTGTACCGATTCGGCGGACAATAGACGTGCTTGCTCATGTATTCGACGTCGAACAAAATTGGCCTGGTGGGTGTTGGATGAAATACCATCGAGGAGACGGTAAGGTGTAAAGACCAAATAAAGAAATAGCAACAAGCAATCATGAAGTTGTCGGGCTAGAACTTAGGTCAGACATGTTCATGGTACCCGTAGTTCATCTTTAGCTACTCCGTACTAGCTCGCAGACGCTACAAGAAAAATGGAAGGAAGAAAAGATGCAGGGCGGGGAATAGCATTTGCCAGGATGACAGTTTTGGGCACCACACCGCGTGTCATTGATGACCGGGGAGCCACAGCCATGGGTCCCACCCATTTCCCAATCTCATTCGAGCGCCACGGATAACTGGCAATTTGGCGGGGATTGGCAGTAACGCCACACCACCAAGCACGGATGCCACTAAGAGAGCAATCGTAATCGTCCCCACCTGAGACGGCTTAGCTTCAAAGGTTGTGGATTGATGGTTGACCGCTGTAGCTTCATTGGGCTAAGTGGCGTGTAGATCCCTGTCTACACAGCCACCGCTATGACTGGACAGTGTTACACGAAGCCGCTATCAAGGCCCTAAGTCCATAGTGTACCGCTGCCATACTGACCGCTGAAGCTAGAAGGCCTGGGCCTACGTCTGAAGCTCTCTTGCCGAGGAAAGTTGTGGCTTGAAAGCAAAACTCCCGTGCCTCATCACAGTACTCTCTGGCCCCAAATCAAATCTTCCGTAAACTCGGTACCGTTCGACAGCCTTTTTGTACCGGACTAACCCACTGACATAGGACAATGCATCTCCTTGTCATGTGAAACGATCTGAGGTCTACAGGATAAAAGATATTAGCGAATCGGGAGAACCATGTACAAGCCATTAGAGGACAATTACCTCCCCTCACAGAAGTCATTGTGGCAGGACACCATGATCGGTATCATGTCTGTCAGGGATCGATACTAAAGAGGTCTTTACCGACTTAAATTCCTCGAAATCTTCTTTGAAGAGAAGAAGGATGAAGAAGTGCTTCAATGGACGGATATTGCATTGCAAGTAAGTTCACCCAAGTACCCATAATAATTGCTTTGATAGCAAATAGATCCAGATACAGATCCATGGATCACATACAGCCCCTAAAGATAATACACCAATCACAACAGAGAAACCTTTGATTCCTCTCGGTGTATTGGGATAGCTACTCGCCAGCACTTGCAAGAGTATAACGATTAGGCTCAAATGTTAAGAGACGGCGCCTCGCTTCATGGTGCAGAGCGCTATCGAGAAATCGGAGCGGTTGCCAATGAATGAACAATAACGTGTCTTTTGCTTGGCCTGTGGCATTGGGTGTCAACCTGGCTCTAGTTTTGAACGTTGCAGATGGCGAAGTAGAGAATGCCATAGAGCCTTCACGATGAAAGACAGGGGTTAGAAGACGAGCTGCTCCCGTTCGAGGACTCAGGACGCGTCGACCGAAGAAGAGAAAGAGGGTGCAGATCGACAGGCTGAAAAAGTGGGTCACACACGGCCACAGCGGCAGGAATCAAAACGAATCGGATCTGGCAATCTTAACGCTCCCGGCAGCCAATGCTCCAAGGTTCCTGAAATCGCTGCATAATTTAAACCATCGAGACCAGTGCGGCACCATGTTCCTTACGTAGTACTAGCATATGCAGATGACCTCGTCGGGTGCTCTGCTACGTTGGATTTCTTGTACGGTATGAGTGGTACGAAACAGCCACAACAAGGGTGAATGAAATGAGTAGGGATCCAACAAAGGGCACCAGCCACATCTAGACTCGTCTAAGCAAAGCGTTGAGAGGCAGGCTGCAAGCGATGCCACGAGGGAAAGGGGTATGATCGCCAGAAGTGTGGCGTAAGCTCGAACGCATCACTTGTTACGTATAGGACTGTGGCGGTGCACAGTTGGTAGCGAACAACAGCGGAAAACATGGAGAACCGAGGTGCAGATATGGTGAGACCGCTCGAGGTACGATGCTGCTGCCGTCAGACTCGAGGGTTGGTACAGGCTCAATATACGACGTCAGAATATGATGTTGTGCCCTTTTTGTGATTGTATAACAGTCGTGTAGTTGAAAGACTATCCGGCACACCATGACGAAGAGTTTTGGTGTGATGTGGGGCAGGTATCACCAATGTCTTTCCCTGTTGCACGAGAAGTGCGCAAAGATGTAAGAACAATTGTCATCCCGAGCCCTCAGGCGAGAGAGAAGAAAGATGCCCGGTGGCAGGTGGACGTGGAGCGGTCTAACTAGTCATGTGCCCATTTGTTAAATATTATGTACCTCTGACGAAATGCATGCAGAGCAATACATCGTCTTGACCTGTCAATCACCCTTCAATTCCGTGGTAGACCCCACTCGCCTTGCCACACCATTAAAATTAGATGTACAAAGACAAAGGCAACTCCGGTAAATCATAGTTTATCCACTCGATTGCACTGAGGGAGCGACAGCCTGTTCCTGACACCGACTCTGAAGGTATGCTGCAGTCGTTAATTTGCATTATGCCTGGAAACTGTGCGGTCCACTGATCGAAAACGAATTTTGAATTTGATCCGTCGGTGCCTGAATGCAGAAAATTCATAACCCAAGGCCACTCGGTGAGCCAGCATGCTCAGCTCATCTCGTGATGATTAACTGAAACCCATCAATCCATTGTCCGCAAGAACCTGAGACGCCAGCAATGGTGTAGCCCGCCGGCGGCATCAGCATATGCCTGAGGTTGTTAGCAAGCTTGTCCAGACGCCATCCAGTTGAACTTACCCAGAACCACCATGAGCATTCCCATAGATTTCGGACTTCCTCCCAAGGCTGGTCAAAATCTGCAACCCATCGATCCACAGCCCAGCTCGCAAATAAAACCCTGAAAGGGTTTCTCCTCTGCGAGTATCTAGAGGGCGCGTCAGTCATCGATTCCACCATAACCGAGGGAAAACTACTGACCAAAGAAGAATTCGTCACCACCTGCCTTTCCTCCACGTTTACCAAAAAGCTGGCAATGTCCATCCTCGTAACAGAATGCAACACCGTCTAAGGCATAACCAGAATACACCTTGATGGAAGTTAAGAGTTTGGTCTGCAGATTCACAGAATCAAGGATGACTTGTTCAGGCTTGCTGCCGTCGAGTCTCGAAAACCCCAACTTATTACCTTTGAAACCTGCACGTGTCTCGAGCGATTGTGGTAAATTCGTTAATCTGTTGTAAGTGTTCATCGTGAGACCTTCATCCTTTCTAGGAGCGCTCTGCCTTGCTGGCAGATTGACGATGTAGGACTTGGAGAGCAGCTCGGAAAAGTCATCAATGGTCAGGCTCCTCGAGCTACCAGAAAACACTTGTAGTTTCACTTTGCCCTTGCGCTTGTTTTCAGGTAGTCGTGACCGGACATTCGCCTCAGAGAGTGTGACATTCCAAGGCATGCCACCATTTCGTGATTCGGTACTGACATATTCGAGCCAATATCTGCACAATTCGTCGCCGTCATCTGGATAAATCTCGATGAAAGAGATTCCTGAAGGCGCGCAAAAAATGACCTTTCCATTTCCGATGGGGTAGAATTGGATGCTATCATCTAAAGTGGATAGAATAGTATCACCTGGCGTGCGGAAACAAGGATGATGTCGGAAACGAAGAATGTCAAGTCGATGCCAGCCACATTCATCCTCAATCCGACAGATACGCAAACCTTGAGATTTGGTCCGTGTCGAGTAAGGCTCCCTTACCAGAAACGTTCGATTGAGTCGGATGTAATCTCGCAGCATCACGCCCGACTCCTGATGTGGACAGCCAAAGAGATGGCCCACTTCATGCATATGAGCTCCGATGCCAATGTTGACGGCCTCCCAATTGCTCCCTGATTCATTGAGGTCGTTTGCAACGAATCTGGTGTCGGTTCTTGTGCAGTCTGTCAACGCAGGAACTACCTCCTCGATGCATGATGGATAACTCTGCAATGCTTGAGACCCGAAAATGGCAAGTTGCAGGTCGTCGCTGGTACCGCCTAGGGCTGCGTGACCTCTGATGGTGCCTACTACCGGATCCCAATGTGAATCCAAGAACATTGCAGCGACGTACTGCCTTTGACCCGGACGCAGTCTAAAGTATTTCTTAATCGCGTCCGAAGCAATGGGGTACAGGTCACCCTTTTTGGCTGCTGGAGCGTACTGCTGGGCGAGCTGAAGATCTTGTATTTCAGCCACAGTTTTGTCACTTCGAATCACGTGGACCTTGATCTCATTTTTCAAATTGCCAGCTTCCCAATCTCTTAAAGAAAGTGTGCCTGTTTGCCATTCTTCTTCGAACCGAAAACATCTGCGGCCGAACTTGTGCCGGTACATCTGTTCTGCCGTGAAAGCTTGCCATAGATGCGCGGCCATCCGATATTTTCGAATAGCGGTATCAAGCCCGTTGCCTTCTCTCTCCCGTCTTTCTGGAACTGCATCATAGGTGCACGGAGAGTCCCTGCCAACAATGATGGCTAGGTGCAGCGGAGGAGAATTGTTGAGGGGTAGGTAATTGAGCATCATGTAGGACGAGTGGATGCCATCTTTTGAAAGGGAGGCGGTAGTGAAATCAAATCTTATTTGGTTCCAGCCAGGCGAGAGGTATACCAGTGCTTTGAAGTAAGAATCCCAAACAGGCCAATTTGTGGGGGGAAATGCCTGGCCATCTTTATCGTGGTGTATGGTGATATTGCCTGCCATCGGCCGTTGTAGAGGATCGCTGACCTCGCCATAGACCAGAAGGACTTTTTGATAGACCTAAAGAAACCATCAGCGTGTTTGTACCGATCTTCGGCAATAGTCTGTTCATACCACCGTATTGTCTGCTATTGAAGTGAGTTTTGGTGCAAAGGGAGAAGTAGCTCCAGGCGAGCGCATTGTTACGCCTGAGCCAGAGGAGCCAAGTCCCTATGAAAGCCGCTGTTAGAGACAATATAGGACTTGAAGAATGTCATCTCTCACCACTGTGCTGTTTCTGTTTGACTTCAGCGGGGTAACCGAAGGCCGGGGAGGAAGGGGAGGAGCCATGCTGTCGCCGTTGGATTTGGATGTTGTGACATTTGACGTCGAACCATTGGGCTGGACAGACGATGGCGGAGTTGAAGCTCCATAGGAGGAGTTGAGTGTGGAAGTGGATTTTGTGGTGGGTACCGTTCCATTTGACTCGGCAGAGGAATCACTGGTGCGAAAACTGGCCTTGGATCGTCTTCGAAGCTCTTTGAAGAAAGGCATGCTTCAGATGTGCTGTAACGTCCTCAGGGACCACGTTGGGAAAGGCATTCGGCAATCGTGGTCGATGCTGGTAGAGGTCGTATGCAGACCTACTCAACACTGCCTGGCTAGTATGTATGGAAACTTGGATGGGGTTCAAAAGAGTGACGGCGCAGCTTGCTCAATGAACGTGGTGTCAGCGAACGCAGTGGATGACTGACACAAGTGCACTACAGAATCTGGCTTGATCTGAAGTAAGAACGAGAGACATGATCGATAGGGTAATAGCACAGCAATGCTGCAGAGAAGGACCTATTGGTACTAGTACTACATAGCAATTCCTAGAAGGAAAGAGGTTGGGCTTGGCGCCAGTCGCAAAATGAATCGATGAGATAAGGAAGGTGAAGGATCACGGGAGGTACTGACTAACTCAGCTTCCAGCTGGCAGCGGGCCAGCAAACGCTAGGATTTCGGCAAGAGTACGGATAATTGAGGAATATGCTCGCAGTTAGCACTCTTCTAACCACAACCTCCACGAGGTCCACTGGTTGTGCCTTCATCTACGTACCAACTATATTATTATTAAGATCTCAGCTAACACGTCGATCGATATGCAGTGCGTCAGTCCGTTTACCGATGCTAAACGTACACTTTCCTGTCATCCGGGTTCTCCACCCAGCGCCTATCAACAGCAAGACCCAATGATACCCCATAGTTAGCCTGCCGAGCTGATTTACAAGTTCTATATGAACATTTCGCTATCAAGTAGTATTACTTGTGCTGACCTTCGATGAAATATTCCCATACCTTTGTTGCCAAATGGACTATTCACAGGCATGAAGAAACCACTGCTAGAGATCTTTCGCGGAACGGCAAAGCCGCCTTAGCTTAGCCCCTGCCTTGCTGCGCTAGAGTAAGTTACTACAGGAGGAGAGGGAAGTACGTCGTAGATAGGTGCTAGTAGCGACTAACTAGTTATGATACAGCGTCGCACAATCTGGTTGTCTTTGACTTGTCTCTTCGACGTCCGCTGTACTACTATACCTGTGTAATTGATAAAGCTGAGGTTCAAATCGACTATTGGGTTATAGAATCCGTTTATGCATCTAATTCCAACGTTATTGAGGTCCTTCTGTTGAAGAAATAGAGATACGTAAATAGTTCAAATAATCTGTAAAACAGTTGTTTCGGAGAAAGCTTAACTAGCGCCAACCTAACAATATTATGCCCCTTTGTACTATGTAGTACTCCGTAGTTGAGTCCTCCGTTGAAGCCTTACTACGTGGACTACGTAGTGAGGGTTGTGGTTAAAGAGCATACTCTTCAGAGTGTCCATCCTCAGACCTGTTTCAGAGGTCGTCACTTTTGATACTACCGGTACCGCCTCCGGGTCAGGAGCAGCACGTCAGCCGTCATACCTAACTAGTAGCTGCTGCCGCCTCGGAGTACCCAACTCTTTCTCTACTGTATCTACCACCCGCAGATGCATACACCGGCTTTCTGTCCCGCATCTACTTACTACTACTAGTAGGCGAGCTCCCATGCCCAGAGTGTCACCCCCCTCATCAACCATATCCTTGCTTCGGTCTTCCTATCCACAGCCGTAATCAATGTTGGCACTTTGGCCACGGAACAGCAGCATAAAACAAGCTTTATCAGACTTGTAGGTAGACATTTCTTTGCTGAGAGGTACGGCTGTACCCTGTTCAGTGCTCGATGAACTACTCGGCACGATGGCAGCAAAATTAGATCAAGCGATTGTGTCATGATGGAAGCATTCTAACTCAACGCGTGGCTGGAAATGCTCGAACGGCGCGCTCCACCAGATCCAATCCAATGCCCCTCCACCAATCCAAGCGCCAAATTGCATTGAGCCAGCCAACTTCAGCCCCTCTCCACTTGCAGCACTCATATCCATGATATTTGCAAGGCTGTCATTCCATAAGCCCACTCCATATTTGACAGCTTTCATGTTCATAACTCATAACTTACCGGTCCTGAATGCCTGCGTGAACAAGCTGGACAGCAGTCTCTACCCGCCGCTTAATCCATTGTTTGTCAACATTCCTTAAGATACTCTATTGAACTACCGAATTGTCATGAACATCACGCTCCCTGCAATGGCAACTCAACACCCTTCCTATCCCACCAGTGAGATCGCTGGAAAAGTTCTTCGAAGGGCTGAAATTGCCAAAGTAAGCTGCAGGACCCGGAGCCCGACGATCGCCTACTAATCATTGCAGGTTGCTCGCAATCTCCAGGATCGACTTGCCCTGGCAAACTTCAAAGCCCAGAATGGATGGCAGAATAGAACTCTGAGGACAATTGAGCCGGAAGTTACCGAACAAATCAGGAGGAAAAGACCATACTCAAGTGGAGATTTTTGTTCAGACTCCTCGTCCAACACATCCGAAGACTACCTTTACTACAATTCCTCGCCCTTGGCTGGTCCAGCATTTTCCGATGAGATACCCCGGTCAAATCACAGTCGACACTCCCACCCCAAAGACGCACCCTTCAGATATCTTCACAACCCTGGCAGTCACAAGAGAATCCGTTCCTCATCTAATGCTGCACCCCAAAAGGTCTCAACAGCAAACAAGTCATGGAAACAAACCCACCAGTTGCCTCAATCTTCTCCGGTCTTCCAAAGACCGCAGCTTCCATTTAGCAGCATGAACCAATCTTTCGTGTCTGATGCGGCTACAATCCCAGAACCACGACGCACTCGTTCCTCAAAATTCAGTATTCAAACCTCCGCTTACGATGACCAAGATGACCTCCCCGTCCATTCCTTCAACCGCCAACTGACCTCTCCAAACATGATATCCTCCTCTCCACCCCGTACCCCATCTCCAGTCAATCCTAGAGCCCGTAGCCACCAATCCAAAGAAACTGGTGCAGACCTCCTCCTCTATCTCGCCAACTCTCCCTCCCGCTCTCCAGCCATTCATCACCAATCCTCTCGCCGCAGCGGTGTCAACACCCTCGAGCCTCCCTCCACTCCACCCTCCCAGAACACCTGCAGCACCAACAAAGATCTCCCCTCCTCCTTCCTCACCACTCCAACCACCAACTCCACCAACAATCTTGCCCTCTTCTCCACTCCCGGTCAACAATTCAACTTCGCCGATTTTGTCAACGTCACACCCTCGCCCGCTCAAGCACCCTGGGGTGGACGGACACCGGGGCTCAATAAGACACCGGCCGCGGCGAGGGCGGCAAGGAGGGGCTTGAATTTCGATACTTTGGTTCCTCCACCCACAAACAACGGTAATGGAAGTGTGAGTCCGACATTACAGAGGGGTGAGAACGGTGTTGGCGGGAAGAGGGGAAAGGGTCTGGCGCTGGACTTGGGGGATAAGTTGATGCCGAGGTCATGAAGCTGGGACTCGTGTGTGCAGGGCGAGGAAGAGGCCATGAAAGGAAGAAGGAACCGCGGATGAGATATTCTATGTATATGTTGATCATGATTTATAGGATTTGTATGCCTAATAAATCTTATTTGATTTCTGTCCATCACCGTGTGTGGACTGACAGTAGAAAATATCCATTGACCCATCCAAGATTACGCATTATTTCCCTTCCAAACCCTATTCTCTGGGACCTCAAGTTCCTTCATGGCAACATCCTCATCGCAATTACTCCCGATGCTTCTGCCGTGCATTTGATCGACCAATTATGGACCCCACCTCCAACAATGCAACGCGGCACGCACGCGTAACGCGCTCCAAGACACGCTAAAATATTGCGCTAGTACGTTCTGAGCTCGGATTATCGATCAATTGAACAGACTGGGGACTTTGTGCTCATGACATGGCTGACTTCACCGTCCACCTCTTCATCGATAGTGGGCGAATGTCTTCGCACACCAATACTATCGTCACTGTCAAAGACATCGCCATCGATATGGCCTTGGGAGTATCGGGCTGTTGTTGTGCATTTCTCGTCGTCCCAGTTCATGCAAAACAGACGCCAGAGTGGTACTCATACCGACTAACTAGCTTATCGAGTACATCGGCCTGAGAGCTGCAAGAATCGGCTTTATTTAAGATAAAAGATCTGCCCGTGTTGGCCACTGCTCACCGACCGGTTCCTGGAGACGGTTGATTGAGGTTTTGGGACGCGATGCATGGCGCAAGGCTACCTGTTGTGGTTCACCTGTCGACGAGGTCGTCTTGGTTTTTTGTTCCGCTGATAACGTTGAGGGGTGCATCAATCTCCTTCTTCATCGAACTGGTGACCCAACATCTCTGTTCTGGCAGTGAGCCTGCTGGTCGAGAAGATTATTCTGCGATTCCGGTCAATGCTGATGTTGATCAGCTTTTATGAAGAACGATCATACTGGTTCTACTGGGGTTGAGTTTGAACCCGCTCTGTAATTCCAAGTGATCAAATCTTGCTTCTGTTGGCCAATAGTCAGTTGGGTAAGCTCCCTAGCAGAGTGAAGATCGGAAACTCGGCAGCAGCCAAAATATTAGGACTGCTTCTTTTTCCTCAAGATCGGATTGAGGAGGTTTGGCGAAGCTATCTTGGCTCTGGATATAGAAACATTCCGCTCAAGGAGACTAATTGGTTCTAAAATGAGTGTGTGCCCTTTCCCTGTCATACCGATACCCTGAGGTAGGCTTGTGCTCTCATTAGTGCTCCCATCAAGCATTGATCCATGTTGCTTTTGCTTCAGCCATCGGGGTGGAGAACAGCGAAGGAACTGACCTCCGCATGTGGGCTACGATCTTCAAGCATGTGAGAAGCTGTAATGGCTCGTGCGAAGGATTGCTGATACTCGTTGCGACTGTGGTTTGTTGGGTCCTTCCAGCGTAGAGTTTCACTTCAAATGCGAAGCCAAGCAAATCTTCTTTCAATAATTTTGTGCAGATCGACCCAGTACATTAGCCTTCAAATTAATGTGGCTTCTAGCTTTGGATCGAATCGGAAATACATCTCACATCATGTCTCTTTGATGGACATGCCACAGTTTACTGTAGATGCTAAAGATGCCTCTGGACGCCCTTTGGACGCCTTTGGACGTACCTGGATGTCTCTGGATGCTTCTCAATGCTTTCCTGTTTAGTAATCATCATTCTTGGGTAGATCGTCCCTCGTGGGCCGATGCTTGGTAGATCTCGGATAAGTTAAAACGCTTCAGCTTCTCGAATTCGCTGCCCACGACACTCATGCCGCACACGTTCTACAAAGGTCGGAGCTGTTAGCGAAGAGCAGCCACACACTTCAGGACTTATCAAGCTATATTTCTCACCCTGTAGACTTCGATCAGAATCAGGCGATCGTAGTTCGTCAAGTCGACCGAATGGCTGGAGCTTAATCGGGTCGTGGCATCTGCGACCGTCTTGATGATGACGTCTCGGCTCAGCTGTTCGTTGTTTCGGATGTTTGGGCGGATGGCAAACTATTGGACGTCAGCAATGTCGTGCAATGCAATTTCCACTGGTGTCCGTATTCGTACCTTCTTCGTAATAGTACTGTCGCCAAAGACGGGCCTCAGCACTTCCTCACACAATTGCTCTAACCCATTCCCTAGCGTCTTCCGGATGCAGCTGACAGGTGTTAAACGTTTGACGTATCGGCTTCGCTGCCGGCTTGATCCCGAGTACGCTTTTTCACAGATTTGAAGAACTAGATTGACCGGGTCCAAGGGGGGTTGTGTGCGAATGAATGACACTTGATTAGAATACCGATCAGTGCGTTGCGCCAAGTAAGGTTCGAGTTCAATGAAATGGCACGGCATAGTACGTACCACAGGCGATCTCGAGTCTAACAAAGGTGTAGGGTTTCTTTTGGTTCGTGGATGATGACTTCAAGGACTCAATCTCCTTTTCTATATCCTCTTCGATGTCGCCGCCACCATTTGTGGTTTCCACTGCGGCTTCATTGGGCTGAGCTTCAAGATGCGAGTGAATGTACTGGTCGAACATTCAGTTCGTCATACTTCAAGTTGATGGTTGAAAGTGGTACTTCAGACAAGATATCATCCATATCTCGAAGACATTTGACTTCTTGGCCCTTATCACAAGTGACAAATATCCCAGCATCACCATTGTGAATTCCAGAAGCGCTGGTTATCAGACGTTTTCCTGAACTTGCTTTTCGAGCCTTCCACCTGGGAGATTGCTAGACAACATTTCTTAGCGTGACGCATTGGAGAGGTGTAATATAAGCTTTACTGTTTGCTGCCTTCGCTCTGGCTTGTCTACCATACTGTGAATGCCTAGCTGGAACTACGTCCCAGCAGCAGAGGCAAATGTCATTCGTCATACATGAGAGGACGGTTCAACCGGAAATAGTACCGCTAAAGTTTATTCAACTTCTCGGTATGTATTGAGTTAGTAATAGTTACTTACTACTACTAGTACTAGTAGTAGTGGGTGAAAGTGATGCCAAGAGTGATTTTCATCGTTTATTCCACACCACAAGAATCCTAATAATCAGGCCATGCTCGTTTGCCTAAAATATCTTGTATGGAGTGGAAAGTCATTGGTTAAATCGCTCCAGACGCTTCGAATCCATGATCATGCTGCTTATAGAAAATATCAATACTATCAACGCTTTTCGCATCCCGAGCTATGTTTTTGACAGCGCAAACCATGGCATTATTGAGTCTTCGCATTCGTCCTCGCAGACGCCTCTGCAGTAATTTTCAGCGCAGCTGGGGCATCCTCCTTTGGCATGTACAATTCCACAAACTGAAGCTGTGATACCTGATGAGAATCCTCGGCCTGGAAGAATGCCTCCAATTCCTCCCTCGTCTTCACTTGGTGAACTTTGTACTTGTCTGGTTTTGCCCCGAAGGTTGGAACGAGATCTTTATACTTCCATTCCTGAACATCGTTGTACACCGCATCCATGCCATGGATATAGCGCTCAATGGTGTATCCTTCGTTGCATATACAAAAGATGATTGGCGTAAGGTCATGTCGGATCATAGTACTGATTTCCTGAGCAGTCAATTGTATGCTCCCGTCGCCAACAAATAGTAGAGTCCTCCGGCTACCAGCCTCTTTTGCGGCAAGCGCTGCACCCTGACAAGCTCCTACGGACCAGCCAATGCTACCCCAGAGAACCTGACTCAACGCGAGTACACCCTTCGGAAATCTAGTCTCCCAGATACCGAAGTTGGCTGTCCCTGTCTCGGTGACGACGATGTCATCTTCCTTCAGCCATTGCCCCATCCGTGGCCAGAACCAAGCGTGTGAAATTGGAGAATCTTTTGAAACGTCCAGCTCTCCGTTTGGAATCTTGTTCTGTGAGACTGGGGGCGCTGCTTCTACATTGAGCTTTGGTAATCTCTCCGTCACCTTTCTTAGCACCCCTTTCATGCCGACCCCCGGATACTCACTGTAGCGAACTCGCATCATTGTGCTATGGAAGTCGATAGTTTTGAGCTGACCAACTCTATAGGTGAAGCCGGTGGTGTTGAAATCTGATTTGATTGCACCAATGCTTAGTATGAGATCTGCTGACTCAACCCGCTCTTTGACTCCAGCATTCGAGCCATCTCCAGCATAGACTCCGCCATAGTTTGGAAGTGTCTCATCCACCGCACTCTTGCCCATAGGTGTGACGAAAACAGGCAGATTAGACTTCTGAATTAGATCGTGAGTTTCGTCAAGCACTCGATGACGGACGGCACAAGCATCGACCAGAATGACTGGATTCTGGGCAGTGGATAGGTATTTGAGCACAACGTCAACAACATAGTCCTCTTTCTCAACCTCAACAGATGGCTCGCTGAGATCGATTGGTGTCTTCAGCCTTTCTCCTTCGACCTTCTTTTGCACTATATCTGTTGGCAAGGTGATGTAGACAGGTCTGCTTTGAACCCAGCATTCCCGCAATGCGTGGTCGATGAGGGTAGCGGCCTCGTAGGGATCATTTAGCTTGGCCACCGCACAGGAGATGCCAGCATTCATGTTGGCAAAGACGTTGAAGTCTCCGTTGCCAAGAGTATGGTGAAGGAGCATGCCGCTCTTCTGGCTGATTGTGCTTGGTTGACCGACAATGTGGACGACCGAGGCGTACTCGCTGTATGCTCCCGCTGTCGCATTCAATACAGACAACTCTCCGACGCCAAAGGTCGTAACGACGGCAGCGATTCCCTTGACTCGTGCATAGCCATCTGCCGCATACCCTGCAGATTGTCAGAATCGTTGACCCGGGAACGTTGCGAGCCTAGTGTACCCGCATTGAGTTCATTGCAGTTGCCCACCCAGTGGAGTCCGCACTTCGGAATGTAATCCAGAGCAACAAGGTTATAGTCACCTGGCACGCCATGAACAGAACGGACACCAAGCTCGTGCAGTCGGCGAAAGAGGTATTCAGCCACATCAATGGGCTGCTTGAGCTCCGATGCCCTGATATCGTGAGACATGGTTACGGCAAGTGACCTGGAAAGTGGGAGTGAGAGTTGAGGTAGTGCACGAAATACTGGGGGAAGATATGTTTGAAAACAGACACAGATAAGATGAGCAACAGTAGTGATGAGGCAATTGCTGTGTTGGTAGGTAGTAATCAACGTCAGACCACTGGCACTGCACTGCACTGCACGAGTGGAGCTCGATGAATACGTCTTGGCAGGGCGGAAGGACCGGCCGCATCAGTGTGAGGTTCCACTGCAAGGCACTGCAAGGCACTGCACGGCACTGCAGTGCCCGATCTGTGGCCGAGCAGGTGGGGAACCAAGTACTACTGCTTATCCTGCCCCTCATCTGCGACAAACGTGTCAATTTTGGTAGTCCTCGGTCTCACCAAGGTGATGGGGCTCCTTGACCTGGGAGAAGGATGTTCGGGTCAAGGGTTCAGCCAATCTACTACGTAGTAGTAGCGTGTGATGAAGCACTATTTAGAGCTGCCGCAAAAGACTACTAGTACGACGTGATGTGCACTGACACACTTGATCCAGCACCTTAACCGGGGCTGACACGTCTCTACAGGCCAGACAGCTTGACGACGACTATTCTGATCTTCCAAGCGTCGGTTGATAGAAGGGACGAAACTTCAACTGGAAGTCGAGTGAAAGACTGCCACGAGCGTGCCAAGACAACTCAGGTGCAGTGGTCTGTGCTGGCAGCTGTAATACTAATACCGCAGATCCGGACCAGATCCGGACCGAGCAAGCGAGAGAAGCGACGCATCCAATAAGTCCACCGAACGTTAAGTTATGCTAACACTTCCACTGAGCAATTTTACCCGTATGCAGGGTGCTGCTCGTACCATCACTTCTTTATCCTGCCCATCGCATTCGAGATATATACGGCAGAGCGTATAGTGATCAGACAAATCCGCGGCAGTGTCCCTGTGGAACGGCCTTCCATACTCGGCGAACTGTATCTGCGTTTTCCATTGCAGCGTTCAGCATTGGTGGGCTTCTTCATGCGTTGATCGTCTCGGAAGTGCACAAGTATCTTTATCTGCCTCCTCCGCACGGCTCAGCTGCAACAGATTCCTTCTCTCGAACCTCAGCAAGCCTCCAATTTCCTTCCTAGCGAACCCTATTGTCGTCAAAAGGCATCTCAGCTCGCCGCAGCCAACTAAACCATCTTAACCATCGAGCTGCGATTCGTACTTTGGCACCCCGCAATTGGAGGGATTGGGCTATCGCAAAATGAAGGGAAGACCTTAAAGTCGTTCTGAAGGACATCGTTGGTGTAATTTGGCATCTCGCATGGTTTATATGTTCGATCGACGCCGACTGTATCGGCGAACAACATGAGCGTTCCCCGGCAGAGGTCGTCCTCGAGAGTCTCCAATCGTTCCACCTCGTCTTCTCCCTCTCGCTATCACCCCGTTCACTCGCGTACGATCCCCGATCCCCAGCACCTTACTACTTCATCCGCATCCAACACCCCTTCGTTGTTGGTTTCCCCTGGAAGTGCAGGCTCGCCATATTCCCCAAGCGCATATTCAAATGCGTCAGGCCTAAGGCCAAGAGCGCAGACCGCTCAAAGCAGATCGCCTCCAGGTTCCATTCGTCGACATCATCAACATCCGGCTGGTCAAAGGATGGTCTCAAGTAATCAGGCCATGGAAAGTCAGCGCCAGCAGTATATCCCGGGCCCTCCACCACCCTCCATGGCCCAATCCGCTCAACCTCATATCATGACTCTTCCGCCACCCCCTCCTCGTCCACATCATCAAGCTTCTACACCTGGTGTTCCACCTCCGCCTCCCGGCCCGCCGCCTGGTGCCCATCCTCCAGGGACTGTCTTTGGTATACCAGCAGGTTGGCAGCAGTCGTGGGGTCGACCCCAAGGCCTGCCTCCAGGATTTCCTCCTCCACCGCCGATGAATAATGCCAATCAAGCACAGAACCAACATCTGGCATATATTGCTGGTCAGATGCCCCATGCACGTCAGCCTCCGAACCTCGCAATCCCCCCGCCGCCACCAATGGAGAAGCCACTTGTTTCAGCTACGTTCATCCCTGGGGGAGACTCGTTCGGACCAGGAGTCGGTATTCCTCCTTTCGAAGACTCTCAATACTCAACTCACTGGAATCAATTCCAGTATTCGGCACCCAACTCGGCCCATTCGGACTCGAACACCCGAGAGCTCGGCCATCCTCCAACGCCTTCATCCACTAGAGCCCCTCCATCCTTGCCCTTACGTGAGAATACAGATCCGATCTCACCCGGACCGCCTACTGCTACAAGACTAAACCCTCAACCTCATAGCTCAAGTCAAGGCAACGAAATTTCAAAGCACGAGGGGTCTATAAAGCGCCAAAAGACAAGTAGTACATCAACGGCGAGTGGGTCTTCCCACGACATTAGTGCCCAGTGGCCCGCTGATCGAGTCTATGCTTGGCTGGCTGCGAATGGCTTTTCCAAGGATTGGCAGGAAACCTTCCAGAACCTGAACATCCAGATGTCAGACTTCATCGAGCTTGGTAGAAGTGGTGGCGGAGCTCCCAAAATGCACCAGATTGTGTTTCCACAGCTTGCTACAGTGTGCTCCAAGAACAAGACTGGTTGGGACCAGGGTCGAGAGCGCGAGGAGGGGAAGCGAATGCGAAAGCTCATACGTCGACTCGTCGATAACGCTAATATCGATGCCGGATCATCAGGTCTTGGTCATCGACGAAGAGGGTCATCGCAAGCCTTGCCAAGTGCTTCAACAGATGGTAACGTGGAGAATTCACCGAATCTTCCTCGTCATGACTTTACACCCACCCCAAGCACAGCAGGTGCGGAAGGGAGCCCTGGCAAGCAGATGCCTGCTCAGATGTCGGGACCAGGTCATAAAAGCTCGTTCCAGACGCGAAGCAGTACTCTACCTGTGTTTAGCAAGAATAGCAGTCAAAACTCCACCCCCAGCGATCCAAGTCATCCGGACAACAACAATCACTCCCACGGCCGTACCAAAGACTCCCGGAATGCTTTGAACCATCTTGGTCCCCGTGGTAGGCACAGTCCGAATGCTTCAGGTGATGCGCCTCCTGCAGGTCTCGTATCAAGATATCACGATATCAGCCCGCAAAGTGGAAGCCCCTCACTTGGACACACGGTGCCGACATCTGCAGGGCCAACCAGCTCTTCCCCGCTTCCAAGAGCTGAACAACATGCCAAAAGTAACAGCGCGGACTCAATGTACAAAAATGCTGGTTACAATCGTGCGAATTTACATCCCCCAACCCTTAGCGATCAGTCACGACAGTCACAAGTAAACGCATCTGCAGATGGTTCTATGTCGACCAGATTCTATGAAAGCCGGCGCAATGTTCAGGAACAGGGTCGGCCGTCGATGGAAAGTGGCAGACAAAATAGCAATGATACCACTTCCAACAACAAAGAGACTAACAAGGGCTTCTTGAGCAAATTCATGAATCGGAGGCGGCATGATACACATCCTTCACCGGAAGAGTCATTTCTTGAATCTCCTACTTCTCCGTACGTACCTCGTCCATTACTTCCATCCTTATCTCTATCGAAGCCCCAGCTGAATGGAAGTGATGCGTCTCTGGCGCAAAGGCCGCCTTCTGCCTCGATCATGTCCGAAGAGGAAAAGTCGAGCATGCGTGGTAGAACAAAAACCACGTTGGGCAGGAAATACGTCTTCGTTACGCCTGATCGTTGGAATTATCGGCTCATCGACATCACAGACTATGAGACGGCAAATGCTCTGCGAAAGATCATTTGTCTAGAGCTCGGCGTTCAAGACCCGGATTTTGCTCAAATATTCCTCACAGAGGCTGGTCAGGTTGAACACGAAGAAGCCTTGAACGACTCTACGCTTGTCTCTTTCAGTCGCAAACATTCAGATAATCTAGGATCACTGAAATTCTACGTCCGTAGCCCCGCAACTTCAGCTGCGCTACCGTTTCCTGCCTCGGCTGGTTTGGGTCTCACTTTTGCTCAGCGCGCTCATCCATCGCCGCCTTTCTTAGGTCAATTTAACCGTCGAGCGATGGATGAAGATGAATATACTAAATTGGTGGCGAAAGCCCAAGATCTCGGAATCCTTGGGTCGAAGGATGATTCAACGAAAGGACCCCTGATAGAATCCCCACCACCAATGGTTCCGGGAACAAACCAGAAACAAGATGATTCGGAGCGTGAGGCCATTATCCGCAAAGCGGCAGCAGAGTTCAAGCGTGACGCTGAAAGAAAGCAAAAGGCGTATCAGGAGTCCAGGCAGCAGACCAGAGAGTCAGGCATTCGAGCAAGCACAGTGATTGACTTCGACACCCCTCGAGAATCTCCGTTTGAAGATAAGAAGACTGACCTCATACCTGTGCGAAAGCCACCTACTGCACCGTCAGAGTCGAATACTTTGACAAAGGTCAATTCTCTCAGTAAGAAGTCTGGGGAGAGGATAAGGCCTCCAAGCACGGTAGACGCTCTCAAACGCATCTCTGACCCAATCGCAGAAGAGATTTCAGATCGAGGAAGAAGAAGAGCCATTGGACCAACTCCATCAGTTTCCCAAGGCATAGGAGCAGCATTGGCCAATGTTGGCAAGATGGTAGGAGCACCTGCCACGATGGGGAATTCTGGAGTGAGCGATCAGGATCCACCACAAAGGGCCTTGCAATCGGTCGATTTTGGTCAAAGGGGAAGCAGTCCAGGTTCGTCCCCGCGCGCCTTTACTTGGGGCAAGGGCAATGTTATGTTCAAAGTTCCTGACTATGATGAAGATGGTTCTGGACTTCAGGAGATTCCTCAGATCAGCATACCTCCGAACACTGCCGCGCAAAGGTTACGCAGACAAGACGCCTCGCCTGGCGTTAGTCCAGCATCGGAACATCCTTCTCGACCACCAAATCCCTCAAATCGCAAGTCATATGGTCCAGCTTTCGATTTTGAGGAGGAGGATATTTCTTTCGAGAAATCTCCCATACCTCAAGAAGATTCAGACGATGACTCAGATGATGGTCTATTCGCCATACCTTTAGTAACCACATCACTGTCAAAGTCGAGTAATGAAAACGTCAAGGTAAGAAAACCAGCATTAACGGTGAACACGGACTCGCGAACGAAAAAGTCCTGTTCTGTGGCTTTCCAGTCCCCAAGCACTGCTGGACCATCCACAGCACCAACAATTCGTACCCCTGAAACCGATGGCGCTGGATCAAGCGGTGGCCGTTCGTCATTTGAGCGTCAGCTCTCTGATACCAACACCAGCTATTCTCCAGACGACAAAATGTCGAGAAGAAATTCTTTCGCCAGCGAGATTTGGGCCAGTAGACCTCCAGTGGAGAATGTTGTCGACCACCTTGACGAGTTCTTCCCGGGTGTTGATCTCGATCAGCCTTACCTCGAGGACGGTACTACTTCACCACAATCGGCCGCCGATCAAAGCAGCAAGGATGGTCCGGCCCCGTCATTGCGTGGTCGTGTCACATACGGAACGGAAGGTCTGCCGCTACGGCTGATGAAGAATGATTCTGATACTCTGGGCTCTGATGAGTCGACGTTGAAAGCTAAGGATCGCGACAGCATAGCCAGTGTCGCCCAACGGTCATTGAGGAGATCTGGTGGCCTTGGCCGTATGAAGTCTATTCGTGAGGTGGCAAAGGGTCGCAATGATCTTGTACGCAGCAGGTCTAGCGCCGCTCTCCAGAAACCAGCCGAAAGTACTGGTATTGTTCGACGTAAGAGTACCAAAATGTTTGGTGCAACCATTGTTCAGATCAGACCGAAACCGGGAAATCGGCTTAGCACCCTCGATCCTATACCTCAAGAAGAAGTCCCGCAAGAGAACACACCAAAACGACAAGCGACATTCAAGATCATCCGTGGCCAGCTGATTGGCAAAGGAACGTACGGACGTGTGTACTTGGGTATGAACGCTACCACTGGTGAGTTTCTGGCGGTGAAGCAGGTTGAAGTCAATCAAGCAGCTCTGCACGACAAGGAACGAGTCAAAGAAATGGTGGCTGCTTTGGATCAAGAGATTGATACCATGCAACATCTCGAGCATGCCAACATCGTCCAATATCTTGGTTGCGAGCGAAAGGAATTCTCCATCTCCATCTACCTGGAATATATTGCTGGTGGGTCTGTCGGCAGCTGTCTGCGAAAGCATGGCAAATTCGAGGAAAGTGTGGTGAAATCCTTGACCCGTCAAACCTTGGAAGGTCTGGCCTATCTCCACCGAGAAGGCATTCTGCATCGAGACTTGAAAGCTGACAACATTCTTCTTGACCTGGATGGAACCTGCAAGATCTCGGATTTTGGCATCTCCAAGAAGACCGACAATATTTATGGCAACGATGTTACCAACAGCATGCAAGGTTCAGTCTTCTGGATGGCACCTGAAGTCGTCCGTGCTCAAGGTGAAGGCTACAGTGCCAAGGTTGATATATGGTCACTTGGTTGCGTCGTTCTGGAAATGTTTGCTGGTCGACGTCCATGGAGCAGAGAAGAAGCCATCGGAGCAATTTTCAAACTCGGAAGCCTAAACCAAGCGCCACCTATTCCAGACGATGTTCGAGCAACTGCTTCGGTTGACGGCTTGAACTTTATGTATGATTGTTTTCAAGTGTGAGTAGAAGCCTCTGATTTTGTGAGCATTGTACTGACATTTCTAGTACGCCGTCTGACAGGCCAACTGCTGAGACTCTTTTACGACATTCGACATTCTGTATACCAGATCCATACTATAATTTCTACGATACTGTCCTTGCCGCCAAATTACGTACGGCTGATGCTGGTACTTCTAATGTTGAATAAAAACAGCTTGCAAGGCGCTACGGGCTGGGAATCGAGGAGTTTGCATGGCTGAAAGCCAAAAGGATATCTACGACTCTATACGAGGAGATGACTATATGCACAATACATATGATGTTCATTAGATCAACGATCTGTGGTCATGGCCTCTGTTTCCGCATTTCCAGTGGCTCGTGCTTCTCTTGGATCAACTTCAGCATTCCTGAGTCAGCGTGTTGTCTCTTGTTTACATATTTCGGCAGTATCTCCTTGCACTTTGTTGTTCTTTTCCTGTTGTATTCTTTTCCATCTGCGGGCGCATCCCAGACGCATCTCGAGTGAATAACAAGCGAATACTGTTTCATCAGCATACCTCTCCCCCTCCACGCTGTTTGGTTCCTTTACCTCAGGACTCGCATTATCTATTGGGCCAGCCAGCAATATGGTTGTTTCGCGCGGGACAACTCCTGCACGGCACGGCTCTCCTATGAGAGGCACAACGCCAGGACGTGGAATGATTCCAGGTGGGATGTTGGAGGACATGAGATCTACATCCAAGAACGCGATGGCTAATGAATCCCGTCCCCGACTTCTGGGTGGGATGACAACGTTCTTGAATGTTGCAGTACGATCTTTCCTCTTTATTCTCTTTCATGACCTCCCCTTCTAATGTCGATCAGAAAACGAAAGCGAAGTCTACCAAAGGTGCTGTCCAGGTTCCGCAGTCAACTCGCAAGACCCGCCAGAACACGAACAAGCTACCTGGCAAGCCAGACCGTCTAATCGAGGAGGTCATGTTCTCAACGCCGAAGAAGAAGACAACTAAATCCCCGACCCAGAAGAAGACCGAAAAGAAAGTAACGACTCCGAAAGTTATCAAGCCAAAGGCAAGCAAAGTCACCAAGAAGAAAGCGCCTGCAAAGCCGCTGGCCAAGAACGCGACCGTCAAGAAAGCTGTTACTACTATTAAAGAACTAAAGGCTGTTGCCGCAAAGGGTAAGCGACGTCCTTGTTTGCCTGCAGAGATCATAGAGTCGGCCAGGGATGGCTCGATATGACGACGATGAAGTCGCTAGAAGATGTCGAAGTTTGCCAGCTTGAGGAAGGGAGAGAGCGAGGGAGGTGCCAACCCCTCTATGTCGTCGAAGAAGCAAAAACAATATCACGTCGGAAGCATTGCAGTTGTCTTGAACTCTTCTTCTGTTTTGTTCCATTCAAAACCCCCATGCTGACTTTATTCTTTCCCTTGATTTCTCCACAGCTCCCGCGACAGCCCTCTCACCAACAGCAACAACAAAACCAAGTCCGAACCCGCGCGGCCGCCCCAAAAAATCCCTCGAACAAGCCTCAACCTCCACCTCCGACCCGAATCGCAGATCAATCCCCACGGACTCCGCGCTTACCCAACCCGGACCATTCCCGCCAATATCTCCCGTGAAAGGTCATTCTAATGACCGGCCACCGGTTGCATATAGTCTGGAGCGGAGAGACGCTCAGGAAGGAGAAGGAGAAGGAGAAGGAGAAGGAGAAGGAGAAGGAGAAGGAGAAGGAGAAGGAGAAGGAGAAGGAGAAGGAGAAGGAGAAGGAGAAGGAGAAGGAGAAGGAGAAGGAGAAGGAGAAGGAGAAGGAGAAGGAGAAGGAGAAGGAGAAGGAGAAGGAGAAGGAGAAGGAGAAGGAGAAGGAGAAGGAGAAGGAGAAGGAGAAGGAGAAGGAGAAGGAGAAGGAGAAGGAGAAGGAGAAGGAGAAGGAGAAGGAGAAGGAGAAGGAGAAGGAGAAGGAGAAGGAGAAGGAGAAGGAGAAGGAGAAGGAGAAGGAGAAGGAGAAGGAGAAGGAGAAGGAGAAGGAGAAGGAGAAGGAGAAGGAGAAGGAGAAGGAGAAGGAGAAGGAGAAGGAGAAGGAGAAGGAGAAGGAGAAGGAGAAGGAGAAGGAGAAGGAGAAGGAGAAGGAGAAGGAGAAGGAGAAGGAGAAGGAGAAGGAGAAGGAGAAGGAGAAGGAGAAGGAGAAGGAGAAGGAGAAGGAGAAGGAGAAGGAGAAGGAGAAGGAGAAGGAGAAGGAGAAGGAGAAGGAGAAGGAGAAGGAGAAGGAGAAGGAGAAGGAGAAGGAGAAGGAGAAGGAGAAGGAGAAGGAGAAGGAGAAGGAGAAGGAGAAGGAGAAGGAGAAGGAGAAGGAGAAGGAGAAGGAGAAGGAGAAGGAGAAGGAGAAGGAGAAGGAGAAGGAGAAGGAGAAGGAGAAGGAGAAGGAGAAGGAAGGGAAGAAGTCAAGAGAGGGAAAGGGAAAGGAAAAGGAAAAGGAAAGGGAAAAGGAAAGGGAAAAGGAAGGCCGAAGACGGGCGCTGGTGTTCAGAAGACGGCGCCCAAGAAGATAACTAGTGCAACGACAAACAAGAAGGCGAATACCGCGACGAAGGCTTTACAGAAGAAGACGGGACCAGCAGCCGTGGCGGCGGCTAAGGTTATACGTGGAAAGGTGGCAGCAGGGAAGAAATAGGACTGCTCTGGGGAGGAAAGGGGAAGCAAGAGGAGGTTGTTTGTTTCTCATGGTGCTGAGTGCTTTTTTGACTGGTTCAAGGAAGATTAAGGTATGCCTGTCTGTAGATTGTGGCGGATAGGAGTCGGTCATCTGTCTTGCTCTGGTAATTTGGGTTTGGGAACTCATATAATCTTTGTGGAATACTTTCTGTGCTGGGACAACGTCATGGCTTCGGTCATCATCATAAGGGTATGGCTGTTTCGCTGAAGACCGCTCACCCACCCCTCTCCCCTTCAGCCTCTCTCCTTCCCCTAACCTCCCTGACCAGCCCTTTTGCTTCCTCGACTTCATATCCATCCACGCACAACTCCTCCGCCAACCTCTCCGCCATGTCCAGATCGCCTCTCCGCACAGCCCACCTGGCCAACCACAACCTAGCCTTCGACGTCGTCGGCGTCGTCCCCGTGCCAAACCCATCACCACCAGCTTCATCATCATCATCATCGGAGTCACTGTCATTCGACAAAACTTCCGTAGCGACATCATCATCGTCATCGGTGTCATCATCCATTTTATACCTCCTCGCCGCAAAACTGGCCTTACCGACTCTTTTTGCAGTTGAGCCCGTTTCTTGAGCGACTGTCAATTCCATGAATCGTGCTGCCTCCTCTACATCACCGAGCCTCTCGTACAGTGTGGCGATCTGGTACAGTGTCTCCGGATCGAGGAGTTTCCGTCCAGTCGGTTCGGGTTTCTGCTGTCGACCTCTACCGGGCGTTTGAGACGATATGGAGGTGTTGAACGAATTTGTTGGCGTTGGCGTCACTGTCTCGTAGTATGTTCCTGCGACAAGGGCACGCTTTAGAGCTTTGATGCTCTGTTCCACACGCCCCATCTTCGCATAGCAGCTCCCAACCGCTTGCCACATTTTGGGATCGTAAGGTTTCAATGCGGCAGCTCGCTGGTAGTAGAACAGTGCATAGAAAGCCATGTCTAGCACTTCATACGCCTGGCCAAGTCCATACCAGGCTCGGTAGTCTTTCCGGTTAAGGTCCACTGCTCGACGGTAGCTTTCGATTGCGGCGTGGGTATTCTTCATCTCGACGTACTCGTGGCCCATCAAGGTCCACGCGGAGAGGAAGCTCTTATCGAGGGTGAGAGCGCGGCGGAAGTACATGACTGCCTTCTCGTGCTGGGAGCAAAGACTGTAGTAGTTGCCAACGACGCAACAAGTTTCCGGCCGGAACTTGTCGGTGGCAGTGGCTAGGTGTGCTAGGAAGGATAATTTGGGTCGATCCGCCATGACGTATAAAATGTTGCTGTAGTGGTCCAGAGCGTCAAGTCTGTGAGGATGCGAAGTTAGGATTTGCTGGAAAATTTGAGCTGCTGCTTCGAAGTCTTGGGAATGGTAATGAAGAAGAGCGAGAGCAGTCAACAGGAATGTACTGGTTGGGAAGACCTGAAGAAGCTCGTGGAGTGAATCGAAGGTAGAGCTAGAGTCGGAGGTTGTGCTGAGGTCAATCGAGAGGTGGATGTGGTACATGAGGGTCATGACGCTCTGCGGTAGACTCTGTCTGATCTTTTCGTCCACAGAATCGTTGGTAGATGGCAAGAGCGTTGCAAGTTCTTCCCATGCTCCCCAATGGAATGGATTGCGGTGAACCGCCCTGACAAGCCATTCTCGAGCCGCCGATTCGTTTTTGGATTTCGATAGCACGATGCCATAGAGGTACTCCAACCATCCCTGAGAGCGTGTTCGAAGTTGCTCAGTGTTTTGAGAGGAAAAGTAGGCTTCTAAACTCTGGCCGAGTCCAGATAGCTCACGATTTATTGTCTGCCCGCCATCATTTGGACCAAGAACCATTTCAGACTCCTCATCTTTCCGCTTCTCCCCACCAATGTAACGTGCGTAAAGGGCGAGGAAGAGAGACTTTTGGCTCAGCTTTGGGAAGGGGTTGCCAGTCGCATGCAAAGTACGCCTGGACTTCTTGCCTTTCGGTGGTGTGAATGCTGACGCTTTGTTGATCTTCTCTGAAGACAGGAGGCCTCCAGCAGGAGCGGATTGTGGGAGGAAGACGGCAGCACATCGATCATATTCTCGAGTGTCAAAGTATGATTTGGCAAGGATGTATTTGTGTGCTTCTTTTCTCTCCAGGGCGGCTTCCTGCGGATCGTCCGAGGTGGTCGAGAAGAGCGGTCGAGGCACCGCATCGGCATTGAGCATAGAAGAATCGGATTCATCGTCAGAATTGGAGGGATCTTCATCTGGCTGGGCAATAGAAGTCAGGAGCTCGGCTGCCCTTTATTAATCAGTCTTCCTCAACCATTGAATCAAGGAGCTGCGTACCACTTGGCCGACTGGTAGAGACATCTCTCGGAGCATTTCGCAGCAGTTTCTGAGAGGCTGTCGCGTAGCTCAGTGATCATATTAATATCCAGTAAGCCAGCCATTGTCTTGCTTTCGCTGCGGGGCGTACAAAAGGTATGCCTCCTATATCTTAATCGTTCTCCCTGGATGGGGGATGTTGTAGAGGACAAGTTGTGCGAGGCAAAAGTGTTCGTCGCACTGACCAGCCTTCCTACTTCTCCAAAATCAACACCGAAGCAGCTTTCTCCGCATCCATCCACTGCGCGTCTTGACGCGTCACAATCGAGATGCTGGAGATGCTGTGCAAAAAGCAATGACCGGACGAGAATGCCACAGAAGATGCTAAATAGAACAAGGAGAGCTAGACTGCTACGATACGAGGCGATAAGTGCTTGACAAGGGTCATTTTTCGTGTTTGCTTGCACCTACCCTGTTTTGCGTCACGACTATGTAGGCCACTGACTGCTTCTTAAATTCTTTTCCTTTCTATTCTCTGGCGATTTCCTCATTCACGCACCTCTGTACCTGGGCGTTTAAAATTGCTGCATTTCTCCCTGTCCCTGTCATCGCCTCAACTCTACCAATCATATTAGTATTGTCACTTGAAAAGGAATCATGGCATTCAGAAGTGACAGGCCGCCTTCATACGCTGATTCGCTCCCGAGCGAAATTAGTTGAAGCAGAGACAAAGCCAGCTGCATACACGGCTCTATCTACAGGCATCAACGCTGTTCTTGTCAGCGATGCCGCGATCACGAAACGGAAACACCGTGAGGTTGCTGATGCTCTTGTTGCGTACACGAAAGATGGGGGCACTGTTCTTCTTGGTTGTCTCATGAGCTCCTTCTCCAGTCCGCCGGATTTTAACAGAATGATGAGCTCCGTCTGGTCCCTTCCCTGGAGGGTTGGAAGCTATTCTCGGGAGGATGCGCTATTGAATGAAGCAGCCAGCACCGACCGTATCAGAGGAGTTGGACTACCCAAGATGATCAATGTCATGGCGGTCTATTTGCAGCATGTCTCGGCCAAAGACAAAATCTACGCTCGCGGCGAACGCATTACTCCCCGAACCATGACACAGCAACTTCTTGAACAATACGAGGAAGAAGACAAGTCAGGACAGGCTGCGGTAGCATTTGGGTCTGTTGGTAGAGGATACTTGGGCTGGATCGGAGACGTCAATTCAGAGGAGGAGCTTGACCCTGTGTACTTGGCTCTGTTGGGACTCCCAGTTGTCGGAGGTTGAGATTCGCAATCAGGTCGTACCCTCTTCTTCTTCGTGGCTAATTATCCAATTGCAGAACCTGTGAACAGCTGGCAACTCAGAAAAGCACGGGGGGGTCAAAAACAATGCTTGTGGATGACCGAACCTCTTCTAGTTGGAAGAAGGCGTCTCTTCCACGCACAACATGCAGATCTCCAATACAAAATGCGCTTGGTTATCTAACACTATGCCAATAGCGAGTCTAGAATACTCTAATGATCTTAAAGGACATCTCTCCTTCGACTACTGCTGGATCCGGCACGTTAGGTTTGCTGTAGTGCTCCCTCCCCGGAGATCGTCTATGCAAAGGCCGACGTGCCTCCTGAGTTGCTTCATTTCCTGGCTACAACGTTCGCGATAGTTTGGCTTACGATGCCCCTTGGCTTGCTCGCAGGAGAAATCCTTTTGAGGAGGCGTAGGACCGTCCATCTGTTCCGCTCTCTGCATAAGGTGCGCAATCGACTGGCTAAGCATGTTTTCTGGCAACAAAATCTCGCGCTCTAGCAGTGCCATATAAGCAAAAGCATATTCGTCGGCCCAACCGCAGCGGCAGTCAGAGCTGTCGTACATGGCGCTATTCACAAGGACCTGTTGCAATTTTAGGCGTGTTCCGCTTCTTCGTTCTTTCAACATGCCTGTGGCTTGACCTCAGCACTGCTCTTGCGGCTGTGTGCAGATTGGGTACTCACAGAAGATCTTCCGAGGTATGAGAGACTCGACTTGGCCTTGTGCTAGGGCAAGGTAGGAATCTGTGTGATGGAGGATCAGTGCAGCCGTGATTTCTTTAAAGGCCCGCGCATTATCGAACAAATAGGCAGCTGCCATGAGGAACTTGAGATCGTCAATGCTGCCGTTCTCCGCTGGCTTCAGCCAATGTCCACTCGCATCTCGGAGGGCGACGATGCAGTCATACTTGTCCGCGGCAATCGCAATTTTGAGGACTTCGCTCGGAGTGAAGGCATCAGAAGCTGCATGGCTACGGAGGTGAATGACTGCGCAGAGAGTCTTCATGGCGCCCACATCATCTTCCGGCAGGAAAACCTCTTGCGCATCGTCTTTGGAAATATCCTGACCCTCGCTCGTACGGGTCCCCGCCTTCGCCCCAAGTACCTTTGAAGCGGTCTTGAGGAACAGAGAATGAACTCGAAGCTTCGTCTTGTTGGAACCAACGATCAGAACGACATCACCATCTGTAGCGACTTCGTCAACGTCAATCGACATATCCTTACTTCCTTCTTTCGCCGCCATGACTGTCGCTGTAACGCGATCCTATTTCCCACGCCGTGATTGGGCCGCTATAGATGTGGGTTAGGTATTTGCAGCCTCGTTAGCAGGAAAAAGGACTGGCGGTAAAATCTTGGTGTCGAACAGTAAGTTGCAACTCATCAAGATACAGTGTATCCTGGACAGCTCAATAAACAATATCATCTTCAGATCCGAGCTCTTGGTAGTCAGCGCAACAAAGGGAATGCCGCAAACAGCCGACGAGATAGGCGCGGTAGGTCGTGAACAACGAATGGTACAGGACGATATGAACCAAGTAGAGGCTTTGTCCGGATACTACTATCCACCACTCTGTCGTAAAATGCAATCTTTTTCTAATTGGTTGCTGCAGCCGCTGCCGCGCTATAAGCGCACCTTATACCAACGCTATCAAGTTATATCCGTCCATTCAAATCTTATGTCGTTTTGAGTAGACGCTAGCAGTTACTTTGACCAATTAGAAAAAGATTGCATTTTACGACAGAGTGGTGGATACCTGCCTCCTCTCTAAATCATGAGCTTACCTAAGATGTAGCCAACCGCTAAATTGATCGGCTGTAAGTTGGTGCTCAGACAACTCAGTTTCCAGAACAGAAGCTCTGCCGCTAATGCCGAGTTACATAATAATACATTATGGACTGGCTTATATCCGGTGCTTTGCACCCGTGTGGTAAATAATACTATCTGCTCTTCCTCTCCCAAAGCTCAGTATTCTCGTTATATCCAAAGCCAATTTCGCTTTCCATCTTACCAACTACCCTACCTCTTTAAGCGGAGCCAACACCGCGCCTTCAGGCTTCCAGACACCTTCAATTGTACTGATAAGTACTGTTGCCGAATATATAGTTCTGAATATACCTTTCCGAACGCATTGTAGAAATATACTTTGTAGTTCCCTGGGTTCCCCCCTAGACGTCAACAATCAGAACGGATGGTTTTTGTGAGCAGTAAGCCCATTGGAGATGAACTTGCTATGGAACTCAGAAAATAGATTTCACGTTCCCCGAAACCCGTTACATTACATTGCGGATTTCAACGCAACGTTAGTGATGAGGTGGAGCGGACCGGCGTAGGCCCAGAGAAAAAGGTGCTGGTTGACGGACCTCCATTGAATCTGACCAGCTTCGTATTTAGTGTGGGTCGTGAACTAGATAGTTGATATCCCTCCTAGCTTCCCAGGCACACATCATGCAAGACAGAGTTTGGTTGGTCACCGGGGCTACTTCAGACATTGGACGTGAAATTGCCCTCCATGCCTTGCAGCGTGGTGATACTGTTGTGGCGGCAGGACGCAGACCGGAGGCGCTTCAAGACCTGGCTCGAATGGGATGCAAAATTCTAGTTCTAGATATAACATCCTCAGCCGAAGAGTTCAATCATACTGTGGAAGATGTCACAAAGAAGGTGGGAAGGATAGAAATGTTGATTAACGCTGCTGGTTTCCTTCTTGAGGGCTGCATGGAAGAAACAAGGTATGTGCCACTGAGTACTTTATGTTCTCCTGCCGAGAACTAAAGTAAAGCCACGCATCTTTCCTTCAGCGACCGTGAACTTCTCCAAGTTTACAGTACCAATTTGTTCGGGCTGCTTAGGCTTAGGGTTGCCGTCCTGCCTCAGATGCGATCCAGACGGCAGGGCGTCATTGCCAACGTCGCCAGAATCGGCGCCCTTCAAGTCGCCATTGGAGCCGGTGTTTTCTGTTCGTCGAAAGCAGCAATGACCTGTGCCACCGAGGCGCTGCATGCCGAGACCTCTCCATTGGGCATCAACGTGTGCTCGATCCAACTCGGTCACTTCAGAACAGCATTCCTGAGCCCCGGACCCAGGCTTAAAACGCAGATTACTCTGGCGGACTGTGATGTTTTCATGGAGTCAACAAGGAAGATATTCGACGACTTTGACGGCTCACAACAGGGAGATTCCAAGGAAGCTGGTCGTGTGATCGTGGAAGTTCTCATCCAGAGCGAACGCGCTGAAGGTAGATGCATTCCCGGCTGCTTAGCTGTAGGATCAGACGTTGCGGCAGCAACAGAGAAAGTCCAATCATCGCGAGAGGTGGAGATGAAAGCTTGGGCACTTCTGTCTCATTCGACAGACCTGACTGGTTCCTGAATTATAACTGCCTTTCTTAAACGACTGACCTGCGGTTGACAGTCTGGCAGTGGTGCGGTTCCTTGCCCGCAAATGTGCGGATATCCACCGAACCAACAATGTCAGCTCTACCGCCTCTTGATAGCTATGGAAGGGAAAAAATCGATTTGATTTCGAGCACTCATTCGACATGGAGTCGATCCGGACGTTGGCAATAGGCATGGAGAAACTACGCAGTTAATAGCGAGAAAGCATGGAAACCAGGCAATTCTTGATGCTTCAGGTGAAACAGACGACGCCATGAAAGCTCCAACAACAGCGGTAAGAGCAGCATCCATAAATGATACTACTCACAATGTAGATGGAAGAGGTGGCTGAAGAAGATTTTTTGATGTTATGGTTGCATTTGAAGGCAGCGTCCAATAATGCAGGTATTGTTGTTATAGCCTAATAAGCTGTTTATCGTTGATAATGTCATCCTGTATTCATTATTTCGAGGGCGAACCAGTGACAAGCCTCGGCCTAGCAAGCTTTAATGTCAGTCAAGTGTGACCTGGTCTGGTTGAAGCTTTCATAGTACAGATCGATGACCAAGCGTGAGAAGTGAGATATGAGAAGCAGCCTCGAATGCCATCATGGTTTTACGTTTTCACGGTCTTTTCACTAGCATTCACACTTACTCCGTGTCAACCATCAACTACGTGTGGTGTGTACGTAGTATTAAGTAAGTATACGACTTTCGTGCCAAGACATCGGAGAGACTCCGCTCCGCATAAATGCTCCATGTCTTCCACACGCAATCTGATCCAAGCTCATAACTACCAGTGTGTAGCTAGGCACTTTCTACTTTGACATACCCGCCGTTACTACATATCCTCCACTATGACGACTCTGGTTGACGAACTCTTGAATGACTTCGACGATTCGAGCTCCGAGACTGGTGAACATGATCAAAACGGGTTCCTGGAAGACAACGTCCCGAGTGCTCAAGATGATGTGCCTACCAGTGCACGTACCCATTCAACGTCCGGCATGGAACTTGACGGCGACGAAGAAGAAATATCTGATGCCGAGGAAGAACTAGCAGCGCAAAGCAATAGCACAGACCTGAAAGATGCGCCGGACGAAGAGGAAACCAAGGCGAGGGTGGAGAAAATGAAACTGGGAGTTGTCAGTGATGTCAGAAATGTGGCCGGCTTGATGAAGACCTTACAACCTATACTCGAGGTAAGATGCACCCTGCTTCCTCCATCCCTGTTCGAGATATTCGTGTTTACATCTCTACCGTATAGCAGCCCTGACTTGCCCCCTTCGTTCGCAGAAAATCGCCCACTACCAATCTATACCTCCGGAAAAGAGGACGACTACAGTCGGCTCCATCGAAGACAACCCTGAGTATAAACTCCTTACACAGTCCAACTCTCTCGCTACCTCAATCGATGCCGAAATCATCCTCGTGCATAAATTCATACGAGATCACTACTCCACCAGATTCCCCGAACTCGAGACCCTAATCTCAAACCCACTTGACTATGCCAAAACCGTTGCTATCCTCAAGAATGGACCACTCGACAACATCAAGGCTCTTTCGAATTCAACCGATAACCCCGTTGGAGCGTCCCTGAAATCCGTACTTGACGGACCGTCCCTTATGGTCGTCACAGTGGAAGGAACCACAACCAAAGGCCGCGAGATGACCGAGACAGAACTCCAAACCGTCCTCCGCGCCTGCAGCATGATCCTCGACCTCGACCGCGCCAAAGCCATCCTGACCTCCTACGTCCAATCACGCATGACACTCTTTGCACCCAATCTAACCGTCCTCATCGGCTCTTTAACAGCAGCGCAACTCCTCAACTTCGCCGGCGGTGTAACCGGCCTTGCCAAAACGCCCGCCTGCAACATCCCGCCCCTCGGCTCGAAAAAGCAAACCCAAACCGGCTTCGCCACCAATGTCGGCATCCGCCAACAAGGCTTCCTCTACCACAGCCCCATCATCGCCTCGATCCAATCTGACCTAAAAAAGCAAGCCATGCGAATTGTATCTGCAAAACTCATCCTGGCGGCACGAGTCGACCGCGTCCACCAATCCCCGGACGGGGCTATGGGCCTCGACCTAAAACAGGCATGTCTTGAACGACTAGACAAACTTACCGAACCTCCACCTAACAAGGGCCCCAGAGCGCTCCCAGCACCGGATGACAAGCCCTCTCGGAAACGGGGCGGGAGGAGAGCGCGGAAGGCAAAAGAAGCGACCGCTATGACGGATCTGAGGAAACAGCAGAATCGGATGGCGTTTGGTAAGGAAGAAAAAGAGGTCGGGTACGGGACGGGCGAGGGCACGAAAGGGCTAGGCATGGTGGGTCTGGAAAACGATGGGCGTATCAGAGCCGGGCAGATCGATCAGCGGACTCGAGCGAAATTGTCCAAGAAGAATCCTGGCTGGGGCGGCGGCGGTGGCACGGCCTCGACCGTGAATGGGATGGCGTCCTCGCTGCGCGGGTTTGGATCCGCCGCAGCAGCCGGAGGTGCTGCAACGACACTGCGAGCTCAAGGCTTAAGAACATCGGGTGTTGGCGCTGGAAATCTAGCCGGAACGGCGAGTTCGATTGCGTTCACGCCGGTGCAGGGCCTTGAGCTGGTGGATCCGAAGGTCCAGGCGGAGTTGAATAGGAAGAGGAAGGCGGAGGAGGATCGTTGGTTCAAGGGCGGTACTTTTACGCAGGTTGGCAATGGTGCTGGTGCTGCTGCGAAGAATGGGGATGCTGGCGGGTTCAAGGTGCCGCAGATGCCGGCAAGTAAAAAGGTGAATACGGGCGCTGGGTTGGGGAATTCGCAATGACGGTAAAGTGCGGTGAAATGGATGAATGGAGTTGAGATGGGGATATGAGGAGTCCTCCTTGCTTCTCGTGGCTGTACATTGCCCATTCAAAGCGTATTGATACCCGTCCCTACATTATACGATCCTTATTCTATAATATGTATATTAGCCCACGTCCTGCCTGGCTGTCTTTCTCTGTTCCTTTGTTTTCCGCCGGCCTCTCTTCTGACTGTCTGAGTACTTGCATTGTCTTCCCCGACGGCCAGCTTCCGGAATCATTACCCTCACCAGCAGCCAGCAGCGACCTTACAATTGCCATGCCTTTTCCATTACAACGAATATATAATGTATACCAGGTAATAAATAACTGCGGTGCGGCTGTGTTGTTGGGGCAGAATCACGCGCTTCGTAGTCCTCCATCTGCACCACTAATCCACAAACTCAGATGTGTGCTACCTATGTAGGATCAACATATACCGTACAAGCGGCCGCTTTCTTTGCGAAGAACTTACTCCGGTAATGTGTTAGGCTAGTCAGACAGCCTCAATGGCTCCACCTGCTGATGCTTAAAGAAGTGTATCCGTCGGAGACTGTCTCTCCGCAGAATCAACCTCCACACTGGCTACTTCCAATGCTCTGTCCTGGCTCCGATCCCTGTCCACCAGTCGACATAGATGTGTTACCCGTCCACGGACCCTGATAGTCTGTGGGCAGCAGGTTCGTTTCTGGGGGCGGAGGCAGAAAGTTTCCGGGCTGATTCGCCGGCGGTACATAGACCGTATATGGTCCCAAAGGTCCATAATTACCAGGTGACCCGTTACTGAGGAACCATCCCGACGGTGATTCCTCGACTCTCGTCTCCAACGGCAAAGCCTGCTGAAAGGTCAGATATCGAGGCTGGGGTCCAGGGACAGAGAGAAGGGGTGGTACTTGTGGTAAATGGTACGATGCCCGCGCCGCTCCGATGTCGGAGTCATGGGCACCAGCTCTGACGGCTGGGCCCGGCGGAAATGGAACCACAGGTTCCATACCTATGGGATGTAACATAGGATTTATTTCTTGGGGTTCGGCTTGTGCTTGTAGCTGCTGTGGCTGCGGTGGTACTCGTGGCTCTGAGGGTCCTGGTGGTCCACCCGTGATGTATTGGACTGTTCCCAGCTCCTGCTGTTTCAGCTTCAATTGATCCGTAAGCTCTGCGGATTCGCGCTCGAAAAATCTTCTGGGAAAGCCGTAGGTGCCGCCAAAGCGTCTCTCCGCATATGCCAAAATGTCAATGATTTTAGCTAGACAGCTAATAGCACGCGCGGAGTTCTCGAGAGGAGAGGCGGAATGGGAGACATCTGACGATGGTGAAGGCGAAGTATCTAAGTCTGAGTCGTTGGCTTCTGGGGACGACTGTGTTGTTTCGCGTGGCTTTATACCAGAAAGTATACTATCAAAGCTTGTCGACAATACATCCAAGAAGTGACGACCGATAAAGTTGGTACGGTGAATGTCAATCAATGTGAACAAACTGTGCCAGTTGTGTTCTCGCTTGTGTTCTCGCGTTATCGGGTGTAATAGGTCGGTGTATTGAATCGCATACTCGAATATCAAAATCTTCGAAAGTTCAGGAATGCTCGGATTGCGGCAAGAGGGAGCAAGGGCGATGATCTGAGAATAAAGTGATTCTAGGTGGAATAAGAAAGTATGGTTGGTCGACAAAGTCTTAGGAATGCTAGAGGCCCAAGACCGTATGTCATTCAGCACACACTTGGTGTACTCTGAGCTTGCCGCGCTGGGCCATTCCAAACGTTTGGACATACGGGTCCCTTGATATAACGAAGACTGTATTCGTCGTATGTTGAAAAGGTACGATGATGGTTGCAAAGACCTCAGGAAGAGTTGTGGTGTCTCGTTTACACTGGGTTCTGGCAATCCGGTTGAACCAGCAACTACTGGAAGGTTGACAGAAGCGGAATCATCCGTGAAAGAGAAGGCTCGATCAAAGGCCATGCTAATACTGCGGTCGAGGGTATAGACACAATAGAATACTCGCCGCCGCATCTCGATTTCGTCTTTGCTCATGCGAATCTCGGCGGCTGGTTCGTTATGCAAACCAAGATCAACCATAACGCGTGAAGCGAAGCCGATCAAATGCCAACATGAAAACATGTCTGGATCCAGCATCGAATATTGAACGAGAAGTAGGATGGCTTGTATGCCTGCAACTGAGCCAGGATGTAGCACCTCGTCGGCGTATTCAAGAGCTACAGAGACGTGTTCTTGTGCGGTTCGCCAATAACCATCACCCTTGTCTCTAGACCGGTCGGCAGCTACTATTGCCAGAACCATTCGAACCATCCACTTGTCCATAGGTTTGGCACGCCGTCCAGCATCAGCATAAACGGCAGAGACAGAAGCTATGAAGTCTGTTTCAGAGAAGAACGGCATAAGCACAAACATTTTATCCAGGTAGTGGTGAATGATTGGTGTAATCAAGTGGCGAGCTGGCAGAGTTTCTGGGTCAGCATGTCCAGGGTCCCCAGTCTGCGAGACAGCCAGCAAAAGCCGAGCAAAGGACGTGGTTGCAGTAAAGCCGTGGAAATCTCTGGAGGTAGCATTGACAGAAAGAAAGCCAAAATCTCCTACCAAGTTGTCAACATCCGATGCCTCCTTACGATGCACTCGACCACTGGATGCTATCCGTCGAGCCGGAAAAGTATGACCAGGGTCAAGCATGTGAGACGCCGCCACTGCATCTCGTCGACTCGGGTCAGTGGCCTGCAAGGTTTTGGTCTCGGCCACACGCCTCTGCAGTTTTTCCAAAGTAGCCTCCAGGGCAGCAACATAGCTCCTCTCTTTTCCTTTCGCAAACTCATCATTCGCCCCGGAACAACTGTCGGCCTTACCCGCACGTTCACAAGCTGTGCAAGCAGGAAGCGTTCCATCGCATCTGATCTTCGCTGATTTACATCTCGAACATGCAGCGACCGGTCTTGAGACACGAAGCTGGGGTGATAGTAGCGCCTCGATCGATTCTCCCTTCGCCATCGGTGACTAGCAATGACAGGGTATGAGCAGTCGACCGACAATGAATATTGCCACCAGTAAAATCAGAAATTTTACAAACGGTAGGTGAAATAAATACGGGATGCCAAAAGCACCACGTCGAAGACACAATTTGGGCTGAAGGGGGAGGGAGGGAAGCAAGAGGTATTCGAAGTAACCCACATAGATAGAAAGACGGGAGGCAGGTGACCTTTACATACCGTGGTCAAGTCCTCATCAACTCATTATTACGCTCTTCTCGAGAATCCCCAGTCCTCTCGAATGCTCACCTAGTGGAAAGTAGGAAGAAAGATACGAAAAGGACTATCAGCAGACGACATTCTTTCATTGGATGCAGCCACAAGTCCTGCAGGAAGACATGAAGTGAGAGGTGAGTCGTACGAACAGAGTGGAAGCTCTTTCCTCATGACTACTGTGGCTGTTGAGGAACAAGATGTCGACATAGTGGAGGGCAATTGCAGTGTGGGGTCTGCAGCGGCCTGAAAGCGCCCCCCACAGGGCTGCAAAAGCGTCCCCACTTTATATTGGCTTAGGTCTTCTCCACCCGGGTCCAACCAATCACGTAGTAGTCATTTGGAGGCTAATGACGACTCGTTAGTGAGCGACAACAGGCATGTGCGGAGGCATCCTTAGCTGCTCATTCAGCCAGTTGCTGGGGACCCTTGGACCACCTTCAAACATCAATTCTTTCATACCTGTGAACGGCCTCCTTCTAGACACAATCACATGTATTAATACCCATTCGCCAAGCCATATGCTCCATCAAAGTCGACTACTTGGCCTTATCTGCATCACGCGCCCAAGGCTAGCAATGCAAGCACTCCCAGGAAGAGCTTGGAGCGGCGTCGGACTTCGCTGTAACGCTCAATGAAATGTATTTGGCCATGGCTCACTCGAATCATGCCCCCAGACAAATGACAACTTCGAGCCTAAGTTCTAGTCGAGGCCAGTCTGGTGTCGCTCACGACAAGGTCTTTCATACAGTGACAGCGTGCGTGAGATGCAGACAGGCAGGCTATTCCTTACCCCGTGTAACGTTTCCATATGAAAGATCTGATTCCTGATAGAGGAAAACAAAATGTGACACCGGTCTACCACGATGCGACCCCTGTGAGCGAAACAGTGCCAAATGTGAATACTTTGATGCAAGCAAGAAACGAATCATCCCGAGAACTTACATCACCTCTTTACAGTCAAACATCAGGCAACTCCAGGCGGAGCTGGTTGCCCTGGAGAAAGAAGAAAAGCATGTGCCGGATGCGGAGGCTATGATACGTGGTGCAGGCATGATCAAGTTCAATGAGAATGATGAGTATCGGTTTCTGGGACCATCCAGCGGCATTGGCATCACACGGCTAGTTATGGAGCTTGCGAAGCACAACACCGTGAAGAAGAGCATAAGAGAAATTGTGCCAGATTCTACGGCACGAGAAATCAAGCAGAAGTTCGACAGCGAGAGTGGAAAGCCAACATCCAAAGTGTATCCTCTGATTAGCTCTGTAGCAGCGCCAAACCTACCGACACACGATTTGATGGATCAACTAGTCGATATATACATGGCCAAAGCTCAATATATGTTACCTCTACTCCATGAACCAACCTTCAAACACGCTATCCGAACTGTGTATCATGGGTCCGCGGATGCCACTTTGAATTTTCAATTGAGACTCGTCATCGCGATCAGTATGCAGAAACTTGACACTCAATACGCAGGCCTTGCAGATTCGTATTATTTGTCCGCTCTCCCTTACCTCGAGTCCGCCGTACGGAAGAAAGATCTTTCGACGTTGCAATGCCTAGCACTCATTGCTCAATACTCGGTGCTGACGCCTACCAGGACGGCTTCATATTGGGTCGTTGGTCTTGCCGCTCGACTCTGTCAGGAGCTGGGGTTGTGTGAGGAGAGGACTATCAAGGACGGGCCACAAGGTATTCATTTCAACACCCTTGAAGTAGACATGCGCAGACGACTATTTTGGATCATCACCTCCATGGAATATGGTTTAGCGCATACCTTGGGAAGACCGAGTGCGTTTGGTACTACAGTCGACCATATCAACGTCGGCTTCTTCGAGCTTTGCGATGACCGCTTCATTACCCCTGAAGGACTCCTCCCGGGACACCAGCCTGTGATGAAGAAATGCATTTCGATTCATTTCTTCAAGATGAGGCTGCTGCAGGCTGAGATCCGTCGGACCTTATACCTCAAGAAACGCGATAGACCGGTCAACGATCAGGACCCGTGGTTCAATAGCATGCAGTGCAAAATAGATGATTGGGTGGCAAATTGCCCCAAGAATGACGAGGGCAGTGGAGTCAGCGAGCGTTGGTAAGGATTCCATCCGCCATTTTCTGAGTTAGCAATCTCGAAATTGGGTGACGGGCGCATGTTTTGTTATGTGGATGCGCTGACAGTGACCCCTCAGGTTCCGCTCAAGACGAAACACGATGATAGTCTTCCTCTATCGACCTTCGCCTCAAGTACCAGAGCCATCGGAGCAGGCAGCGGAGATGTGCTTTGACGCTAGCGTTGAAAACATCCATATGCAGAGCACACAGATTGCTACTAAATCTGTTGACTTGACATGGATCTTCACCCAGATGCTCTTCATGGGCCTAAATACAATTCTGTGGTCTCTTTCATACCACGCAATACGTCGGCATCATCCCATAGAGACAGTCAAGGTCCACATTGACACAGCGCTCGATGCCATTAACCACACGTCAGAGAGATGGCCTGGTGTTCAGTCAGCTTTGCAACTGTATCAAAACCTCATTGAAGGATGCCTGACGGCTTACTCAGGTGACGCATCGTACGTTGTTCGATCTCCGCCATCAACACAGGATGAGTCAACCCTGTCTTCGCGAGCTCCATCTCACAGTCCTGCCAGCCCTCAACCCCCATCCTTGGCTGCTTCACATTTGTCTTTGGCCTGTTGCGAGTCCTACGATGGATCTTACGTGAACATTCAAAATACGCGCTCGACACCGTCAGACGGGACAGACTCTTTCGAGGATCTAGGAAATGGTACTAATCTGAGTGATCCCTCGGGTACGAAACAGAGCCAACAATACGCTACTCCCGGCTCGAAGCTATCCACTTTCGAGCAATCATCGATTTTGGCTACACCAAATGATGAGCCTATTCATCAGTCCGGTGTGCCACTCGCTCAGAATTATGGCATGCCTGACTTCAATCCGAATTCGGTCAACAATGCTTTTCCGGCTACAATACCTGGCCTCACACATTGGGGCTCGGACATGACTACGGTCTCGTCCGGATCAGACTTTGCGGGATACAATGATGTGGCGATGGATACAAAACCCTGGCTGGGCTCATTTGGAGATGAGTATTCTCGGTATATGCATCAAGCTTACAACCCTCCGCAACAACAGATGCAAAGTTTGAGCGAGCAACAACAGCTTGAGCTGATGGCTGCGCTCGAACGAGATCAACTTCCAGATGTGTCGAACCGGATGAGCGACGCAGCCATTTTCTACACTGGGAACATTCTCTAGAAACCTACATCCACAAGACCACGATATCAGTGTACGCAAAGATGCAGTACTGAGAGGTCTCTTTCATACATGCGTCATTCGACGTCTGGCAATGAGTAAATGGCATCATTTTACCCAGCCACTTTGCTGGCCATTACAAGTTTAGTAATATCATGTATGGTAAAGAGTCTTGAGTGCATACCTGGGACCGGAGCTGACACTGAAGGGCAGAATGGAGGCTGCGTATGTGCCTTATCAAGAAGGATCTCATCATTAGAGGCCCTCACAACCAGGAACGACCTTGCAGATTGTTTCTGATTATGGAGAGTTCAGGCTCACAGAATCGTTCAACTTCGACTGAAGCAACAGACTCTTGCTGATCGTCGCGAGCTTTGAGCCTACCTATCTTAACAGACGGAGCTTCGATAAAGCGATAGTGAACCAGATGTAATTCTCGCGCCCGTCCGAACCAATGTTTTTAAAGACAGAGAGGGTGTGTTGAAAATAGGCGCAGAGTGGACCAAATAAAACAGCTAGAATGCGACGGCTTTATGACTCACTGTGAAACGCCATCTACGTCTCGATATTGCCTCCCATATTCGCCAGTGATGCTAAAAGACTCCCAATATTAACCATGAAGCTCTCTCTATAACCCGTCAACCAACATCCTGGGGTGGGCTATAGGCAGCCCTCTTCCAAATGAAATTGCAGACACAGAAATCATCTTTATAATACACTTTGGGCCTGTCGCCTGGCTCTTGTGCCATCCTCGGCCAAGTTCTGCTAGAAGTGCTTCACTCCTTGTAGCCGGTCAGCAACGATGTCAAAGCCAGGATCTACTAACCCATCCAACAAACTTGTGATGAGGCGGGCTATACGGTCAACAGGATCACATAGGCTTTGTGAATCACCTCGGATATAGCACCTTACGAGGATGATATCATTCAATAAATTCGAGCTGGCGGAACCGAAGCTGGTTGACCGCTTCTCCACAGACTGAGACCCCTGATCGTGGGGCTACCCAGTTAGACAATAGTCCTGTCTTTGGTCAGAGGTGCAAGTGTTGTCTGACGCCTCATAATTCAATGGTAGATGAGTGTTCCATAATTCCCTGCCAGTGGTACTGCGATTCCCACATCCCGACAAATGAGAAAGAAGCAATTTGATTGGTTGGAGATGCCCATGTGGCGCGCCCTAGGTGGAGGGTCACGTGATGGTCGGAAGTGCCGTGCTCGCTTAGTTTCAGACATCTCTTTGTAAGTATCATTCTCGCCCAACAATCCCCAGCCTTTAATCCTGCTTCACCTATCCACCCCGACCAACGCAGCATCTCCGGAGCGAAGTATACGACTGGATGATTGCCGGCAGGATTAGCACAGGTGCGCAGCTTCCTAGTGAAGTTCAAGCCAGCACGGGCGAGGATCGCTCGATCAGCCACCCCGCTGCGAATCAGCCGGACACTACGACCAGCCTCAACGCGACCGACTGAAAAATCTCGAGTGAGCTCGAGCGAGCATCGCCGTGTCTGCAATCTCCACAGGGCGCGACGACGCCTTTCATGTCCGAGCCTTACAGGCCTCACCCGGCGATACCTCTGTCACCTCCCTCTCCACCAGCCGAAGGGGTCAAGGAGGGAACCAAGTCACATTTCCCTGCATACACGCCCTATTCGCCTTCCCCACCGTTTATGTCAGTCGCCACGAAAAGCTATGGCCAATCTTTCGCAGAAACACAAGCATCGTCGGTGTCGACTATGGCGCAGCGATCGCCATCTCCTGCAACCTCCACCCCCATGTCTACACAGGTATCGCAGCAGCCGATAACAGCCACAACTTCGTTCCCGACACCCGATAATAGTGTTATCGGGCGCAGTAGGAAAGTGCCAGACGAGTTTGATGAAGAACATATCAGCAAACGGCAGAGGATTGCTTCTGAGATTACCAGAATACACGACCGGTCCAATCATGATCTCGATCATCATCTTCGATCTCCTGCCAGTATCTCTTGGCCAAAGGAGATTGAATCGCAAGCCTCTGATCAGCAGCCTATGGCAGAGGGCAGTAATCCTATACAAAGCATTCAGCCATCCCCAGTACCGGACAGGGCAACCCAGCCTGCAGTAGTTGAATTGAGCCTTGAACAGCTTCAGAAGAATGTCGGCGAAACCTTTCATCTCTGTAAGTCGGGTAAGATCTCCCTGCTTGTCTGGCACCAATTCTATGCCACTCGGAGAATCTGATGTTGACATGTGCCAAACTAGCTCTTCCTCGCGTCCGACCTGATCCTGGCCAACATTTACTGTCCAGGTATGGACTCAGCGGCTTACATGCCAAAGTCGCCCGTACCGATCCGGTCACGCATGAGAAAATCAACAAGTTACGAAAGTCCTATGAAGGGCAGATCAAGAACTTTGCATTGGCCGGCAGGAACAAGCCAACGAAAGATGAAATTCCAGAAGGACAATGGAGCAGTCTGAACATGATGATGCTCGAACCCGAAGAGTCGTGGCATGCCAGTAAGGTGATGGGCAAGAAGATCGAAGTCACGCGTGATTTGGAAGCAAGAGTGCACAAGGCGATTGTTCTGCAGCCTGGCCGGATGAAGAATCATGAGCATTGGGAAGACCTGTTGGGGCATGAAAAACCTAGAGCCCCTCCGGTACCGGACCCAGCCGGCAGGAAAGCCCCATCTGGTGCGGTTCAGCGACCACAGATCAATGGAAATGCTGTAAGGACCATGTCGCACGCTGCTGGGGAAGGCGTCCGACCACGAAGGGTGGGCAAGAAACGCAGCTATGCCGACAATAGCTTTGAGGGATACGGTGATGGATTCGTGGATGACGAGAATGTGGATATGGACCAGGGGTTTCTATCTAATAGTGAAGATGGAAGTCATGGTCCAGGGAGGAAGAAGCGGAAGAAGGTTGGTGACAGCAGTATCATCACTGATACTTCTGAACCCGACTGACCACTCTTTGGCAGGATCATTCTCTCGGCAATCCAGCCACAATCTACCGCGGACCATCTAGCTATGGTGTTGGTGGTTGGAACGGAGGCGACCGGTGAAAGGTGACCTCACCACGAATGGAGGTTGCTTGATCTGTTTTATTGACGCGTGTTGCGTGTGCGTGTTGCGATCTGCGGACGGCGGACGGCGTTGACAATACCCCAAACGAAAAGACTTCGGATCCATTGGCGTTGGGTCTAATCTCGGCTGGAGGACAGTCACTTGCACATTGGTGGGTACAACAGGGCTCGGGGGTTGAAGGACACGCTGGATGGAACGGTTGCTTTGAGGGCAAATGCGGTATGGCATGCTACTCTACGATGATTGCTGGGACTTGACTGTGCCGGCCAGGGCATTCTGTATTATCTATATATAAGGCTATTTCCATATTTAGTAGCTTTTGATCTGTTTTATTGACGCGTGTTGCGTGTGCGTGTTGCGATCTGCGGACGGCGGACGGCGTTGACAATACCCCAAACGAAAAGACTTCGGATCCATTGGCGTTGGGTCTAATCTCGGCTGGAGGACAGTCACTTGCACATTGGTGGGTACAACAGGGCTCGGGGGTTGAAGGACACGCTGGATGGAACGGTTGCTTTGAGGGCAAATGCGGTATGGCATGCTACTCTACGATGATTGCTGGGACTTGACTGTGCCGGCCAGGGCTGATCGAGGGCTGGGTCTACGCGTGTTGCCTTTTCAGGTATGAAATAGACATTATACCTATTATACCTATTACCCAATCATCCACCTCGACCAACGTCCATCTTTCCTTACTGGGCCTGAAGCAGGTGTTTGCTGCTGCTGCTGTTCCTCGAAGAGACTCCGGCAATACTTGGGATCATACGTACATTTCATGCCATGATTCTGCTTTCTTCATGCCTTGGCCATGGAATAGAATGGCTGCTCACGTGCCCGGCCTCCGATGCGTGGGAGGGGCCGGAGGGCATTACTGATGGGCATTATCGATGTGCATTATTGATGTGCATTATTGCCGCCTATCCTCCTCGGCGCCCCGCCATTTTACTCTTGACTTTCGGCCTTGCATCCCATCAGCTGTCATATAAAACATTGCGGATTTTCCTGCACATCTCATAACTTCCAGCGCAATCGCTCTCACAGGCCGGGTTCTCGAGCAGCTATATCCTTCATTTCACAGTCCTCCTGCGACATCGCAACCTCTCCTACGGACCGTCACTGCAACTTATCTCACCCCACCTACCCACACGGGTACATAATACATTTCACGATCAACGGAAAACCGCCAGAACCTTTCTCAGTTCTAGAGTCCAAGAGTCTACCTCATTACCAGAGTTACCACTGCTACTCCCTATCTTAACTACTACTACCATCATATTATCTCTCTCTGTGTCTTTCTACTCTCTCTTCCGTCCTTTACCATCATAGCTGTAGAGCTGCATCGACCGCAACCAGGTACAATCCTGCCTCACCCTCTTTCCTCTCACCAAGACATCGACCAAGCATCACTACTCAAGAGCGCCGCCCTCTTCTTCCTTCAACCCGCGCTCACAAAGCCAAAACATTCTCAGCATGTCCTCCACAACCACCTCCGCCTCCGACTCCACCTCCACCCGGTCCCAATCGCAATCGCAATCCCAATCCCAGACCCAACCACCCCAACAATCCGAAGACGTAACCTCAGCCTCCTCCAACCTGACCAGCGCAGCCAACACCCTGGCCACCAAAACCACCGAAACCATGTCGTCTGAATATCGGCGCCAAGACCAAGGAGACGAGGAGCAGTACAGTCACAACGACCAAGACAAAGGACGAGGCGGACCGAGAGTATGAGGAGAGGATCGAGGACGAGTATGCTAAGCGGGAGGGCGGTGCGTGAAATTCCACTGTTGGAGCTGGAAGAAGCGGGAAGGTCTCCCCGCCCCCCCTTGGGATAGATGAAGGGATGGGATGGACTGGGCGAGGAGTTGTTGAGTTGGGAGACATGGGTGGGGAAGACCTCGTTGGGATTGGGATGAGTATATCGCGGAGAATGGCTCCTGGTGATGAGATGGTAGGCTGTAGAGCAGTTAGGGGGAGGGGGAACGTATATATTGCTGTCCACTCAATTTTGTCTCTTTCTCTTTCTCTTCCTCTCTTTCTCTCTCTCTCTCTTTTTCTCTTTTTCTCAAAGCAAACTCGTCTCACTCTTTCCCGTATCTAGTCTCCCTCTGGGTGTTCATGCTGGCTCTGAGAAGACGGGGATCTGCTGCCCCGTAGTCTGTTTCTCAGACATGGCAGTGGCGAAATGATGCGCCCGTCCGAATAGGACAAGAACCAAGGCAGAGGGTCTTTCGAAGGCCCCTTCGCCTTCGGGAAGCCCAAATCTGAACCCCATGCATGGGCGTATGAGCAGCACCGGCTCGCTTCTCGCCTGTGGAGACGGAAGAGTTGCTCAATGTGCCTGGGAATTGTGTTGGCTGTGTCTTTCGTCGGGCTGCTCAGTCTCGGGACCTGTATCGGCCCCTACTAGAGAGGAGTAGACACAGAAGATCCTGTCGCGTATATGAGGCCCACGTAGTTGTCACTTCCCTCCCCTTCCCTTCCCAGCCAGAGCCGCTCGTGTGCAAAATGCAGCACCTGCAAGCAGCACCAGCACCAGCATTATCGCAGGCGGCTCACCGAAACCCTAGCGAGACGGTAGATTCAGATGAACACGCACACACAGACAGACGACAGACAGCAACATCAACCCCCCGCCAACGCCTTCTCCACCAACTCCTTAGCCCGCCCACTCATGCGCATATCCAACGCCAACTCCCTGCCCCTATTCCCCATCTTCGCCCACGTCTTCCTCAAGATCGCCAGGATCTTCTCCTCATCCGCGATCCCCCTCTCAAAGCCATCGAACTGATCATCGAGAAAGACCAGACACGCGACGTCCTCCAGGATCTGAACCTCGTCCTCGTCCTCATCGGCGTCTCCACCCTCAC